CTGTGCTAATGAGCAACTTATTAAAAGTTTTCACCAACCAGCCGCTCCTCACCAGCCCGCTCCAGGATCAAAACTGAATAGCCACGGACTGGATCGGGGATTGGGATTGGAATTGGGTTCGGGGACAAAAGGATGCGGATTGGGATAGTGAAGCGCGTGAGGCGAATAACGAAACACAAACATAAAACAACTGACACAATTGGCACTGGCAATTGAAAACAAAGCCGAAGCCAGCGGATAAGTTTTACAATTCAGCCAAAAAACTCATTTACGCTCTCCCTGGAATAGCAACGAAATGAATCGAAGGAAACTTCAATTTTCCCCATACCCTTGGACTCGGATGGAATGTTTTCTCCGCAAAGAACTCAATGGGAAGTTTTCTCAAAGCCAATTTTCCAAAAAAAAAAAACGGATGAAACAAAAGCTTTCCTTCATGAAAGAGGGAGTTTCTATAGCCTGAAGAGATCAGGTTTTTATAAATAATTTAATTACTATTTTTTATAGATAGGTTTTCTATATTGATTTTCTATCAGATTTCTGGAGAAAGAATCTGATGAGTTAGAGAAGTCAACTTGTATAATTCCTTCAGTTCCTTTAATTTATCACAATTCCTCATTGACAGGAAGTGCTTATAAAAAATCCTCCAAGGGTGTTGGCCTCTCAGAAGTGAAGGCCCAAATGAATGAGTTGAATGGGGGTGTTTGGGTGGAAAACCCAGTCAGATTGGTTGCTCCTCAAGTGCTTAGACAATCGTGTTGAAGCTTTGATTTTCGAGCTTATGCTGGATTTGGTGGCACAAGTGGCGTACCCCATCAGCTCCAGGCTTCACATCCTCCAAGCAGTATGCTTATGAGGGCGGGTAATTAAGTTGAAGTGCCCAAAGATATACACGAACACAACGGCAATTTGCCTAAGTAATGCTTGAGTCGATGCCAGACCGACAAAGTGACAGACTGAGGGTACTGACTGACTGAATGACTGGCTGACTGAGAGACTGTCTGTAACACTGACTGACTGACTTGGAAAAGTGTTGAAATGTCTGCGGCAGCACTTAATTAATTAATGTCGAGCCAGGCAAACGGGCAAACGAAATGAGAAAAGTTTTCCAGGACTCGGGGGGCCCTGGGAAAGTTGGCAGCTATTTGTTAAGTTGCAGCCGTTCAATATTTGTCACTGAACTCATTAAGCAAATTAATAGACAAAGTTGCCAATTGCTGACAATAGAGGTGTCGCCCTTTAGCGCGTATTTGCCATTTTATTTACCGAATCGAACTTGGCAGCCCAACCCAGCCAAGAACCGAGCTAACTTTGAATGGGGTCGCAGTTGAGACTCTTGGCTTTTTGTGGTGGCAATAAAATGTCACGCAATAAAAAACCCAAAGTCAACAAACAATTCCACGGAAGATGCCAAGGCAATCGCAGTCCCAGACCCTCTCCCATTTCCCATTCCCATTCCCAGTCGCAGTCGCAGAAATCGATTATGGACGCCTTAAGGAATCGACGTGGCGACCCAGTCTTGGCCACGTTTTCGATTTTGCCATTCGGCATTCGCCACCTGATGCCCGTTGGTGCTGGCACTGCCACTGTCCTGGCTCCTGTCCCCTTTAACACACACACCCCCTTCCCGGTTCCCATTTATCTCCTCGCCCCTGGCTGCGAAATTGCCAACGTTGCAGCTCAAAAGCGGAAGTGATTTTCCAGCGCGTACGTGAGGGGTCTTTCATTATATGAGTGGGTGTGTGGGTGTGCGTGGGTTGATGAGTATGTTAGTGATGAGGTACATATATGGTTACTTGAAAATATATCAGAAATTCAGGTTCTTTTTTCAAGATTTAAATATATAAGTTTAAAGTTCTTTTAAAAGCTTTTTAAAAGAAGTTTGTTTTAAAGACTCGGTGTGGAAATAAAGGATACTTTCTTTTTCAGGACCGAACTAAAAATAAATTAAATTAAATATTATCTAAAAAAAATATATCATTATTTCTAAATACTTCTTCAAAAAAAAATACTTAAAAATCACAGTTTTTAAAGTCACAGACTCGTCAATACTGCTACTTGAAGAGCAGCACTATCCTGAAGTCCTGAATAAACCCCCACATCCAATATGTGTACTCAGCAAGGACAAGGGAGAGGAGAGGTCGCGGATGGCAGTGAAGGATTTTATGACCCTTGATAGTGGCAAGCGATTTGTTGCGTGCATTGGTGGCTGCCGTTGCATTTTCAATTTTGCAGTGCGCACTTTTGGCATCTTTGAATAATGCAATGGCAATCGGGGTCGCAATCGAGGCCCCCCTTTCCGCAACACCCCACCACCCTATCGTCCACCGAAAAAACCAATTCCTCCCAAATGCCAAGCCATCTGGGATACGGAACGACCTGTCTTCACTAAGCTTATTTTGGCAGCTGATTAGAAAGCCAATCGGGAATTTTGCAAAGACTGCCACTGAGACTGAAACTGCAGTCGTTCGTTCCAATTTTTCCTGTTTTTATAATTTCCGAACACGAGCGTGCAATTCGAGCGCAGCTCCATCCCGTGTCATGTGGGGCAAGTTGACAAATATACAGCACGTGCGCTGGTTTCGCCCAGAGGACCCGGGCGTGGCAGCAACCGCCGATTGATGGCGAAACAACAACCGTGCCCCGCGCTGACGAACAACATTTGATTTTTGTTCTCCAATTACTGCCAATCTAGTATTTGTTTCCTAAAAATTGCTGTTTAATTGGAGTAGTGTTTTCTGGCAAAATTAATCAACAAGAAAGGCTCCCTTCCGATTTATTTTTTATATATAGCTCCTTTGATATTGTGATCTCGATCCTATTTCATCCTACTCTTGAAAGGAATACCTTTAAAGATTCGTAGTTTAATTCTCTATTAATCTGCATCAAAACCTGGAAACAAAATTTTCGATCGATATTTTTCACTTTTTTCCTTTTTTGAAGGGGACCCTTGTAAAATCCGGGTTTTCCGGAATTTCCATATATGACCCAATCTGATACCCATATCTTGGGCAATTTTTATCCGATCCTTAAAGATTCGTAGTTCAATTCTCTATTAATCTGCATCGAAACCTGGAAGCTAAATTTTCAATCGATATTTTTCACTTTTTTCCTGATGGTCCCCTTGTAAATCCGGGATTTTCAAAATTCCCATATATGACCCCATCTGATACCCATATCTTGGACAATTTTTATCCGATATTTGAAAGGAATACCTTTAAAGATTCGTAGTTCAATTCTCTATTAATCTGCATCAAAACCTGGAAACAACATTTTCGATCAATATTTTTCACTTTTTTCCTGATGGTCTCCTTGTAAAATCCGGGTTTTCCGGAATTCCCATTTTTGACCCAATCTGATAGCCATATCTTGGACAATTTTTATCCGGTCCTTGAAAGGAATACCTTTAAAGATTCGTAGTTCAATTCTTTATTAATCTGCATCAAACCCTGGGAACAACATTTTCGATCGATATTTTTTACTTTTATCCTGATTGTCTCTGATTGTAAAATCCCGGATTTCCGGAATTCCCATTTTTGACCCACTCCGATACCTATATCTTGGACAATTTTAATCCTATCCTTGAAAGGAGTCCCCCAAAAGATTTCGGTAATTCCTTTCCCTAAAAATATGCATACATTTTGGTAACTGTTTGCTTTAACGCCCTTTTGGTTGATCCATTTAAAAGTAAAATGCATTTTTATGGGCTACTGATAATCGTTCAATACCCATTAATGTTAAGGACGATTTCCATTTCCAGCTTAATGTGCCGTATCACCAGGCTTTTCACCTCCATTCGAACAGCGAACCGCGATTTCCATTGTTCTCCATAGACGTGGGGTGTGGAGCGTAAATAAACCGTAAATGGATGCATTTTTAAGCGCTTCTGTGGGGCATTAATTTTAAACAATTTACCTGGAGCTTGTACGAAAATTCGCTTTAAAGTCGGGCGAGAACAAAGGACTTCGCTGGCTGCTGAAAAACTGGTGAGAAACTGGAAAACTGGGATCCCCCCGGGTGGCGTTCTGCTCCTTGTGGCTGGGCAGCTGCTGCAGCCACTTCAATTTCAAAAGCATCAGGTCCTGGCTTCTGGTTCTGGTTATGGTCCTGCGGTGGCCATTGGCCGCTGGCTTTTGCCCTTCCATTTTTCCACACCGAAGCTTCGGCTCCAGATTTGCTTTTCCACTTGCCCCGTGCCACTTGCCACTTGCCACCCCATCCCTTTTGTTTGCCTCCTGCTGGGACCGCCGCATCATTTCCGTTTTTGCAGGAGTTTTCTTTTCGAAGTTTGCCCCGTGATTCTCCCTTAAAGCCAAGTTCAATGTTTGATTAGCGCACGGTGTCCTGCCCCAGTGCTCTCCCCTCTCCCCTCTCTTGATGAGAGCAGGGTGATTATTAAGCATACGCCTCGTTGTGCGCAAATATTTGACATGTCTGGCATTTAGCAACTGGGAAATGTATTAATTATAAAGGATAGGGGCGTGCGATGACCGCAGAAACCGCACAAAAAATTGGCCAAATGAAAGAATCGTATTTCGGCAAATGATAAACTAACTAACGAATTTCATTTATGGCCAAATGCAACTGCAACCGCTGCTGTTGCGGTCACCGAGTGGTTGCGAAAAATATCAGTTTCCATATTAAAAATAAAATAAATCCAAATTAACAGAGGAATCTGTTTAAGAGTTTCAAAAAGCGATTTAATTGCATGGCGAAATGAAAATTATCCCTTTTAGGCAGAGCTTCCTGTGCAAATAAAAACGTCAAAAGCAGTTTCATGTTAATTTTATGCCAATTTAATTTAAGCATATTAAGCGTGTTCAACAATAATTGGCCACTTAATGATAAACACTGCACCGGACTTGATTAAGGAGCAGAAGCGATGGCCGAATTCCAAATCGGAATCATGGCCAAATCATCTGCACGATTTTAATTACGATTTTCAATTAAAGTGCGACACAGAAAACCAATTTGAAATCTCTATCTCTCATCTTTTCCTTCAGATACTGCTGTATCCCGAGGAGGGATGGGCGCGGACCGCCTCCTCCAGCTACTGGACCATCACGCCCTGCTGGTGGCAGCCGAATCGGTGTCGCATCGTCGAGTGCTCCGGGACCCAGCGACGTGCCACCAAGGCCCGAATGCTGCCGCTCGAGCAGCAAGGCTCGCTCCTGATTGCCGGTCACTTTCGCAGGACAACGCCAGGAGGAGGCTGTGGCGAGGGCCGCAGCAGCGGCTGTGGTGCAGGAGGTTCCGGCACAGTGGCTGCCACTCCATCCCTGCCAGCAACACCTGCGGCAACAGCAACAAATGCCAGAGCTGCAACAGCGGCGGCAACCGGAGGAGCTGCAACACAGAGAGGGACCTCCGACAAGTCACCGCCCGCGGGGAACGACGAGTTCAAGCTGTATCTGACATCCAACATCTCGATGGAGGACTACAACATGGGCTACTGCCTGACGGGATTCGTGGAGCGTCGCTGCCAGGTGACAAACACCTTCCAGATGACTCACTTTGCCGTCATCAAGCGCCAGTGGCCGCCCTCGCCGTCCAACCTAAGCAACAACTAGGGCTCCCCTTATAAGAAATTGGTAATTGTGATCCAAAAGTATGATTTAATAAACAGGTTATGGTTTTTAAATTAATTTTCAAAACGGGATTTTAAATATATCCTTTGATGATTTATCTCAAATCCCCCGAAATACACTCGAAAAGACATCCCATAACCTGTTAGATCTACAGAATCTTAAGTTTTTAGAAATTAAGTAGAACGTTCTCGTGCAATCTCTCGATAAAATCAAAATCTAAAAACAAAAATAGGAAATGTAACATAAAAACCTTAGAAAACTAAAGGATTAATTTTTGAAGTATTAGACCCCCGCCCAGTTTCTAACAAATTTCCATGCATGTTTAGTGCGTAAATTGTAATTTTAACTAAACGTTCGAGAGGAATAAAAAACAAAAATAAAAAAAAGAAATAAAAACTTTACGTGTGCTTTCAGTGTTGTGTAACTAAATAAAAAAAAAAACTAACAAACAGCAAAAAAATAAGAGTAACAACCGAAAGGAGAAAAAAAACTAGTAACTGTTAAATGCTAAATGCAAGTAAACCGCTTTGCCAACTCACACACACAAACACACACACATCTCATACACCCCACACACACACACATACTGGCATTTACAAGCCCACTCACACACTCGCACACTTAAGCTTGGGCAGCTACTTAATGCTTCAAAAAAGTGCAACAAATTGAAACTTGTGCTTCTCGAAGCATGTGATTGTAAGTGCACTAAAAGGCTGTATATGTGTGTGGGTGTATGAGTGTGTGTGTGTGGGTGTATGTATGTGAGTTGGCTCTCTTTTCTACTACAAATATGTACTTTAATGGCCATGTTTGCGGAACCTATTGCCTTTAAGCTTTAAAATATAAGCGCAACTCGTGCAGGCAAACAAGTCAACAGCCTTCGGCAAAAGGGTACTTTCACTAAGCAATTAATTATATTTTCGGAAATTATTAAATTTTAAAATTAACTTCAATATTGAAACTTTAAAACTATAATATTTAACAAAAAACTGTAAAGCTTAGTGTCAAAGGTCCTTTGGCTGACTAGTCCATAGCTGAGTTTGCCTGCCAACTTTAGGCTAATCTAAGAAAATAAGCCAATTAATCTGTGTAGCTCTTTCTCCCTCTACTCTTCCTCTCTCTATCTGTCCGGCAGTCCCTGCCCCACCACCCACCCCACTGTCTGTCCCTTTCATTCTCACTCACTTTGAGCATGATACGCAACGTATATCAACAATTCGTCCAATAATTGGAGACTTTCGGCGCCAAAAATGGCCAAAAGTCAAAATTGGCAAGGCCAAAGCTCCAATTGCAAAAAAACCCTAAGTGTTAAAAACAAAAAATAATGCGAAAATGAAACCAAAAGGTAAAGAAAACCAAAGCTAAGTCAAAGCAAGTAACTCGAAACGTAAGCTAGGAAATAGTTTAAAAATTCAATATTTACACTCTAGAATAATATATATATTATACATATATTATATATTTGTGTAGTAGGCTGAACATTTTTGCGTATCGATGTATTTATATATAAATGTATTGCGGATACATTTACAAAATAACATTTTTGCTGTCGCGTAGTTCGCGTAGCTCGCTTTTAGGCGCTTTTACACGCAAGCGAATATGGCAGTTAACCTCTCGAATCCTAAGTACCATATTATTTGCTTCAGACACTCTTCCCTGCCAGTTTAATCCTAAACTAATTGATATTTAAGTATCAGGTACCTGCCAGAATCAACAACAACAACAAGAACAACAAGAACAGCACAGAAAATAAACAAAATAATATAAATATTTATTGAGCTATTATGTCTGTGCAAATATTTGTGTCCATTTTGATTAGAGAAAGTAAATAAAAAAAATTATTTTTTAGAAACATCTGAACTATTCACACTTACACACACATGCAAAATCGATGTCGTATCCCTGAATTGTATAAATGTTTCTCTCTGTGTACGTGTAGCAAATATTTCTGCGCCTATGCTTAAATAAACAAACAAACAGACACACAACAGCTTCAAGCTGAATAAAAAATATATACAAAAAACAACACGCAATGAGCTTTTTTGTAGTCCACTCGAGGAAATTTCTATTTAAACATTTTTTAAAGAAAAAGGCAGTCAACAAGAAAATCCCCATGCTACGTGAGCATTGGCAATTAATTAATATTAAGCTTCTATCGAAATAAGCGATGTAAACAAGCATAATTAGTCTAAAAGAGAACTAAGATAAATTGGTAGCAGAAAAAAGCATGAAAATAAAAAAAATAAAAAAAAACATGGAAATTTCAAAATCAAATCAGATGGAAATGCAAATGAAAGTATAAATTTAAATCAAAAATGTTGATGTTAATGCTGCTGCATAAATCATAGAGCCGAACTAAAATCAAAGCAAATGCATTCTGAATCTGATGGTTAAAAAAACAGTGTTTAATGAAAATAGATACCCCTATGGGTGATAAATCGTAATTGAAATGCAAAAATTACTGCAAAAATCAAAAAACATTACAAATAAAGAAAGAAAGCAGAAATCGGTCATTGTTTTCATTGGGAATTCAAATTAAAATGGGTCTCGCATTTATATTCAATCATTTTACCTGTGATGGAGGCAGGTGCTCTTCACCAGAAGGTCCTTCTGACAATTTGCCAAGGAATCAAAGCCGGATTCTAACCCCTGGAGTGCGCCAAGCCATTAACTTTTATCACAAGCTCCTTCTGCTTTGTTTCGTTTGCTCAGCCAAGGACGAGTGGACACTTGGCTGGAACTTCGACTCACCTGCAGCCTGCTACCTGCCACCTTCCACCTCCATTTGCACCCGCAGGGGCCGGCGGCATAAATCGCGCCCCCGCTTTCAACTTTCAACAAAGATGTAAGCCAAGTTAATTGCTTTTTGTTGCCTTTTTTCCAGCTGGCTTTTGCCACGTTGCCGTTTCTGTTGCCGTGTTGCCTCTGCAATGTCAACAATGAAACTAACGTCAGCCAACTTCAGTTGTTACCCCGACACTGAGAAAAAAAGTATACCCAAAATAATTATTAATTAAAATCCAAGAGTTATAAGAAACAAGTGATCATTAAATGTCTTAGGGAAAAAGCATACTTTTTCGATTATTTCTTATTGTAAAAAAATAAAAGTTATATTCCTCAGTGTAGACATTCTAAATCCTCCATGTTGTTCTTGCTTTACACTCATCAAAAAACTATGCTATACAAAATTTAAAATAGAATAATATGACTAGAAATGACTATGGTAATAGCATACTTTTTCTTTTATTTCTTATGTTTCTAATCATTTAAAAAACAAATGTAATTTTCCTCAGTGTAGCCATTCTAAGCCCTCCATGTTGTTGTTGCCCTTTGCTGCTCCGGTGCTTATTTGAACAGCTCTTCACAAACAAGAACTTGGCAACATGGAAGCATTTACGTGGAGCATTTCGCGCAACCATTTTGTTGCCTTGGCAGACAAACGGCTCGGCGACTGTCAGGACATTGCCTAACCTTAAGCACCAGGATCTCTGAGTCAAGGTAAGCTCGTATAAATCAGGAAATGAACATCGTAATGATAAGGTTTAGAAATATCTATTTTTGGAAAAAATAAAAGAAACTTTGAGACAAATTTTAAGAAGAATCCTTACGGCTCATTTCACTGACCCACTGTTATTAATGATGAGTAACAGGACATGAAACGGACAAAGCAAAGTTCTTGGAATTCCGTTCGGGTCCTTTCAATCAATTTACAATTCATGGTGTAAGCCATGGTAGAAAAAAAAGCCGAGCCGTCGTCTCTAGAAATCGAAGTCAGTCGACTGTGAATATTGCAAAATGAGCTTCCGCCTTTTGCCTTGGCTCTGAACTTCCGGCAACAATTTCCGTTTCCTCATTACCTTATTTTTTCATCGCCGAAAGTCGCAGGACTTTGTGCTACCAATGGGGGCGTGTCGGCTGGCTTGTGTTCCCGCCCCCTTGCCAGTCCCTATCCAGCCATATGACAATTTATTACGCTCAGAGCTTCGATTTAAATTGCTTGACAATTATTACACAATGACGAAGGGCAAAAGCAAAAGCAGCAAGGACAAATGAAAAATGTTCCCGTTCGACAATTTTCCCAGCTTTCCCTACCGATGTTCTTCATTTAACGCCCCCTCCTGCCCAAGAATTAATGATGGCAAATTTGCAAAGTTCACAAATTTCTTATTAGTAGACCATGGCTGAGGAAGTTGGCTTTCCTTCGTCCCCAAAAACCCCAAACCCGAAAACTCAATCTTCCTGCTCGAGCGCCCAGGGTTCATATTTCATTTTAGGCAGTTAGTTTTCCCAGGATGGTGGCCCATGGCTCCGGCTCCGACTTCGGCTTCGGCTGCCTGGAAAATGAGGAAGTGATGGTGGAAATGGCGAAACGGTTGGTGCACCTCCCTGTGGTTTTAAGTTTTCGCACTTTAGCCGACAGGCAGGCAAGCGAAATTTCCCAAGCGCTCTAATTTGAATTTTAATTGAGGTTCTCTTTGTGGTTTTGCCTTGTTTTTTCCTTTATTTTTTTCTTATTTTTTTATGTTTGTTTGGTTGGTTGCTTGCTTTGAAAATTAACAATAATTATAAATAATTAATATGCCAAGCAGGTTCTAGCTTGGGAAGGGGCTGATGGGGGGATGAAATCTCAGTACGTGACTGAGATTACTTTCCAAAAAGAAAGTCATAATTACGATGAAGGGCCTTTAAGGTCTGACTTATTGGTCATGCTGATTTAATATAAAATATAGTATTATAAAGCCCTCAAACGAAAGCCCCTCTTTGTGAATGTCTGACATTGGCAATAAATGAAAAATAAATGTTTGGCGATGCAAAATCAAATCAAAGTGAAAATCTTTTATACATTTATGCATTTTTAAAAAACAAAAAAGTAAGATATAATATTGTAGTACAATTGCCACGTAAATCATAAAAAAAACAATTCATCAGATGCAAATAAATAAAAAATCAAATGAATATGCAAATGCCGGGAAAATAAAAAATTACTTTCTCTGGGGCAGGGGAGTGGCCAGTGACCAATCGAACCTACCATATATATATTTATATATCTCTGGTCTGATTTATCCACCAACTGGCGGGGTTTATGTGCCCGAAACATTGCTGTAAATATAAATTTAATTGCATGAAACAGAATTCATGAAAAAACGATTCGCAGCGGGCTCCATGCAATTATTCCCGCCGAGGCCATAGAAATTTTAAATTGAAATGCGCTCCTGCTCCTGTTTTTTTTTCTTCGGCATTTTATTTCATTATGTGAGTCCATCAAGAAAAAAAGAATGCTGTACAGGAACAATTTAAATATGATTGCAAATTTCTGATCTGCTATTTAAACAATAAATGATTTTTTCCAATCGCCAATCGGCAATCGACAATAAAGCCTTTCCATTAGTTGCCGTGTGCGAAGCAAAGCAGGGCAGTTATTAATTATTGAAAGACCATTTAACCATTCAATCAGATTGTAAACATTTCATTTGCTTTTATTCCACCCATGCCACGTAATCACGAGCCACCAGCAGCCACAATAGTTTGGCGAATTAATTAAAAATGCCATCCTCATTAAATAATGAAATGCAATTTCTTAAGAACCAAATGCCAGACAACAGACACAGTCAGCCAGCCTCACCCACCTGCCCGTCGCACCTGCCTGTCGCCCCAGCATCTCGCATTCCACCTGACCATAACAGTCTGGGCGATGAATGATGAAGACGACGTTGATGATGACATTATATCATGCTCATTGAACGCAAATGTGGCGTGCTTGTTGCACATCATAAAAGAGTCAACAGAAACCGGACAAAAACCAGAGGGGAAAAGTTAACAACTAGGTATAGAATGAACACAGAATACCCTAACTTGAAAAGAAAGAATCAACAATTGGCTTTGAGTTGAAGTATTTATAGACTATATAAGATTGTTTATAATGTTTAAAATAATGCTAATTTTTAATGCTGATATAAGCCCCTTATGAGAGAACTATTTTATGTCCTTGCATAAAAATTTGACAACTGAATACCTCCTCATTCATTTTCTCTAGTTTCCATGCCAGGCTCTTCATATCATTTTTCCCATTTTTCTGTGTGGTTCTGTCACTCATTCTGATGTGAATTGTTTCGAAAGGCTTTTGTATTTTCGAGAATGACATGAAAGTAGAGATTGTGCTGCGGTCTAGGAATATTCCACACAACACAACACATCATCCTGCATAATAACAGGTGAGATGGAGTCCTTTCTTTCACGTTCACTGACCCTTTATTTACAGTTCAAAGAATGGACAAGTTCTGGTCGTTTTTTTTGCGGCCAACGAATTAAGTTAAAGCGCTTAAGGCGCATTTAAATTAACTTTAATAGCGCAGCCCATTGCGGCCAACTCCGCCTGCCCAAAGGATATTCGCACAGCTCAACGGGCCCTCCAAAAGCCACATTTACGCCAAGTACTTAACAACTTTAATGAGCAGGGGATAGAAAGGAGCAAGGACTTGGAGCGGGCCGGCGAAAGAACCGGCGAAAAACCAAAAAAAAAAAAAACGAAACGACCATGAAACATTGAGGGAGGATCCAAAGTAGCTAACGCGCACTTAATACTAATGGCTGTCATTATCCTTTATCCTTTTGCCTGTCGCAACAACTGTCGGTGTGTCTGTGCGACTGTGATACAGGCCCTCTCCGTCACTCACTCCCTCACACACTACTAGTATCCTGGCCTTTTGTTTGCACGCACATTTATTAGGCAAACCAAAGCGCCAAACTTCCAGCTGCCAAAAAACAAAAAAAAAACATTAACTTGGTAAAAACAAAGAAAAAATTAACTTAACTCAATTTACAAAAAACTTTTATTTCTTCTATTTTTTTGGCTGTTGCTGACAAACAAAAAGAAAAACGGAAACGAAAACGAATTAAGAGTCCTGGCCAACTTTAAGTAGCTTTTGTGCGAGAAAGTATTAAAATCGCTTTCCCTCGAGGTCCTGCGAAGCCTCGGCACAAAAGTAAGTGGCCAAAAGGATTCCACAGCAAGTCAAGTGTCCTTGAATCATATTTACTTAACTTTGCAATGTTTCCAGCCATCGTCCTTATTCGTTTTATTTTCCATTTGCCTTCTTCTGGAGGAATTTCTCTTTTATTATTCGCAGAGAAAAGAATTTCCATAAATCTCGAGAGCAAGTAAACCAATTTAATTCCTTTCTAAATGGTTAATATGTGATGAGATCTATTTCAACAATGTTGTAAAAGTTTTCGTGCGGTTCCTGGGGTCAAGTAGTACATAGTAGGAGTGGTAACAGGATAACTTTCGAAAGGCTGCAGATTACTCGAGACAAAGTTTAGGTGAGAGAAAGCTGACGTTGAGTTTTTATCAAGTAGCTGCAGATGGAAAACTTTCACCTCGCTCGATTGACTGTATCTGCATTAAAACTTGAAATATTATTCAATAGACCAGAGTCCATGGAATTCATGGAATATGTCCACCAAAAAAAAAAGGTGAAATGCTCAGTTTGAATTGACCAAACCGCCACACTCCATTATGGCCAGTCCATCTGCAATGGTGGGCTGTTGACCACAACAATTCGGTGGTGGCACTGCCCCATTATTGGATGGGTCACACATCTATGCTGGGTAATAATTTCACACGCCCTGCGACGCGGTCGTTTTAATTAGCACGATTGCATTTTCAACACGTCCAAGCCATTCAAATTGTAAATCACATAGACCGGCCATAGTAACATGTGCTGTCCGTCATTCAGTCACTCGGTCAGTCGGTTTGTCAGCTTGTCAGTCGCTCATTATACATGAAATATACTCAAACGCATATATTTGATTACGTCTCCATGTTCATTGTGCAGCAGATTGCGGTTTGGAGCTCCTCACTTCTGCCAAATGGCCAAAACGGCCAAAAGCTGAGTGCAAATTAATGCAGCCAATTACTGCACAGGGGTCCAGTCCACATCCCATTGATAGAGACAGATTCGAGTGATATGATTTGGTGTTTAATTATCTATTCATTAATATTGATATACATACATAGTTATTCAGTACTTGGTATTACCCATAATTAAGATTTACTTAGCTACTTTTTTGGGTCATCAAGTTGCATATTTTAGCGTTTCTAGGCCATCTACGTAGATGTCGTCGATTGTCTGTTGACGAGTAAACAAAAGTTGAAAATGTGTTTATTTATAGCTCCCATTCACAGTGCCTCCCGTATGTATGTTCTCCACTTGCAATGCGTAGAGCCCGACACAAAATCGGCAGCGAATGCATCCGACTGCCGCAGTAGCCGTTCGAACGTCACGTTGCCACTATCATGGCTCAAATGATGGCCTAAAGGGTGCATCCAATACAGAAATAACAAGCAAAGACTATGAAGACCAGTGCGATTTGTTTAGTGATCTGGCTGTTTAATCTTATCGAGGCTCAGAGGACGCCTCTGATCGATTCCGTCTGCCAGGCGGTTCAGAGGCAGCGACTCGAGTGCCAAGTGCATCGCGTGGAGACCGCCGATGGGTATCTCCTCAGTGTCCACCGAATTCCCGCGCCGCGTAATCCGGCCTGTCCCCGACAGCTGCGTCCGTTCCTTCTGATGCATGGCCTGCTAGGCTCCGCCGCCGACTTCGTATCTGGAGGAGCGGGGAGGTCTCTTGCTTTGGAGCTCCACGCCCGCTGCTTCGACGTGTGGCTGGGCAATGCCCGGGGCACCACCCACTCCCACAACCACCGCAGCCTGTCGCCAAGCGATGCTCGCTTCTGGCAATTCAGCTGGCACGAGATTGGCGTCTACGATCTGCCCGCCACCGTGGATTATGTCCTGGCCCGTACAGGGAAGCAGCAGCTGCACTACGTCGGCCATTCACAGGGGACCACAGTTTTGCTGGTGCTCCTGTCACAGCGACCGGAGTACAATGCGAGGTTCGCCGATGCGAACCTGATGGCGCCAGTCGCCTTTCTCAAGCACCTAAGCAGCCCACCGCTGCGGCTTCTGGCGAGCGACAGTTCCGCGGTAACGGTGCGTATACTTGATGTTTTTTCGACGCGCGATAAGTTGGTCTTTTACGGAAGTAGTGGTCCTCTTTTCTACCAGAAAACGTTGGAAGAACTCATACCATTTTATATTTAAAGCTCTCTTCTTAAATCCAAACCTCAATGACAATTCAAAACTGATATCGTTGTGGCCTTTAACCCTATCCAGCTGCTTCTCAATAAACTTGGCCTCCACGAACTGCTGCCGGCATCGGCACTGACCCAGGTGGGCGGACAGTACTTCTGCAGCTCCACCCTCCCCACCTACGCCCTCTGCACATTCTTCACCTCCCTGTACGTGGGCTTCAGCGACTATCCATTGGATCGTGTGAGTACGATTATATATGCGGGCCATAATTTAGCCAACAAAGCGCCCCAAAAACTTTTTTCTTGTTGTATGCAAAAGTTTTTATTGCACTCTGGAGTGAGCTGAGAAAAATCCTTCGCACACACTCCGCCCACACACAAACAGACAAACAGGGAGGGCGGGGCTGAAAGGGGTAGGGGCCTTAGTTTTGGTAATAAAAGTTATTTGAATTTAAATGCGTAAACGAGCTGCTCTTGCCGGGCAAAGCTTCCTGGCTGAAAGTCAGACCAGAACTATTGTGGAGGAGAGGGTATTACCAAAAAAAAAGGGTTAAGCGATAAAGGCACGGAGCTTGTTAAAGATTAAAAAAAAGGATTTACACTCACCATGGCCATTAAATACAGTAATTCTCTTTTTTTTTGGAAGTTCTTAGTTCTTAGATCTCCTAAAAAAAGCATACTATTCAGAGCATCATCCTCTCGACTATAGAGAATCTCCATTTCATCCTGTAATATGCAACCAAAAGGTGCGCTAAACTTTTCCCCCTTCGGTATCAGCCACCGAACTCGAGCACGGCCCTTTACAAAAATACCGCCCCAGCTGGCGGCTAACTAGAGTATAACACACATTACGTATACGCCACGTTGCCTTAAACACTTTTTGTTTCTCGCGCGCACACGGTACATTTAAATTTTGTTTTGCCGTGAAATATGGCAAATAAATCGCGAAAGAAAAAAGTTTATGGCTTATCTGTGTGTGTAGTGTGTTTTTGGAGTGTTTGGGGCGCGTGCTCCAATGGCTTAGTGCCGCTGAAGTGAGTTAGTTTCGGGCGGGGATAAAGCGGAGGTCAGATCCCGGGCGCCAAGTGCCGCTTGTAAGTTATTAAAGAGGGGGCTTCGGCCAATTGGATGCGCCCCTGGCCGAAGCTGGATTTGAACTTTTTATAGTTGCCGGGAGACCAAATAAAAAAGGATAACAACTTATTGTAGGAGATACGTTGGAATGTGTATAGTTCCCTAATCTTTTTACATATGCAGCCATAAATAAGCAGACATTTTCGGGAAATGAATAAGTAAAGCTTAAAGCGTGGAATGGTAATAAATGTAATCAAAAACATTTGTTTTCCACGCCAAATATTTCAAGTATCAATGCTACGCGGTGGCAAGTCAATAAGATATTTTGGATGCTGCCTGGCTGCCTGCCTGCCACTCGACTCGAGAGTCAACCGAGTGCAACCGCGTGGCATGTCTAGGCGATGCTCATAACTTCCATAAAAAAGTCAACAAACCGGCAAAAACCCAGCAGCGCAAAAATTGTTAAGCAAATACATAGAAAAGACACTGAGACCCTGGCAAATGGAGCGAGGCGATACTTGCGACTTGTCACTGCCACAGTCCGAATAAATATTTGTGCATATTTAAGATATTTTTTTAAGCTATAAGATGGGGGTGGAGGACTGGCACCCCAAACACTCCCTTTTCGCACGACCCGCCACTCAAAGTTCAACACTCTCGGCGAGCTGCACTGCGTCGAATAAGATTCGAGTTGGAATAAATAAAAAATGTAAAGAAAAATGCAAAAGAAACGAAAAAGAAAAGAAAAACTCGGGGAAACACAAACAAGCTGGCGGCACAAAATTGCCAGTATTTGCCACAAGTTGCTGGGATATCCTTGTAAAAGAAAAACAAAGGAAACGAACTGAGGGAGGGCCAAAAAAAAATAAAACCAAAAATGGGAAATGCAACGGCCAGGCGGAAAATCAAATAAACATCAAAACAAAAAAATATGTCGCCGCAGGATGCAGGACGCAGGACGCGCGAGCGATGCAATGTTCAACGAGCAATGCGACGCATGCAACGTTTCAATGGCTTGTCATGGCAATTTAAAGTCAGGCGATTTACATAAAATTCTATAACTGAGAAGTCCTTGTAAAATTACAGCAAAAAATGTATACTCCATCCCACAGCTGTAAAAACTGTGAATTTTTTGCGGATTTAATCTTTAAACTCATGTTACTTTGATTTCAATGGATTTTTAAAAAGCAAAACTTTCGAAAAACATTAAACATTATCCCTAAATACCTTTTAAAGTTTAATAACTAGGGTCAAGTAAAAGCTAAAGAAAATATCTTTATTTACCTTTGCCAGCTCTTTCACCAATATCCTTTGCAATTTCAATCAGCTGAACCCATTCAGCCAAAGCAATATCAATATCAATTGCAATCTCAATATAAAATTGAAAACCTCATTGCACTTACCTTAATCAGAGGCTAAAGCGGAGGAGCCAACAAATAAGCAGCTAATTTCAAAACAAATAATATAAGTTGAACTCCCCTGGCTGGCTGACCTGGCCTGGCCCGTCCCGGACCGTCCTGGTGGAGCTTCAAAGCGAGGACCTCTTGGCCTTTGGTCGGGGAGGACCTCTCGCTTCTGTGCCTGTTCATGTGTATTTTGTATGTGTATGCTTGCTTGTGTGCACTTCCGTTTATGCTTTGTGTCGCAATGAAACGGAAATAGCAGCCTGAACGCACACCGATACACCAACACCGACACACTCACACATGAATGACCCGACCCTCAAGTGGCAGTGGGGGTGAGGTCCTGTTTCCGGCTGCTGCTCATAAAATTTAAACGATTTGGGGAGTTTAAGCCTAACAAAATGCTTTTTGTCTGACCCAATCCAATTCCTCTGCAGAACATCTTGCCACGCATCCTGGAGACGACACCGGCGGGCATATCCCGTCGCCAGCTTCAGCACTTTGGACAGCTCATCAATAGCGGTAAGTTGGACAAGAGGCATATGGACAGTACACAGGAAGTCTTAATAGATGAAACAATTTTTTATATTTATAAATAATTGTTAAAAGGGACTTAAGTATATAGTCTTTTATAACTAAAATTAGTCATTCTTCATTAAAGTATAAAGAATTTTTCCGTGTACACTTGTTAAGTAGAAACCATCACTGATGACTCTCTGTTTTTGCCGCAGGAACCTTTCAACAGTTCGATTACCGTTCGCCCAGGATTAACACACAGCGTTATGGTCAGGCCACGCCCCCCTCGTATCAGTTGGCCAATGTCCGCCTTCGGCTGCAAATCTTCCACGGGTCGCGAGATGTGCTGTCCAGTCCGGTGGATGTGCAACGCCTCGGCAGGGAGCTGAGGCACAGCAGCATTCAGATGTATCAAGTGTCCGGCTATAATCATATTGACTTTCTGTTTGCCGTCACAGCGCCGCAACTGGTATACCAACGAATTATTCAACAGGCTTGGCAGTTGGACGCAGTATCGGTGGCACTGCCCGGCGGCTGATGATGATGATTTATGGAAATTGTGATGGACAGAGCGCGGAAAGATTATGCATTCTGGGCTACTTTGTGCAACTGATGAACTGAACCAATAAATCGGTTTCGCCAAACGTTCGACGCTTGCCCTTTATTGAAATAATCTTAAATGGCTTTCCTTTGATTTACATTTATATTTTGTTAAACGAAAAACAAACTCAAACGAACTACAAAGAAAAAATTGATAAACAGACCTCTTTAAGCTTCCTACTTCACTCTACGAAATTACAATCAAATTCATATTGTACATTAGTTGTATGTATATTAACTGGAATAGTTGCACCGCTTGCCTGCCGGCCTGGGATCCTATCGACTGCCTTTCTGTCTGCCATCTGTCATCTGCCAGGTGGGATGTTAGCAATAGTTTGCGGGGCTGGGATTTGGATTAGTTTTGGATATGTTTCTTGCGAATGAACGACTCCTAAGGTTGAGCTTTCTAAACCAAATTAGCTAAGCTCGAAGCCAGCACCAAACTGTATGGCGTAGAGCAGTTTTTCGCGCATTTGTTCGACGTTATTGAAGGGCGGCAGCTTGAGCAGATTGGCGCAGGTGCTGGCCGTGGGCAGTCGTTCCATGTCACCGGCATTTTGAATAAAGAAAGGAGGATGCAGGTCCTGAAACAAAGAAAAAATTAATTCAAATGAATATTATTTTAAAGAGTTCTTATAGTCACTTTAAAACCCAGTAGTGGTGGCCTGGAGCAGCTGGTGACAAACTTGAGCAGCTGCCGTCGCTGCAGATCATCAAAGCCCTCAAGTGCCGTCCAGAAGGCAACGATTGAGGGGTGTTCTGGTGTGAACTCGCCCCCGTATTTGCAATGCTTCTTGAGATCCTCCAGATCAATTGGTATCTCGGCGCCCGAGATGAGTATTTGAAGCTCCTTATTGCTGAACATATAAAGCCATTCAATGGGCAACACATTTGACAGACCCTTTCGGAAAGCATTGCAGTGGCGACGTATTTGCACGTTGAGCTTGTAGTCGGCCATCAATTGCAGATACTCTATACGATTCGAATTGCTCACTGGTATGCTCTGTCCTTGCGGTTTCAGTTCCACAATCTGTGTCTGGCCCAGGGAACTGCTGCCCACCGTGAAGTCCAAATTCAGTTCGCTAACATCCCCCGTGTAGTCCTTCAGATACAGCAAATTACGGTACAACTCCGGGTCCAATGAAGCCAACTGATGAATGTCCACGTCCGAGTATTTACCGGCCAGCTTTGTTAAGAAGAATTCGGCTAATGGTAGCTCTACCAGGAGATTTTCGTATATGGCCTTTCCCAAAATACGGCCTATGAAGTAATAGTGTTTTTCGTAGTCTTCGAAAAGATCGGCAACGTTTGGATTGGGATAAAGCTTGTTGTCAGTGGTTACCCTAAGGGTGTTGATTAAGAATATTAGTAATTTTTTGTAATTAATATTATTTTTTAGAACTTACATAAAGAAACCGCGGTTGGGATCAAAAGCGGTTTTGATGAGTTCCGACAAGAATTCCCGAAAAACTCCGCCCCCATCGATGCCCGCCTCATCGAGTCCCAGCGAGGAAACGAACTGAATGCGGAACTTTAAACGCAAATCAGGTTCTGTAATATTTAAATTATTAAAAAATAAAAAGAAAAGCTATCCCCATTGCCATTACTAACCATTCTCTGGACGCAACTTGTCGTAGGCATCTTCATAAAGATGCGACCGCCTCACCGTAAGCATAATCGAGGGGCCTTGCAGGAAGGCTTGAAGGTGACCCTGCACCCGCATCTTGTCAGCCGCAACAAGGCCCTGCAAAATGCTTACCCGCTTATTGAAAGCAACCACAAAGGGAATCTCGCGTAATATGGTAATCGAACGAATCTGCTTTGTGGACATGGGCGGTCCATTCTCAAAATCTTCGCGCGTAAAGTCGCGTATCGGTTGGAATGGTCGGATACCTCGCAGGCGACTGCTATGGGTCAATGGTAGATCCGTTGGTCTGTCCAGCGGCAAGTCTAGCCGACTCACAGTCCAGTGCGACTCCGGACAAAAGCCCAAACGTAAGTCACGGGTGTGGATTTGGTTAAGAACAAAGACAACCACATTTAGCAAGTTGGCCCAGATTTGCTTCTGATGCCGCAGCTTCTTGTCATCCGCTTCCGTGTGGCCCAGAACGTTGCGGTAGTTGGCCAAATTGGTGCGAGTCTCTGGGAAGGCCAGCTCCACAAGGCCCAAGCTTATGTCCTTTAATGTTTTTGACATTTGCACGATTTCGGCAATGGAGAACGGCATAAGCCTAACATGGTTGATGGTACTCTGAGCCTGCATCAGAAGCTTGTTCTCCACGAACTCCACGTCATGCAAGGTGGGCAGTAGCCGACCAAAGAGCATGCAGAATGTGGCCAACAGGGGTATAGTGCGATCTACGCCTTGTTGTTTGGCTATCACAAGAAGTAGGTTGTTAGATACTTTGAGTTAAAGCTGGAGAGTTAGTGGTTACTTACGAACAACACCTTTGGAAATGAGGGTGAGCGGAGCAGAGAATCCGAGCTGAGTGGACTCTGCTGCCAACTTAAACCATACAGCACGTATAAACTTTGGGGTGAAGGCCAAAGTATAAAGTAATCTGTGGGGAAACCAATTATAAGTTTTTCATATGAAGGCACTTTTGAAGGCTAAACGTACTTGTATTCGAAGACCGCGTGCTTGTTGTAGATCATCAGGTTGTGACAAATCTCGCAAAGGGCATAGATAAGCTGGCCATTGTCGATATGGGGATCCAGCTGCTGGACAATAAAGTCCACTCTCTCCGTTTCGTTCAGTATGGCGATAGACTCCAGCAAACTTTCGCACTCCTTTTCACTTAGTTCGCTGCTGGTTCGGCACGACTGCTCCATATCGTAATCTAAGGTGCGGGCCGATGGTTGATCCTCATCCTCATCGGAATCGTCAGACTCATCGTCACTATCCCTATGCCGGTGTGGGGCATTGGCCTGGCTTCGCAACGTGGACTTGGGCAACTGAAGAATGTTGGGCATCATTTCCGCAATGAGCCGTATATAGACAACCAGCAATGAATCCTGTTGCAATTGCGCTGGAATCATAAGATTGTTATAGGAATTAGAATATTAGAATATAGAGATTTCCTATTTCACTCACCTAATTGTTTTCGATCGAGAACCAAAAGAGAGTTGAGTAAGAACGAGGAAAACAACACCTCAATGGGCTGAGCTTGGGGCCTCTGCCCCGCTTCCACCCCATGGAATAGAAAACTGCGACGACTGGATGTGTTTTCGGAATCCACTGGCATCGCCGACTCCAGGGCTTCGACCAGTGATCGTATTAACAAGTCAAATGGAAACTCTGAGCTCTGGGCCAAACATGGCAAAACGAAATAACGCAAAGGATCTGTGTGTGGCGTGGCCAGGATGTCCCGAACAAAGTTCTGACAAACGGATAGTGACATGGACGAAACTTGGCCGCCAGCGGAAGCGCGTTTGGCCACAACCAGCGGTCTCAGCAAGAGTTGAAGCAAGGCGTCGGCCAGCGGACTGGGAGCATTCAGAGTCTCCCCGTCCAGGGGCGGACACTTGTCGTCCAGCAGCCGACGCAGGCGAACAAAGTAGTCACGCACAATAAGAAAGCCGAATACTCGCTCCAGATACCTAAACAGCTGGACTTCATCCTCCAAGTAGCGACGCACAGACGAGAAGGTGGTGAAAGTTTCTAGCATGCGCAGCGGGATGGCCTGCGATGTGTGTGACGTGGTCAGCTGGAGCAGGCATGTGTCCAGTAGTCTGCAGACCCTCAATAGCCACGAGGAGTCCTGAGATGAGTGCTGTAGGAGTCGTCCCGGCTGTCGCAAGATTTGCTGACATATCTCGATCTACAATATGAACAAAAACGGATATTTTGTAAGTTTTATATTATTTTAATATTCCTAGGAAATTATTTACGACCTTAAACATATTTTTGAGAGTTCTTATGACTCACACAGTAGATTATTCACTCTACTCACCAATCTCTCACCATCCTTGGCATCGCGGCTGCTGTAGAAGAAGTTCAGACGTCGGAGCAGGAAGGTCAGGCTATTGTCCTCGGTCATGCGATCTTTATTAGCCAGCAGGTAGGCGTCAAAGGCCTCTCGCTCCGCGCGCTTTCTTCGCTGACGGTGAATGAAGGAACGGGCATAGGACTGCAGTACTACTGCCCCGTTGACCCTCTGGCGCAATTCATTTCGCTTCTGGCGCTCCATGGCTGCCTTCCGTATCACAGTGTCTCGGTCGCAGGTGTGGGAGGCTCCACCCAGACTTTGCACTGGACGGCGGCGGTACTCGCCGTCAAATCCGAACATGACGCTGCACTCTTTTGTTGTGGTTGGTCGCAAATTGTTTCAACGGCCCTCTACTACAGCTACAGCTGATCCGATCCACTGCTCTCCTCTCGTTCCACCAGCCTTTCGTTGGCAATCCTCAGTCGCAGCTCTTCCTCATACTTTCCGTGGCAAACGGACGGGCAAATTGCGGCGATTCCGCGGTGGCTTTGGCGCAGATACTTGCTTTTCCCAAATGTATACTTTCACACAACCTTTTCCCTTCGAGATACGTAGAAATTTTAAATGCGTATAAACCTAATTTGCAAATGAATTGTATATTTTCCTCGGACTTTTCGATAGCAATTGAATTGGGCTATCGGCAGGTTGGCCATCTCTAGCACATCTCTAGAAAGTTCAGGGGGCATTCCCGATTTTAAATTCTCAAGATTTAATTATCAATTTAATTTAAGGGTTGTAAAACAACAATAAATAAATTTATTCGTAAAGTTACAACAAACCATAAAATTGGAAAAATTGAAATATAAAAAATCTGTCAAATTAGAAATACCTTTTTTTTAATGAAAATTTAAACTTGTTTTCCGAAGAAAATTCCTTGATTGCCACAAAGTATAATGGAAAAATCTACATAAATACCATTGCAGTTTAAATTTCTAGCAATAGATTAGAAATGAAAGCCATTAATGCCGATACTGCTTACCTGCAATAACACCTATATAAATAGACGTGAATCACCGGATTCGCACTTGTAAACATGTAGGAAGAAATAAACTTACAGCTCCCCCAAAGGTACTGTGAGCTACGTGACCAACTTGATAGATGTACAAACATTTAAATTTTCATTTCATTTCTTTTCCTTTAATATCTTCTGATCACAACGCTGTCATTTTATAGTTGTCAAATAAAATAGTGTCAAGATGAGTAAAATGGTTATATCTAAAACCACTTAATTAGTAGCTTCTGTTAATTTCAAGTATAGTTAGCATCTTTCCTGCAAATGAGAGAGCAGAAACAGCTAGGAGTACTTTCCAGTATGGCCAATATACTGCCGGCGTTCCTAAAGAGCGCTCTGCTTCGCCTGCAGATTCAGTTGGTGCTGTTTCTCGATGAGGCCCAGCAGCGTCCTTGGCACATCCATGGTCTGGTCATCCACCAGCACAATGTCGAAGGTATTCATGTACTTCTCCATGTTCGCCTCCACGTGATCGAAGAGAAAGCCGATCTTCATGATGTGGGATGAAGCTGGAACTCCAGAAGCCATGTCTGCATCGCCGATGGAATCACCCATAACAATGATGTGGTCGCGGGTGTGCACCAGATCGTAATACTCGTTGCCGTCCAGAACGGTTTCGTTCTTATTAAATGTATGAATCATTGGCTGCTGAAAGCCATCCAGATTGCCGTTGCGGTATTTTAGGAAATTAGAGACGACTCGAACGTTGGGGTGCATTACGTTCGCCTGACGCAGCACGGAGACAACGGAGTTGCCGAGGCCCGCGGAGAACACCAGCGTTGGAATGCCCAAGCGATCCAGGTCTGCAAAGAACTCGTGGGTGCGGTCACGTAGCGCATGCTTGTATTTGCTGGCCACATGATCTATTTCTGACTGATCAAAGGAAAATCCGCTGGTCAGTTCGCCTGACTTGGTCCACCACTCGATCATGAATTTGGTCTTTTCTTCGACTGGCATGTGGGGATCGATCTCAATGGGACGATACTTGCGATAGAGCTTCTCCGTCTCGACCTTGAAATTCTCCGGCAGGGACTCGCAGGCGTTGAATATTCCGAAGCTGGAGAGCACAGCGCAGCCATCCTCCGTCCGCTGCTTGGTGATGGTGTAGTCAAAGTCCGACACGAGCTGCATGCGCTCCGGTCCGCCCTGGACGAACTCGTTGATGATCCGCTCCACCTTGGCCGGATCCAGCATACGGCAGTGATCCTGCGTCAGGGCAGGAATGTCTTGGACACGCAGATAGCCTGAAGCCGGCTCTCGTTTCTCGTCACAGCCCATCTTTCCAATCAGTCTGCTTGTCCACCTGGTGAGACGTCTGCGAATGCTCAGGTTGAAATGCAATCTGAACGCGGTTGCTTGTCAAGCGAAATGTGGAGCTTTCGGGGAGCGAAGCGATATCTGCAAATTGTTTAGGCAAGCGAATTAGTTTCGCCTATATGTCGTATATTCCCGATCAGCCGTCGAATGTGCGTGCGTGTGGGTGTGCTGGCGGTTCTACATATATCTAAGGCTGACCTTGGACGTTGTTTTGAATTTGTGGCGAATTTCGTTGTCCCCACCAAAGTTCGGAAAGTCGCTGGTGTTCGTTGTTCCCGGACAACGCTTGTCGCTAGACAACTTGGGCTTATCGTCCAACTATCGTGGCTCTGATACGACAACGTCTTTATTTATAAATTAATGCCGAAAGTAGAATCCAGAGTGTAAACAGAAACGATATGGGTCCCGATTTGCCTCCCTCACACGGCTCTCATCGGAACAGCTGCGGTGGTGCTGGAACGCGTGGAATCGGAACAGAAGCCAAACAGCTGACGAGGGCGCCAATTTTCACATAATTTTAAATTTTAAATCGAATAGAGTTACACCGATATTACAAGTTTTATTTCTTATTTGAAAGATTTCTCTACTAAGGTCTACAATTTCCATGATATTAATAGAAAAAAACAGAAAAGTCTCTTCCGATTTCAAAAGGCATGAGTCTCAGTCACATTTCCACTCGGACTCCTTTGCCATCTTCGTTGATAATACTTAAGTATCTTAATTATAAACGAAACTAATAATGAACATATATCAATAATGAACATTATATATCAAATAACCTAGGGTTGAAACGCAATCCGTTTACATATTAAATATGTATTAAAAAAAAAGAATGAGAAGAAGCATAAACTTAAACTTAAACCAAGTTCTCTGTGATGGGGATAACAAAGGAATATCGCATTAGTCTTCGATAATGATGGCGGCCGGGGGCTGGTTACTCTTCGATGGCACTTGGGGGGTGGTCGCCTGGGGTTTGGGTGGCGCCGGCTGCTGCTGCTTGCCGGCTGGTGGCTCCACGGCCAAGAACTTCCAGTCGCCCGGCAATAGAGGCGTAAACTTCGGATTTCTGGCCAGTTGACTAAATGGAGGACAAGACAAGAGGAAGAGGTTAAAGGAAGTTCACCCTTGGTGTTATTTTATAAAGACTTACCGATTTAAAAAGTTGGCGGCGGAAGCAAAGTTCTTGAAGCGCAACACTCCAACTTCGGGCATCTTGATCATGAACTCCGTTCCTTGGACCTTGGCCCTGTAACGTGGGAGTCCCTTGGCACCGATGAAGCCATAACAAAACTTCTTCTCGTCCTGCTTAACTGGCGAGGCATTCAATGTGGTGGCAGCTACTGTTTTTGGAACTGTCGGTGGCACTGGAACTGGCACCGCTCTCGGAAGTGCAGATGGCGCAGCTTTTTGGAACGTGTTTGCCTCTACCTTGGGACGCACCTCTCCAGAGGGCTGTGCGGGAACCACCTTTGCCGGCAGAGATTGGCGAACGGGTGGGGTATCAACGATAGTCCTCATTTTGACGGGCAAACTCATACGGTTTGAGGATGAAGCCGTAGCGGGTGACTGTGACGTGGAGGCGGATGGCATTGACTTATCGCTGGTCATCATGACTGGCAGGGATGGGCGAGACGCCACCGCCTTCACTGTGACTTTTCGATTTCCCGACAACGATTGCCGAGACATACTCGAGGGAAGAGGATACAATTTCATTGCCTCAATGACACCCGGTGGCAGGCTGGTACGTGGTTTCTCGGGAGGCTTTGATGTAGATGCAGTCGCTGGACCTAATTTGACAACTGTCTGAGCAGTTCCCGGCTGTAATAATACTGTTTTCGGTGGTACCTTGGCCGCACCGGTTGCACTGCGCTTGCTGCCAACCTTTATGCAGTCGGGATCCGGTTTCCCGTCCTGGCTGTATAGTTTGGTGATTGTAATGCCACCAGGCGTTACAGTGTTCCCGTTGCTCAGCAGCTCCTGCAGCGACTCATTGATCTTGCTGTTCATCAAAGAGAGGCGACTTATCTTAGCGGCCGGTGGATGGTCCGATGAGCTTTGTGAAGTGGCATCGGAAGCCACTGCCGTGGTCGAAAGCTGAACTTGTGGCGTCAGTAGCTGCGTGGTGGGCTGCGGTTCTCCATTCTTAATGGGAATATTCGAAATAAAGGGCATAAAGCCACCGGCCATCCGAGATACGGATCCGTCATTTAAGGATATCTTTACTGGAGCCGAGGATGGGCTTGGGGTGATCTGCAGGGAGCGGTTCGCCCCTACCGACTGGATGGTGAAGTTAAGACGGGGTGGTTCCGTCTTTGTCTCGTTCGGCAGAAACTCTTCCTTAACACAAACTTCCTTTTGCTTACCAGGGCTCTCCATCTCCTTCGAATCGTCACTCTTCGGTTCATCCTCCTCGTCGCTGTCAAGGACCACGACGGGTGGAATCGGCTTTTCGTCCTGCGCCGCTTCAACAGAAAGCTGTGGTGGAATTTGCATCAATTCTTCTAAGGATTCTTCCGCTGCGGACTGCTCCTCGAGCTTGGCAGTCGATTCTACATCGATCTCGAAGTGAACTTGGCCATTCACATGAAGCACCCAAAACGCCATGCTGCGACGCTGGGGGTCCACTGGAACCGAGTGCGCCCGCTGATAAACCTCCCGCAGCATTACCTTTCCATCAACACTCTGCAGCAGCACCAGTACCGGTGGTGGCCAACGGTCTAGGTGCAGTGGCCCGAAGTAAATCTTCTTACGGGACGACGGTGTCACAAAGGCGTCATAGGGAGCGTTCTGGAAGAACTGCAGCTTCACCACCTTCTGCTTGTCGACGGCCACTTCCATTACACTGTGGATTCTGTCTCGGGAAATCATGTCTCCAAGGGCGGGAACGAAGATGTGGGAAAAGTCGTCAAAGAGGTCCAGTACCAACCAGCGGTGATCTTCACTGTGCATCTCTGGGATCTGCAACTCATCCACATCGTGATGGTTGACTTTTCGAAACTCAATATTGCTGCGGATTCCAGACACGTTGGCTTTGGTTGGCTTGGGAGGAGGAGTGACTGTCTGCCCAGACTTGGGATTGACAGAAGGCCCCGATTCGAGTTTAGCCACAGAAGAGCGTTCGACTGCAGTCACAGGTCCTTCTGCAGATTCAGGATTAGATGCAGAGGCAGAAGCTGGAGCAGGGACAGTTGAGAGCGCCGTTGATGGCCCCTTTGATGGGCGAAGTGCCGAACATTCCGACTCTCCACAAGGTAGGCCTCCTGAACTGTGCATCTTTTTGTGGTGTTCCCGTATGCGCTGCTTTACGAGCAACGAACAGAGTACGTTAATTTTCTTGGTCAGTAGCGGGTGAGTCTGCGGCGTGGGTTTGGTGCAAGCATTGCCCTCCATGTGTCGGAGGAAGCCCTTAACAAGCCAATAGCTCTGCCTTCCCTGCATCACTACAGCCAGGCGACTCGTGTGCTCGTTCCGCTTACCCTCCATCAGCATGCTAGCCATCAACGGCAGCGCCTTCGGATCAGGAGCAAAATTGGTGTTTACCACTCCGATAGCTCCGCACACCGACGGCATCATATTGGTGGTGGTGGCTGCCAGAAAATTATAGGTCTTCATCTGAACGTCCCATATGAACACATAGCCCGATTCAAAGGCGGCCAGGAAGTTAGTCCACTTTATGATGCACAGAATCTCTTCGTTGGGGGCCGGGATTATCTTGCTTTCGCGTTGGAGCGCCAAATCGATGTCCTGCATTTTCTTGCTCACCAGGGTGTTCATGTTCTTGACTACTTCGTTGTAAAAAGATCTAAAGTTGGGTGAGTCTGTCTCCAGGGACCCAGCAGCTGCTACACTGGGCATTCCAGACCCCGTAACATCCACAGAGGCGGCATTAAGCGAGTAGCAAGCAGCAATGCGAGGTACTTGGATGTCTCTTGGGTGGATCTCCGAAGAAGTAGAAGTGGCTTCTTCAATCTGCAACTTACTGCGTTTGATCGGAATGTGTTCCATGTCTTTGGCGGCAGATCGCTTTAGGAGGCTAACAGTCTCCGGTTCATCAGAATCATCGACCACTTCAATGACAGAAGGAGCCGGTTGCTTCATGGAAGCAAGCTTCCTCTGACGTTCCAGTTCCTTGCGGTAATAGCATACTGCGCCTAGTATACGATCCCTAAGCAACTCTTCCGTCTTCGGCGTCTCATGGCGGGACACATACTCGCGTATTCTCTCAGCCCGGCGACGATTAAGGCGTTGATAGGAGCTCTTTGGCACGGCGACGGCTCGCCGGCACATATTCGGACGCGATCGAAAATAAATAAAAATGGCATCCAGTTCGGCGGATCGCTGATGGGGAGTATCATTAACAAACAAGTTGGAGAGCGCCTCCTTGGTACGGTCGAAGGCGTATTTTTTCGGAGTTTCCAACTCCAACGGCGTCGACAGCTCCACTGGCTCCTTTGGCTTTTCACTTATATGAATCGCTTTCTGCTCCACTTTCAGCTTTGGCTTCTTATCCTTGAATTTCTTTTTGGCTGGTTCCTCGGGTGGTCGCTCAAAGCTATAGTGAGCCTTGATGGCAAGGTCAGGATTGTAGTGGGTGACCTCCGGGTTCCACTGCTCCTTCTCGATGACAACGGGCTTCCCAACAGGTGAAACGCCCCCGCAAAAGCATTTGTAGAGCTGGTGAGTCATGCAGAAGGTGGCGAGATTGTCAACGTCCGGCAGTCGTCGCAGGCTAACAACGCAATGCTTCAACTTTTCCATATCCGTATCCTTAACAATGCAGGGAAAGTTCAAAATTGGCGCCGACATCTTGGCAGTGGCGGCGGCAGCAGCTGCAGCAGCCGCCGCGGCGGCCGCAATCTTCTTTTGCTTCTTGGACCCGGGCGACACCACATCCTTTTTCTCATCAAACATATCCGTGTCGTCAAAGTCCTCGTACCGCTTCGGAGCCTTGGTGCAGCGTCGCTTCTTGTCACCCTGCGACTCGTTAATCAGCAGAGTCTCATTATCGGTTAGCACCAAAGTGGAGGTAAACTCCTTCTCCATTTTTGCCAGTCGAGCAGTGGCTTTACGTCGCAGGTTAAAGGCATCCTCGTTAGAAATTCCACAGACCTGAAAGGCTGACTATTTAAAAGGAGGCTATTGAGTGGTTTTAATGAGCTTACATCGCCAGCTTCCACTCGCATAACACGAGCATTCTCTCCTCCAATGCAACAGCATTCCAGGACGCATTCAGCCCGACCGCAATGATCTTTGAGGGGTATTTCAGTGCCTGTCAGGCTGCCACAAACGCAGCCTAGCTGGCAGTAATCCTTCGCGCAGGGTTTCGTATCTGCAAGAAAAATAAAGGTGTTAGTTATAATTTAAATATATGGTAACTAAGCACTGACCATCCGCATTCCTGGCAGCTGCCGCATCTATAATGGTGGCATTCAATCGCCGCAGCTCATTGGCCAGACGCTTTTGTTTGCTGGGAAGGCGTTTCTTGCCCATTTTTGAGGCGTCTTTGCCGGCCTCCTCTTTTATTGCATTCGGATCGGCTATCTGGGCCGAAGAGTTGGCATTGGCCGCATCTGGATCCTCCATGATGAAGCTATTCTCGCTGCAACTAATAGCCACGGTGTTAATCATGTCGTTGATCATGTCCGCACACGCAAGTTCCACAGGATCTGCCTCAGGGGACAAATCCTCGCGGAAGTTTAGTTTCTGCAGCTCATCGGGATACTGGTGGAAGCTGGCGTCAAGCTCCTCAGAGCGGTCCACAACGCGGCGGACCAGGATATGATTACGGTCGTTCATGTAGGGAATGACGAATGTGAAACTCTTCCTGCGGCCCGCTGGCGTTTGGGCCGCTTGCTCCTCGGCCTCCTTCATACAAGCTGGCGCCTGCTGCAACGTGGAGACACTGAACTCGGCCCACTCGCGGGTGATGTCGTGGTGTGGCAGGATATGCTGCAGATAACGCTTGGCAATCTCGTCCAGCGGTCGTCCCAGTTGGGGCATCACATCCAGCTGAACGGTCGGCATGCTCACCACCGCCATGCTACCTCCGGCAAGCAGCAATGCCGCCGTGTCGTCGTCCAGCGGGCGCTGAAGGGGCTTTTTGGACAGAGGGCAGGGACGGAATATGGCGGGCATGGGAAACTTGTTGAGCACTTTGTGGTTCTTGATAGCAGTCTCTTTGGTGCGAATCACTTTCAGCTCGGGGTAGATGCGGGCATCCATGCACTGGCTGCTACACTGTATCTCGTCGACTTCCTTTGGATTCAGCCGGCTGAGGTATGGCCTCTTCTCCCGACGCAGATTATTGCCCTGAGCTCCCGGAAGACGCACCATCTCTCCATCTATTTGGATTACCTACAGAATAAAGCATGTGGTTTATGTACCCATTAACAGATCTCTGCTGCACAAACTCACCTGGTAATAGTACCTGGAGTTCTCCGTGGCCACATAACTGGCTGCCTGCCAGCCCTGTCGGGTGAAAGGCATTTGGGTGGCGGGCGACTGCAGAGCTTGCATCGCTCCAATCTTCACCTTTCGCTGGCGCTGCTTCCGCTGCAACTCCCTGTATATATTGGCCTCATTGTTAATAATGACCATCTTCTGGTTCTTACAGCCCTGCAGGTAGTGCCGTCGTTCCGCAACTGTCCTCAAACGCTGCAATGCCTCCGGCACCGCTGGCATGTCCATTGGCGGGGCCATGCTATGCCTAGTGACCTGTCCGTCGTGGCCCATCGGTTCCAGCAGCTTATTCTTATCATCCTTACTGTCGGAACGCAGCATCGAGTTTGTGTAGTGCTCCCGCATGTAGGCATCCAGGGAATCACTAACGAAGGCGGCGTTGCCCTCGAGCGTTTTACAGTTCTGCGGCACCAACGGTGTGAGCAGCATGCCCGGCTGGTGGACACTCTCATCAAAGCCCACGAAATCCTCGCTGCCATCGTCCTCGGATGCGGTGACCGCCGCCGAACCAACTTCGGCAGTCATGTTGGCCTCGTTCGCAAATGTCTTGACCCTCACTTTGCTGATGAGCATGTCCAGGAATTTGCTGCCTCCGACCATTTCATCCGACTTCCGAGTCTTATCCGACTTCTCGTTACTGGAGCAGGTGCTGCTGGGCTCCTTACTGGGCGTGGGGGGAGTGAGATCGTCACACCAGGAAGTTATTTTCTTCGCTACTTTAGTAGGAGTTTTTTCTTCTGTGACTTTGGAAATGCTCAAGTCGGATTCCAGGATCTCATCAGCGTCTGCCTGGGTTTCCTGTTTGTCATTGTCGCATTCCTTTTCCGCCAGGACCTCGACATTTCGGTTGGCGTCCTCTATCAACGACAGTCCTCGTTTGCTACTCTTTAGCAGTTCTAGTTGCTCCTTCATCTGTTTGGAGACCTCCTCAGCGCCCAGAGGCTCGGCCACGCTGTAGATCTCCGTTTCCTCGTACTCCTCGATGCGACCCATCTTCCTGTAGTAGCTGATCAAACTCTTAGACCACTGTCGAACGTTTTGTAAACGTCGCTTGATCATCCGCTTGAGACGAGGATCGAAGAGCACGGTGCGGGCCCGCTGCACGATGCGAACCCGATTTCCCCGCTTCCGCCACGCATATTTCCGGATGACGCAGTGGGGAGTGAGGGCGTATATTATGAATCGCTTAACATTCCACCAATTCTGCTGCAGGAAGGTGTCGGAAACAGGATATTTCCTTTTGAGGTGACGATATTTTTTTAGTTCCTTGCCTTTTAAAATAATGGGCGGCAAGTCGCAAGTCATGCTGGAAAAAACGAATTTATTACATAAAGTTTAAAGCTTCCAAAAATGCATAGGGCATTTAAAGTGCAACCAATTATTACAATTATCGTAAATGGGCAGCACCGGCAGCTTATCATTTGATCTATGCAGTATCACCTGTCCTGGCTATAGTTTTCTATCCAGTTTATTTTAAGAACCTCTCCGAAAATTAATTTAACAAGATTTCCGTTTTAATTAATAATTAAAAACACTTTTTTGTTCAATCATTTGAAACTCAATGGGCAGCATTGGTCCTAATCAATAGATACACACGTAAAACTCTTCTTAAAACACAAATGACCTGTATATATTTTCATACATATTTACGCTTTATTATTTATACGCACTTTTGCAAACGAAGCCAGAATCACAAATGTCGGCAAAGACAAAAAAATGTAAAGCTGACTTAGCGCCTTCCAGGGGCACGCATACCTCACTAACACCCACACACGCGCACGAGGGGATGCGATGCGATGCGCTGAACTAAAACATTTTCCGATTTTGATTTTCCTCACTTAAGCTGACTAACAAAAACGACACCCGCACCTCGCCAGCAAACAAAACACTTTAATTGACGCGGAGAGATGCATTTATTTCAGCAGCAAGTTGAATTGTAGACGCCGCGTGCGATTTTGCGATCAGATCGAAAGACACAAGAATCAGACTCAGTCACAGCAGTTAGGCTGTGTGTGTGTTGGGTGAGCCCTGGTATTCACCCGTTTCAGTTATTCCCTCGGAATGGTTGGTATCGAAACGGCGGTTGTTGCTTTTGTGGGAGCGGGAGGGTCGGAAGGTGTGCTGCCATACACGTGCGCGCTACTATTTATTATGTAAACCCTCTAAATATATTTAAAGAAGAAGACCGATAATCTCAAATAATATCCTTGTTTACCAACACTGAATATTAGTGGCGAAGATTTAGAAAATTTCTAAAAAGCGTAATAGCCGTAATAGCGGGATCAACAAATAAAAAAAAAATGTATTCTCTTTCTAGTTCTATTTCTTTTTAGGAAAAAAAAACCAAGAACTTTTAGTATGTACATATTTTATAAGCAAATTTTAAGAAATATTGTCCTGCGGCAATTAATTGATATACGCAAAAAAAAACATTTAAAAAAGCGTTATTTAGTTTCTTTTCCGGGAAACAAATCAATAACCTCAAAATTGAAATACAAAATGGCGTCGCAATAGATACATACACAACTGATCACATGCGTCACTTGAAAGCACCCTGAAGAACACCCACGCCGGCAATGTCCTTTCGCACTGTACTTTACGTCTGTTTAGGGACTACGTACCTGTACTTGTGGTAAGCCTTAGTCCCTTTTCAATCCCTCGGCAGTTGCCAATCCTTTTTTGCGACGCAATTGCAGAAATTATTTTGCAATTAATCCACAGCTCTCGCTGACGACGCGTCGAAAAGCATACCTCGAATACATACACACTGACAGATGGCCGATGAATCCGATAGGCAGCCCGCCAACCAGAACAGGGCTGCATTATGGAAAAGCAAAACTGCATGCTAGTTTGTTTATTTTTGTTTTTTTATGCGATGAATGAGTGTAGGCTGTGCCAAATATGATTTATGTTAATTACAATATTAAGATACTAAATTCAGATTAGAATCTTTAATCGCGTGAGTAATTTTTGCTATTGTCGAAGAATGTGAACATGCCATCGTTCCACTTTAACGGCATTAGATTATTTTGCATCCCTAGCACTTGACGGAACAAAGTGGCTTGTCAGATATTTCCGTTTTATTTTCAGGTTATAAACAAGCATGACCCAATTTAAAAATATAAAACAACGTTTTTTTATTTCTCTTTTTCCCTTTTTTATTTTTTATTTTAAGACTAATATGTACATAATAAGGAAGAACAATAAATATTGCTTGGGATGGTACTGTACCTGCAAGAAAAGAAAAATGTATTAAATATTTATCGAATCAGAAGGAAGGTGGAAAGACTAAATTTATTTTTTCAGCAGGACCTAATTTAGAGGATTGTTTTTGTTGCGGTTAATGTGAATCATTCCACATATATCAGCACTCCTTTCACATCATCTAAACGGTTAGCTGAACATTCAAATGGCAAGCGAAACTTACCTTTAAAATTAGTTTAAGCCAGGTTAGCGGGAAAGCGGGTAAAACATGCAACTGTAACAAGGGGAAATTATTTTTAATTATATTAAAGTTACGGGTGGAAAATATTAGTTTCGTGGAAAATAATCAGTAGACGGTTAATGTTGCAGTTGCGGTTAATGTGAAAAATCATGCCACATAATTCATGTATCCATTCTCATCATTTCCGTTGAAACATTGCCAGATCTTTGAACAAAATATTTACCTTTTTTTTAATTTAAAAGGTTTTATTATGGTTTGCCGTAATTGACCACCTGGAAGAAACAAAAACTATTTAATTTTAGCAAGATGTTAGGAAATTTCTTATTTTACAGACAATAATAAACAATATTATTTTCAGTAAGACCAATCTCGCATTCAACAGGAGAAGTTTCAAATTTCAGATAGGGGCGAAAGTTAGTGCTCATCATTTAAAATTTAGACTTATTATTTTTATTTTGTAGGTATTTACCTTTTTAAGGAAGCTTTATAGTCCTAAGTAATGCCCATTCCATAATGCTTTAATTTTTCTGTAGATAACCTGAAATATAAAGAAACGAGTTTTATTATAAAGAGTGCATTATTATGCTTAATTTCATTTAATGGCCAAAAAAATTCACGAAAGAATTGTCGACTGAAATTTCTTTGTTAAGCCCGCAGGAAACGTTGCCTAACATACACACATCAGAAGCATTACTGTTCCCAATCATAGTCACAGGCGCTCGTGGGATTCGAAGCAGCTGCCGGCTTAATATCCTGGGGTATATAGATTTCTTTTTACAAAATTCCAGAGCTTTATTTTTCAGAAGGAAATTTTTAAAACTAATGTTTAGAAATCAAAAGGTTTAAATTTTTATTTACCTTTAAGGAAAGTTGTTTGTTGTCTCAAGCAGTCAATAGTTTGAAATCTGATAGGCCCCTGGAAAATAAACAAAAACATAATTTAATAAAGCAGCTAAAATTTTCATAACAATTTTAAATATTAACAATTTTCAGTAAGACCAATCTCGCATTCAACAAGAGAAGTTTCAATTTTCAGATAGGGGCGAAAGTTAGTGCTCATCAGAGAAAATGTTTTAATTGATGAAATACCTAAAGTTTATCTTACCTTTTTATTTATGATTTAATAGATTTCATTCCTTTCTGCAACTCATCTCCTTTTAAGGTTTGCTGAAAAATAGAGAATTCATTCAATTAGTTATGTAAAAATCATAAAATATATAGATGAGTCTATTTATATATTTTCAGTAAGACCAATCTCGCATTCAACAAGAGAAGTTTCAAATTTCAGATAGGGGCGAAAGTTAGTACTCATCAGATACAAATTTTGAATTTTAAAATAACCTTAAGATTTCTTACCATTTATGCTTGGTGGAGGGATTCGTTCCTATTCCTTGGCCAATATTGGTTTTAACTGGAAATTAGAAAAATCAATGATTAGTTTGGTAAAAAATATCAAATATCAAGACGGATATTTTTATATTTCTTTTCAGTAAGACCAATCTCGCATTCAACAAGAGAAGTTTCAATTTTCAGATAGGGGCGAAAGTTAGTGCTCATCAGAGAAAATGTTTTAATTGATGAAATACCTAGTTTTTCTTACCTTTTCATTTATGATTTAATAGATTTCATTCCTTTCTGCAACTCATCTCCTTTTAAGGTTTGCTGAAAAATAGAGAATTTATTCAATTAGTTATGTAAAAATCATAAAATATATAGATGAGTCTATTTATATATTTTCAGTAAGACCAATCTCGCATTCAACAAGAGAAGTTTCAATTTTCAGATAGGGGCGAAAGTTAGTACTCATCAGATACAAATTTATTAATTTTAAAATAACCTTAATATTTCTTACCTATTTATGCTTGGTGGAGGGATTCGTTCCTATTCCTTGGCCAATATTGGTTTTAACTGGAAATTAGAAAAATCAATGATTAGTTTGGTAAAAAATATCAAATATCAAGACGGATGTTTTTTATATTTCTTTTCAGTAAGACCAATCTCGCATTCAACAAGAGAAGTTTCAATTTTCAGATAGGGGCGAAAGTTAGTACTCATCAGAAAAGAAATGAAAAATCGTTGTAACCGTGAGATAATTACCTTATCGGTTTTATCCAGTTGTTCAGTTATTTGTCCTCACCTGAAACTAAAGGAAAGTAAACAAAATTAGTAAATATATTCGTAAAACAATGAGAAATAAATAGAAATTGCTTTTTTGTTTAATTGTTCAGTAAGACCAATCTCGCATTCAACAAGAGAAGTTTCAAATTTCAGATAGGGGCGAAAGTTATTGCTCATCAGGGATAATCAACAAAAAAGCATCTTACTTTACTTGAAAATATAGTTATGAAACTTACCTTCTATATATGAGTAAACCTGCCTAGCTAAACAATTAAAAGAAAGTCTAGAAATACTACAAAATAAATCAATTCTTTACAATAAAATATATCATTTATTGCATTGCGAATGTCACTTAAATGCATTTGAAAACGTTCTTGCATCTCTACACATAAAAACACTCCTTAAACTTAGCAACTAAAAATTGTAGGGTATCTCTACGGAAAACTGTAGAGATCTGTATAAATCCTAAGCCTATAGAAACATTTTATTCCTGAGCTTCTCTATCCCTATCCTTATCCTTCTTCTTCTTCTTTTTCTTCTCCTTTTCTGCTGGCTCAGCATCACCGGATGCTTCAGCAGGGGCTTCTTCATCGCCCTTGTGCTTCTTCTTATTCTTCTTCTTTTTCTCGCCCTTCGATGGCGTCTCCTCAGCGGTGGCTGCTGCTGCCGATTCCTCAACACTGGAGGTGCTCAGCTTGCGCTGTAGCAGAAAAATAGATAAGTAATCCAAAATCCACACCAAAAGTTCATTTTCCAATCATACCTTGCTGACTTCGCTAGATCCATTAGATGGAGGGGCTGCTGCCTCTGGAGCAGCAACTGGCTTCTTGGCATTGTAGTCCACGAACCCAGTTAGCCACTCCTTTGGTGTGTTCTCGTTGGGCCTGCCAAACTTGTCCAGTTTTCCGGCGGCGATGAGCGCCTTCTTTGCCGAAGCCTTCGGACCCAATCCCCACTTGCTCGGATAGGTATCACGCTCCATGATCACTCGCTTGATCTTGGCCACCACGCCATGGTCGCATGACGACATTGTGGCTGTGGTCATTAGAGCAATGGCCAGGCAAATGGCCTCACCCTTTGTGGTGCAGATGACAATCTCCTGATCGATCTCAATACCGTCCTCGTAGCGCAGGACACCTGGCAACATTATCTTGGCTCCGTAGCACACGGCATTAACCTGCAAGAAAAATTTAAGATGCATTTAGATTCATTTCTAGCAAATATTGATGTTTAAGATATTGTCGACTGAAATTTCTTTGTTGAGCCTGCGGAGGAGCCTGCACAACATACACACATCAGAAGCATTACTGTTCCCAATCAAAGTCACAGGAGCTCGGGGGTTTCAAAGCAACTGCCGGCTTAATATCATGGGGTAAGTTTATGTACAAATTGTTTCACTTACGGAACTGTCTTTCATGATGATACGCTTGTGGTTCACCAGAAGACCCTCCAGTGGCTTGATGACGCGTCTCAGCAGGGACTCGTCTTTGTGGTTCTCATACAGCCACATGGCATCAAGAACGTCGTGCATGGTCACCATGCCATCGCGCTCAGACTGAATGCCCGAACGGACACGACGCAGTTCCAACATCTGGCCACCGACGCCCAGGACTAGACCCAGATGGACGCACATGGTACGAATGTAGGAGCCGGCCTCGCAACTAACCCAAAAAACACCTGAGCACGTCAGTATCCGGCATAGGAGGGAAAAGAAATGGAATTTTATAATATAGAATGTGCATTTGCGTTATGGGGCAAATACTGGGGTTTTGCTCGAATTAAGGAAGCTGCATCCCTGCCTGATAGTCAGTCTCAGGCAGCGACAAAGCAGCTCCTGACTTAAAAAAATAAACTTTTAGGAAACTCACCCATATTGCGGCTCTCATCGTAATCCAAGAGCTTGCTGTCGTACACCGTACGCACACGAAGCTGACGCTTTACGGCGGAGATAAGAGGTGGGCGCTGGAATAGAGCACCACGCAGTTTCTCCAAGCCTTGGCGTACCTTGGCCACAGATTCGACGGCACCGTGAAGTTTGAAAATGGCCACATACTCCTTTCCAGCGCTCTGCTGGGACTTCACCAGACGAGTGGCACGGTCGATGCAAACAATCAGGCAACCTGCCAAGCACGCGGGCACATTGAGGTTAGGTCAGGTTAGTGCGTTGCGCGCGCATGGACCACTTACCCGTAACCTTGGGATCTAGCGTGCCCGAGTGTCCCGTCTTCTCCACCTTGAGGATCTTTTTAATCCAGGCAACCACTTCATGGGAACTGGGATTCGAGGGCTTGTCAAGATTAATGAAGCCTGTCTTCATGTACTCCTTGATGTCGCGGTTCAACGGCGAGGAGCCGTGGGCCAGTGGTGTGTAGTGGTTTGAACGCACGTTCAGCTTGTCGAAGTTCTTTAGCAACAGCGGCCATTGCGAGGTGTCCAGCTCTGCTATCTTGGAGGAGGGCTTGATCTGGAAGTTGCCCTGCTTTTGCAAGGTGCCAATGTCTTCGGCATCCACCGGCTCCTCCTTGATCTTCTTCTTCTTCTTTTCCTTGCGTACCTCTGGGAATAGATTCTCCTTGTAATGGCATGTCACGGTTTATTCATCATCCATGAACTTACCCACGTCGGCCATTTTTATTTCAATTTGTCTGCAACGTTTAACTACTGTGAGAGCAACCTCCACACGTGTTGCGCGCTGCAAGAAAAAAGACGGAAAACACGTGGAGAGTGTGACCGTTGAAAAATACCACCAGTGCTGCCAACTATCGACCTATCGAAATAAAATATCGGACGCTAACTGGCGTCGAAGTGGAACGGTGGAATTAGAACACAGCAACGAATATTTTGTTTTTTAATTATTTCTGTATTTAGCCACTAAATTTAATAAAATAAACACTAGAATTGTTAAAAATTGAATAAACTATTGTTTTTTTTTTACATTGAGCGGGTTCTACACTCTTTAAATAACTTAAAAATGGGTTTGAAAAATTGCCCCCTCACTGTGTTGAGCATTATCTCAGAAATAAGAGGATGTGCCAATAAGCAGGATACACCAGCTTATAGCCCATTATTTTGAGAATATACCCTGAAAATTTCATTAAAATCGCCTCCTACGTTTTGGACAAATCGACTAAAAGTGGACCAACCCGGCTAACAGCCCATACAAAAATGACCCCAAAAAATTGTTTTTAAAATTGTGAAGCTCCAAGAGGATGCGCCAATATGTAGTGGAGTCGATGTAGGACCTTTTCAAGTATGTATGGACCAAAATTCATACAAATCGCTTCCACAGATTTTGAGAAAATCGAATTACAGTTTCCCATATAATTTGAACTACTAAGAGGAGCGCCAAGTAGTGAACCGAAACCAGTCCACAAAAAGTTCAATGAACTAGTTTAAAAATACTATATGGCCTCTGTTAGATTTATTAAGTCCTTCACAGAGAATGCGCCAAATTGCACGGTATACCGTTGAAAAGCTTATTTTACTATTTTTATTTAAATCGCTTTTAGCCCATTCGAATGGTACCAGAGCCATTAAAATCGAGTGAAATATCCTTTCATTTTACAGCACTGTTATCGCTACCTATCGATACCGGCACATTGTAATAACACTCTTTTTCTCATCTCTAACTCGCGTCGTTAAAAGATTTTCTAGTTTTTGGAAAATAAACTAAAAGAGGTCCATATAAGGAACTTTCCTGTCGACTTCAAGCACATACTCACTGCCAGGATGGTTAAGCTAACGCCAGAGTTGATCAACCAATCGATGCAGTACATAAATCCTTGCCGGGAGCGCGAACTGGATTTGCGCGGCTACAAGATACCACAGATTGAGAACCTGGGAGCCACATTGGACCAGTTCGATACCATCGACCTCTCCGACAATGATCTGCGCAAGCTGGATAATTTGCCGCACCTCCCGCGCCTCAAGTGCCTGCTTTTGAACAACAATCGCATACTGAGGATCAGCGAGGGCTTGGAGGAAGTGGTGCCCAACCTGACCTCCATTATTCTAACCGGAAACAACCTGCAGGAGCTGAGCGACCTCGAGCCATTGACAGGATTCACCAAACTGGAGACCATTTGCCTGCTGATCAATCCTGTGTCCACGAAGCCAAATTATCGCGAGTACATGGCCTTCAAGTTCCCACAGCTGCGGCTGCTCGACTTCCGTAAGATAAAACAAAAAGACCGGCAGGCGGCTCAAGAGTTCTTCCGCACGAAGCAAGGCAAGGACATGTTGAAGGAGGTCAGTCGGAAATCCAAACTTAGCGCCGCCGCTGCCCTGGCTGCCGACGCAAACAGTGGTAAGGGCAGGGGGCCAGATGGAGGCCGGTTGGCCAACCCAGAAGACATGCAACGCATCCGTGAAGCTATCAAACGTGCCAGCTCGCTGGCGGAAGTGGAACGGTTATCACAGATCCTGCAGAGCGGCCAGCTGCCGGAAAAGTTCCAGCATGAGCAGGAAGCAGAATCAGCATCCGGACAAAATGGATCGACGCATAATGGCTCGGGGGCCGTGGCCATGGAGTACTAGGATCCTTTTTTGTCCACCGACCCGTCAGCTACCTTTTAATCGTAGACCAATACTTAAAATAAAACGCCGTAACAAGTTACTTCATCGTATTCTGTACTTTAGAGTCTAGACATACACAAATATATTTAGTATCTTTTGTTCTCAACTAGCCACTCGCTGGGACCTTTCACGGAAAGATCTCAGCGGTGGCAATGGTACAGTACAGGACAAATGCATCGTATGACCGTAATTAGCTAAAAGTTTAACAATCTACACCGAGTTTAAAAGGACAAAACAGAAGCTGATATCTTATTTGGCTTGGCAATGGGATCTATGGAAACATGTTGGGATCTGGAACTGGAATCTATTATTGCTTGGATGCAGCTTCGTGCGAGATGGGCGAATATTATGATGCTTTCGCTGCCATTATAGAGTCGTAGTGCAGACCCGTGTAGAAGATAATCCACGTCACCAGGAACCCGGCGAACGACGTCATAAAGCCTTCCTTCACCAGCTCCCAAACACCTCCATACGCATCCTCATCAACGTTCTGGAAGTTAATAGCGTACAGGTAGACGATTCCGCAGCTTATTCCGGCGAATCTAAAAAGGATAACCGGGTCAATAATGGCGGTTTCTATTTTTAACCTTTAGCTGCACTCACAGAACAAGGCCCAGGAATCCTTTTAGTGGCACTATTCCCCAGATAACGCCGAGAATGATACCGAACACCTGTCGCGACCAGTAAATAACGTCCAGGAACTCCTCCTGCAAAGAATTGGGCGCAATTTGGTTATATGGGTCGCAGATTCCGGCGTGCTTGCGGAACTTTGCTCACCTTGTCCTCCCACTCAGATTTTGTGATCGCGCGCGCGCAGATTTCCCTCAGACTCGATGACTTGGCCGCTCCGTTGGCGTTGCGCTCAATTGTACTCGTCTTGGTAGCCATAATTTAATTCAGGTTTGACCTATTTGCTTAAAAAGTTAGTTAATTAATTTTTTCACTATCTGTAAATTAGTGTTGCCGTTCTACCCGTATAATCGTTTTGTAGGCATATTTTTCTCACCTCTAGTTTTTTTTTTATCATTTATCGGAGTGAATGGAAAGGGTTTTTTATTTTAATATAGAAGTTTAAATAAATGTATAAATTGATTCTTTATATAGAATCTTTAACAAATTTCACTTTTATTTGTGGATATAATTTAGGTTTTTTAGATTCTGTACATGTTTATAATATGGTCTGGCAACTTTGTCCTTTGGGGCTAAAGTTAATCGTTATCATTGTTATCGAACTGTTAAGCGCAACTAACAGCTGTTTTTTGGTTATGTGATTAGATTTTCAAGTGTTTGTCGGTTTTTACAAAAATATGCTACAAATAACCAAGATCTGTTTGGCTAATACTGCCTCATTGACAGGTAAACTCCTACTGATAAGCTTGAAATGGTTTAATTCATAAAAATTTGTCTGCCTCCCTTAAAAACTTATGCCAGCTAAATTCCAAACACTAATATCTAACAATAATTTCTTTAATAAAATATACCTCTTTTAAAACAGTTCAGCGAAATTTAGCTGTCACCGCTGTACGTTCTATTGACCAGAAGTGGCGTGCAGGAAAAGGATTGCCTGAAAACCCTAATGCCTTTGGCCCCCTAACCAACATGCCCGATTACACCTTTCTAGATGGACGACCCACACCACTGGGGGTAAGTATTTCCTAGATCAACACCTACATATCGAATTCACGTTCTATTCACCCTTTTTCAGGCAAACCAGAAGAGACGTCTCCTGAAGCAACAAGAAATTGCCGCCAAGATCGTGGAACTGAGTGGAGAACTGGAATTCGCCAAGGAAAGGCATGAACGATTGAAAACGGAAGCCGAAGCCGAGAAACAACGAATCCTACAGAATAAGCTGAAACCCAAGGGTCACCTGCTGCTCAAGCAAAAAAAGTAGCCGTTTTATCAGCTTCCTATTTTTACTTGTTGCTTTTATAAGTTATCATAAGCTTAGTGAATGAAGATGAATTATACGAGATGGGTCTTGTGATGTGGACACATGTTTGCCGAAAACACGTTTTAAAAACGTTCCTCAAACAGCAAGCGTGGCGCAGTCGACGATTCATTAGACTGCCCGCTAATGGGATCTTAATTTTAACTAATAGCGGGCACCCCTTTGGGGACACATCTGCCGTCCGTTAATTGAGTGTTAAAACGCGAGTGACGCACTAAACGCCCCTCCGTGTCCTGTTGTTTAGGAGAGATGAAAGGAAAGCTTTTCCGACTGGTCATCCCTCGATTCAGGGAAAAGTGTACGTGATGGCGCTATTTACTAGGGAACGATTAACACATTAGCTGCTAATGTGAGGCTTACGCTCCCACATTCGAGTCACTCTTCAAACTATTTTTGTAAATAAGGAAGTCAACAGATTTGTTGATTTGTAAGCTTTTGTTGCGAAGGCCAGTTACAGGCTGGATTTCCTCTTCCGACCTGCACAATCTGGGCCATCGGCTCCGAAATTCCCCTCCAGAGGGATTAAATGGATCGGTTGATCGGTCGTGCCACGATATCCACTCAACCATAACAAATGTGCTTCTCGGTTCTTGGGTTTATCATATGTAAATATATGCTCAATCGATTACCAGTCAAATATTTGCACACCTTGCCAGTGGCTTTTGGTTCCCTTGTTTTTCAGCCTATTTGGCTTATCGGTTAGGAGATCAAGAATTTTGCACGCCACGCAAATGTTTGTCCCTGTTCCGGTTGATTCACTCATAAAACAAATTATAAAACCCTCCGATGTGTGCTTCATTTTGGGCAGGAACTAATTCTGTCTTATTTTTCGACCAAGACTTGGATTCTCATGTCTCGAAAAAGCACCAACAAAAGGAATCCATTGATCCCCTAGGTGGCAGACATAAAAATTTCCATAACTTTTCGTATTGCCAAGTCACACCAGGTTAAAATTGGTAAAAGTGGCAATTAAATAAGCGTATAATGGGCCACAGTAAATATTAAAATATTGCAGGGCGCAAATTTAGCTGTTTATATTCGCACATTGGGCTAACAAAGAAATCAAGTCTGAGGAAATTTTCTAAGCAGTCGCCCGGCAGATGATCAGCAATTTATAATGGGGATATTGGTAAGACTGCAAAATGTTTGTCGCACTTCTTGCATGAATTAGACCAGGTCTATGAAATTTGGCACCATGATTCAAGATCTTGACTCCAGCAGAGTGGGTGCGTCCAAAAACGTGCTGGAAACGTGCGTCCAGAGGGGCTCTTAATCAAAATGCTATATGTCTGCAGTGCAGCCAATCGTGCGTATACGTAATGCGATCTGAATTCAACTGGATTGTTTATGTTTCCTTTATCACAGGCAAATCTCGCACCTTTCTGTTGTTGTTGACAGTATTTGGATTTTGCAAAAATATTTACCCTCTTGGGAAAAGGTAAAGTTGTGGAAAACAACTGAATATGTATGTGTGCTGTGTATTACTTCCCCCGGCAGTCTGCATCGTATTTTTATTTATATAATTGTATAAATTTATTTAATTAGCAAGTTTATATTTACGCCAGCAACTTTCCGAAACAATTTTTGGATAATTAAGTGTGAATTGTTGGGGTCCAAGATTAGGTATTTTCCTGAAGTCTATTACCGATGAGTTACAAATGTCTGGTGGTCTCAAAGAGGTCTTTGCCTCTCCTGATTCACCTCCGAGCTCAAGCGCCAGGCCGGAGGCATGCCCCCTTTTGGGGCCCGATTTCAGTTTGCAAACCGCAGACTTGCTATATATTTGCTAATTGTTTTATTGCTCCCTCAAGTCAAATGCTGGATGTTTTTCTAGAAAAATTTCTCACTTCCTTAGTCAGCTGGCCGCATTTTCACGAAATTTTGATTAACCGCCGCATGAACCATTGCGGTTAGTTATTTTTAACGTGTGAGCTGTATTTTTAAACTTTTGGCTTATTTGCGTGTCTATGCTGATTTATGATAAATACTCGGAATTTCATTACAACGCTATTTTTAAAGTCTCGATTTGAATTGAGCGTGTGACCGCACAAAAATTACCACCCGGCGATCACAGCGCCTGGTACACAAATTACTCATACGCCCCAGTATTCCACAAACCTTTCACCCATAAATGTTTTGCCAAAATCATCCCTCCCCAATAATTATATTGTTGATGATTATAATTTTGTAACGTATGGGAAATTTTAGGGTCTGGTCCAGAACCAAAACGATCTTATTAATAATTAATAATTAGAGACCTATCTCAGACTATGGGGAATTTTAGGGAGTCCGTATCTTTCCGCATACTACAAACTTTTCCGAATCAAACTGGCCCCACGCCATGCTAACCGAAACAGTGCACCCGGCAATTAGAGCCTTTCGTCCACTGAATCACATAGAGATAAGACAAAAGACCACAGTCGAAAAACAGATCCCAAAAAAACGCCCCGTTCGATGTCACAGACTACGCGCATGCGCAAAAGCCAGACGCGTCAACCAAAATGCCGGGCACAGCTTTGAAATTTGTCGCAGCCGGAGACGTGCGTTTCCTCCAGACTTGCGTCATGCCATGGAGATGGAGATGGAGCATCGGCTCAGCTCGGCCTGAGAGTAAATTTTCACATTTGGGTGCGAATATGGCGGCAGGTGCGTATATAAAGGAAGCGTTCTTCGAAGTAAAGCACACAGAACTCAGCCGACGTTCAAAGCAATCACAACAAACAGCCAACCACCCAAAGGATAATTCAACCGACCTGGTCCACCACGGATTAAAAAGCAAACTTAATTTTTAAAACCAGAATTCAAATCAAAACTTATACAATGGATCTTAAGGTAAGCATCCGCAACCCTTGGAGCTTTGGTGGAATTCAGCTTACCCTGGTATTCTTCTCTTCAGCAATTGTACTCGTATGTCTGCCTGCTGATCAGCATCATCATCTGCAAAGTGTCCGAGAGCAGTGCCAAGCCCACTTATTATGACCTGGATAGCTACGAGGCCTACGACACAGATCGCTACGATACCGACAGCGGCAGCTCCTATGCCCTGACCTACGGGAAGCCTCTGACTGACAATCGTCTCAAGAAACTGAACCCGGGCTACTACTACGTAGACGATGGGTACATCGCCCCCGTTTCCACCTCTGGAACCTACACCCGCCGTGAAGGTGACAGCTCGCAGGGAGGATCGTTGCCCTCGAACGTGAAGTTCACTCCCATTGTGCGAGTCCGGCAGACAAAGACCAAGCGCAAGAAGCTGTTCGTGCCCAACTTCTTTGGTTAGACGGTGCCGGTTCTCGTTCCGCCGGGACTGAGAGTACAGACTGAGGATGTTATAGGCTTAGATGTAGTATTAGTCGCGTGGCCACCACACCAAAAAGTACCTTATACTGTTACCTATTTTTTATACGCGTTCGCCAAAATATTACCAAATTATATTTATGTATATACCCAAAAATATGGCTTAATGTAAAACCAAATATATAAAATAATTTCCAAACATGTTGTTTATATCTGCGGTTGCAACCTGCCAATCGTGAAACCCAAATTATTATTTATTTTTGGAAAGCCGTGGCGACGCAAATCCCCAAATTGTAATTTTAACACTACCGCAAAATATTTATCATTTCTCCTATCTGGTTTGATTTGGATATCAAATTTAACCTAAGCTTTTTATTATTTTAAGCGGTGATCCATATGGGTTTTAATGAAAGAATTTTACATCTGGAATTGTCAGTTATTAGCAGCTTATGCTGTTGTTGATTACGCCTTCAATCCATCGAATTTTATCATTCGTAGAATGTCTATTAAATATGGCAAATCGGTGCTAATTGACCACTTAGGGAATTCAATAAAATGAAAATAGCTTTTACTTCTATTTACACGTGTGTATGTTCCATTAAACGGCGTAATTGTTGTACATTAAATTTTATTGGGTGATGTGATCAATTAAAATAGAATAAAAATATTTGTAAACGAAAGTATGTTAATGAATTCCATTTTCACTTCCGCCAAATAGGTTTCGACTCAATAAATATTTGCAATGAATAATTGTTATTTTCATAAAATAATTTAAGATAATTGAAATAAACATATTCACAGTGCGTTTTAAAAATATATTATTTTTATAATATATAAATATTTATTATTATACATTTATAAATACATAACATGAATTAAAAAAGAATTCTCCCTAAAGTTTAAGTACGGTTTCTTAATGAAATGTTTAAAATCGTTTAAATATTCATATAACATTAATGATTAATATTTAATAAATTATTTTAATTTAAACTTACTAACGATACATTTTAAATCCACAAATATAACCGCCCTATCGAATTCGAATTTTAATCAATGCTGCCAGACTGCAAGCAGGTTTCGAACTGAGTATATGTTCTACAGAGATTCCAAGCTGTCCTTTTTTTTGGGAAAATTTATTTTTCTAACTTTTGCTAAGGATTGTATCTGAAAAGTTATTATACATCCTATTTTTCGTTTTAATTTTTTTAAATGGTCCTTTTTTGAAAATGAAAGCTTGGCATCACTGCTGTGCTGCCGGACTGCTGACTGGGAATCTCGTCATTCGGCAAGAAGAAGAGAAATTTGCAAATTTACAAAGAAATCGGGTAAATTATTAGCACCAGCCAAGATGAGCTTCATGCAACCTAGTCCCGTCAAGTATGCGTGCTCCTGCGGCGTCCTCAACCCGATCAACAAGCTCTTCTTCTGCCGTCACTGCCCGAAGCTTCGCTGTGGTTTGTGCGTCTGCCACGAAATCGAGTCCCACTTTTGCTCCAACTGCTTGGAGAACATCCCATCAACGGAGGCCCGTCACAGGAAGAACTGCTGCGCCAACTGCTTCGAATGTCCCTGCTGCCAGCATACTCTATCCGCCAGAGCCACCACGGTGCCAGTGGTACGCAAGACGGAGGAATCCAAGGACACCAAGGAGGGTGAAAGCGCTGGAGGTGCGGCTGCTGCTCCCACTGCTCCGGCAAGCAGCAAGCCATCGGCTGTGCCAACCACCAAGAAGATGTATTACCTCTCGTGCCTGTCCTGTCGTTGGACCACGCGCGATGTGGGAATTCCCGACCAGGGCGTGGCCACTGGCACCTGGCCTGACAACGAATGCTTGTATCAGGCACGTTTTAATACCCTTGTGGAGTATTTCCAAGCGGTAGTGCTTCAGGATAAGCAGGAGAAAATCGATTTTTTGCGTCGCAAAGCCCCAAAACAGCCCAAGTTTCCCAGTCTAACAGATCGTACGGGCCTCACTGTTTCCATGATTCGTCGCCAGATTGGCTGGACCGAAAAAATTCTTCCAAAACCAAGACCTGTGATTACCCCAGCGGAGGCAACATCGGAAGTAGAGGAACTGCCTGCGGACATCTTTACCGAGCCGTTGAATCTCCGTAATGTGACCACGATTGCTCAGCGTCACAGCCAGCCGGCAGAGCAGCCGACGTCCGTGAGCAAACTTTACCCACAGCGTCGCTCGTTGTGGATCAAGCGGTCGCTTCGTTGTCGTCAGTGCGAGCATAATCTGATCAAGCCGGAGTACCATCCTACTTCGATAAAATATCGTATCCAGCTCTTCGCCAGCTGTCATGTGCCTGAGGTCGTCATGGTGCGCTGTGAGCAGCCTTTGGTAGCTGGAAAGAGCAACGCTATTTTGCTGAAATTTACCAATCCAACCATGTACGATATGACTATTAGTTTGCTGACAGATGCGCCCGAGGAACCCGAGGAAGATGAAGTCAATGCGGAAACCCAACGCCTTAAGGATGAACAGGATACTGCAACGCCAGTAATAAAAGGCACGAACCTAGCTAGGCAGAATTCCACAAGGGAAGTAGCACGCGAAGTAAAAGACATATCCAATGCTGCGATTGTACCGCTTGAAAGCGAGTTTGTGTTGAGTCAGCGGGATGACTCCAAGGAGTTTGATGAATACGTTCAACTGCCTACTGAGGAACCGAAATTTATTGTGTGGCGCAAGGGCAATAAGGTACTTATTCGGCTGCAATTCACTCCGTCAGAAGAGCTGTCCCCAAACACTGAAGTCGTGCTGGGTTTCTTCATGCAGTATACATATGTGAACACGGTGACTAACGCTTCGGAAAAGAAGGAGCCGACTACACACGCCCTTCACTCCCGGGTGTTCATAACAGCAGGCACTACTGAGCAGAAGGCGAATTAAGTGTCAGCCTTAAATATCCTTATTCAATACTAAACGAACTAAATTGTAACTGAAGACCGCTTTAAGAAAGCTAGGCAAATATGTATTTATTGAATTAATATACTCGTGGAAAGCAGCTAGTATTACTGTTGAATAAAACGCTTTTTCTAACCCTACTCGGATTTGCCCAAGCCCGTCCACTTTTCGCTTTCCTCCCACAGGAACTTTCCAGTCTTTTCGTCCTTGGCGGCAGGAGCAACCTCTTTAGGCTTGCAGTCGCTGAAGTACAAGCCAGACACCTTCTCCAGTTCGGGGTCCAATGCTGCGTAAATTGTGGTCTGAGCTCCACTCTTTGGTGTCTTCATGAGAGGCCAAATCGCTGGCCTGATAACATACCTTAAAGATGGGAAATGGTTACCACTGTTTCAAATAGATCCAGAATTAACTTACTTTGCAAGGTTGGTTTGGAAGAATGCCCAATTTCTTGCCAGCTCGGTGTTTACAACGCCTGGATGCAGAGAGTTAACTGTGACACCAGTTCCTTCCAAGCGCTTGGCCAATTCGCGGGTGAACAAAACATTAGCCAATTTACTTTGGCTGTAGGCCAGTCCCTCATCGTAGGACCTTTCGCTGTTCAAGTCCTTTACGTTGATGGTGCCTCGGGTGTGGGCCAAACTGGATACGACCACAATACGGCTGGGAGCTGTTTTCTATATTTTGTAAAGGATGAGTATTGATTCTTTCTTATCTATAAGCCTAATCTACCTTCAATACATCCAGCAACAGGTGGGTTAGCAGGAAGTGACCGATGTGGTTGACGCCCAATTGAATTTCGAAACCATCCTTGGTCAAGGTTTTGGGGCATCGCATCACTCCGGCATTGTTAATCAGGACATGCAACTTATCCTGCTCTTTTAGGAAGCTAAAAGCCGACAAAATTAAACCAGGATGTGACAAGGATCCTTGGCTGTGCTTACCCAGCTGCGAATTTGCGAATGGAATCGAGGGAACTCAGATCCAACTGGCGTGAGAAAACGTTTTGGTTGTTCGTCTCCTGGACAATTTCTTTACGGGCCTGTTCGCACCGGTTCATATCCCGGCAAGCCATATAGACAGTACCACCGCGACGGGCAATTTCCAAGGCTGTCTCCTTGCCAATTCCCGTGTTGGCTCCTGTGATAATAAACACTTTGCCGGTTTCATTGGTAGCCTTCTCGAACTTTCCGCCCTGCATGTATTCCCTAAAATTGAGTCAATTAAGTAATTGTTGTGCAAATCATTGCAAGGCATTGCTTTGTCATTCCCTATTTCATAATTTCATGGGTAATTTTCTATCAATCGAGGACTTACTTCAAGAAGTAGATAGCCGCGGCGATTATGGTCGGCCAGAGAATCACCGGGCTCAGTAGACAGTCGATGAAAATGCACATTTTGTAATATTATAATATTCCCTTATGAATATTTTGTGGTGCTGAGCGTTTTGACTTCCCAACTAGAATGCCTGGAAATGTGTTCGAGCGGCTGTTAAAATACAACTGAATGCTATCTAGAAAGCCATATTATCGCAAATGATTATGAGTTCATTGGGAAATTTGTCACCAGTAAAAAGAGAAAAAAGACTATGGTTTAAGAGAAAGAAACCTAAAGAGAGTAGTATTTATCTTTTTTACGATTCTTTACAGATTTATGCTTTTATAATTTAGACAATCTTTAAAGTGGAACCTGAATGTCTGATCCATTATTAAGGTAATAATTATACTCTTCAAGGTCCATCTAATATTGAATGGAACGTTACCTCAGAAATTGTAAAGCTATACCCATTAAACCCGGTCTTATGGGTTAGTATGGGTGATATTATAAAACTACGTAAACTTTTTAACAGCTTTGATTTGCTTAGGTTCTCAAAGAGTTCGGTATTCTCACAGAATGCTAAACAAAAATGTTTGTAAACAAATACGCCGGGGCGCTATGAAGTGGGGCGGTAGGGCACGCGACACCCAAAGTGCTTAGTCATCGTGAGAATAGCATTCCAAACTGTGAGAATCCGAATAAGAGAACTATATACCAATATCTATACTCTTTGGGAATCATCAGCCGCAATAATGCAATTTTTTAGAGAACCGATTCTTTTTAAATATTTTATTAAAATTTTTTTTTTTAACAATAAAACATGTTATTAACAAAATATTTAATATTCTCTAATACCTGTCCACTTTTGGCTTTCCGCCCATAGAAACTTGGCTGTCTTTTCGTCCTTGGCAGCGGATGACACGTCCTTGGGCTTACAGTCACTAAAGTACTTCCCAGTTACGTTCTCCAGCTCGGGATCCAATGCAGCATAAAGTGAAGTTTGAGCTCCACTCTTTGGCGTTTTAAAAAACATCCATACGACTGGCTTTGTTAAAAATCTACCAAAAGCTCGGTAATGAATATATTAAAATTATACAACCGATATATTGTAACTTACTTCATAGCTGAGGGCCATGAGTCTACAAGATCCGTGTCCACGGCACCGGGATGAAGGGCATTGACAGTTACACCTGTTCCTTCCAGGCGCCTAGCTAGTTCTCGGGTGAACAAGACATTGGCCAATTTGCTCTGGTTATAAGCTCCGAACCGACTATATGATTTTTCGCTGTTCAAGTCATCCACATTAATAGTTCCCCGTTCGTGCAAAGCACTCGAAACATTTACAATTCTGCTGGGAGCTGTTTTCTAATTAATTTAAAATAATACAACATGTTTTAAAATATAGTATTTTTTATTACCTTTAAAACATCTAGCAGTAAGTGTGTAAGCAGGAAGTGACCCATGTGATTAACACCCAATTGCATTTCAAAACCATCCTTCGTCAATGTCCTCGGTAGGCCCATAACTCCTGCATTGTTTATTAGGACGTGGAGGCTATCTCTCTCCTTTTTGAAACTTTAATAATTGTTGTGAACATGTTACAAATTTTTTGTGTATTTTAAATATTTTTATATTTATAATTTATTATAATAATTTTTATAATAAAAAATAAATACTTTATAATTTTTATATATATATTTTTATATTTCAGTCTTACCCCTCAGCAAACTGTCGAATTGAGTCCATTGAGCTAAGGTCCAATTTCCTTACGAATATATTTGGATTGTTGGTAGCACTAACTATTTCCTCTCGAGCTTGGTTAGCTTTTTCCATATTCCGACAGGCCATGATGACAGTTCCTCCACGTTTGGCTATCTCCAGAACAGTTTCCTTTCCGATTCCAGCATTGGCGCCCGTGACAATGAACACCTTTCCGGTTTCATCGGTCGTTTTTGTAAACTCTCCGTCGCAGAATGGCATTATAGCTAATATTACTTTCCAATAATAAACACAACTGCAGATTGGCCACCGGACTAACTTGGCAGTCGCTTAAATACTGTTAGCCACTATTTGAGAGTAAACTTGGTTAATTAGCGAAAAGAGAGACAAATCAATGACATGGGAGAGTATGAGTGATTAGCTAACTTGGTAGCTAGACGGGTTTTCCATATAAAAAAGAGTGTATGTATATGCGTTGTTGAACTAATGAACTTGCAATTTTCAATACACCCTATATTTAATATTCTAAGTAGTCTTACCAAATGAATTCGATCTATAAATAGAATCTAAAGGTATTTTTTTGTTTTCGTTTCAAGGTTTTGAAACAAGTTATAAACATTATTTTATTTGAAAAAGTGAAAAAATGTAAAGGTTTTCTAAATTCTCTATTTGGTTGAAATTTAAAATTTTGATACACCTTTAGCGAATATTTGAACTATTTTGTAACCTATTTGAAATCGAAATACCATGTATGAATTAGAGCTTTAAACCCCTTTGTTCTGATTTTAGTTGAGATTGATGGTATTCAAAGAAATATGATCAGGCAAGTATAACTTTCGACGATCCGACTAATATAAGCCCAGTTATGACTAGTTGCCTTTAATATGGTAACTGCAACCTCAAATCAAGTTGACTAGGTTAGTACTTAGTTAATACTTTGTCAATATTCCACTTTTTCAATCATTTCGGAGTGAATTTAAATTAATTTAATAAAAACGATAAGTTTAAAGTTGGAAAATAATAATCAATATATATTCAACAATTATGCAATATAATATTAATTAATTAATTAAGTACTAACTACTCTAGTCAAGGTGATATTAGCTTTACATTTTTTTGCTACTCCTATTAAACGGTAGTATAGGTTAGTTATAGCTAAGATTTTTAACTGCTTTGAACTGCTTAGGTTTTACAACAACTCAGTTATCTCACAGAATGCCACAAAATGTTTGAAATGAATTATGCCAGAGCGCTATCAATGGGGCACGAAACACAACAAGTGCTATGTCACCGTGAAAACACCTTTTGAAACTACAATAATCCAAATAAAAGAACTTTAGACTTGGTTAATACACTTTGAACATCATAAACCATAGTAGTGTTTTATTTCAAAGACATTTTTCAATCTTTATACATATATGTGAATAAAACAGAAAACAATTTAAACTTCTTAGTTTAACCTATTCCTTAACGCCTGTCCATTTTTGGCTCTCTGTCCACAAAAACTTGGCTGTCTTTTCGTCCTTGGCAGCGGACGACACTTCCTTAGGCTTGCAGTCACAAAAGTACTTCCCAGTAACCTTTTCCAGTTCAGGATCCAATGCAGCATAAAGTGAAGTTTGAGCTCCACTTTTTGGGGTCTTGAAAAACATCCACATAGCTGGCTTCGCTATAAACCTAACGAAAAATTCAATCATGAAAGTGATAAAGCAACCTATTGCATCCTACTTCATAGCTGAGGGCAAGGAGTCTACAATATCCGTGTCCACGGCACCTGGATGAAGGGCATTGACAGTTACGCCGGTTCCTTCCAGTCGCTTAGCCAGCTCCCGGGTAAACAAAACATTGGCCAATTTGCTCTGCTCGTAGGCCCCGAATCGGCTATAGGATTTTTCACTGTTTAAGTCATCCATTTTGATAGTTCCCCGCTCGTGTGAAACGCTGGAAACATTAACAATTCGGCTAGGAGCTGTTTTCTAATTTAAAAGAATTCATAAAAATTATATATAAATAATTTTAAAATAAAATTTGTATTTACCTTTAAAACATCTAGCAGTAAGTGGGTAAGTAGGAAGTGACCCATGTGATTTATACCCATTTGCATTTCAAAACCATCCTTCGTCAAAGTCCTCGGTAGGCCCATCACTCCTGCGTTGTTAATGAGAACGTGGAGGTTATCTTTCTCCTTTTTAAAACTTTAATAATTGAAATGAAATCAGTTAAACTTTTTTTTAATGTATTTTTCCAGTCTTACCCCTCAGCAAACTGTCGAATTGAGTCCATTGAACCAAGGTCCAACTTCCTTACACATACGTTTGGATTGTTGGTAGCACTAACTATTTCCTCCCGAGCTTGGTTAGCTTTTTCAATATTCCGACAGGCCATGATGACAGTTCCTCCTCGTTTGGCTATCTCTAGGACTGTCTCCTTTCCGATTCCAGCGTTGCCGCCCGTGACAATGAACACCTTTCCGGTTTCATCCGTCTTTTTTGTAAACTCTCCGTCGCAGAACGGCATTATAGCTAATATTACTTTCCAATAAAAAACACAACTGCAGATTGGCCACCGGACTAACTTGGCAGTCGCTTAAATACTGTTAGCCTATATTTGAGAGTGAACTTGGTCAATTAACGAAAGAGTGCCAACACAATGGTATAAGAGAATAAGAATGATTAGTTCATTTGGTAAATATACGAATTTTCTCCTTTTTCCAAATGAAATTTCGGCCTATTCGGCATACTATTCGGACTGTTTCAATGCCCTTTGATCTGCTTTATAACATAGTAAAAGTGAAGAACAAACATTTCGGTTAATTTTTGCTATTAATTAATTTTTTGACATTAAAAATTTGAAAAATTACAAAAGATGGATTAAAATATTAAAATCATGCATAAAAAATTAAAATATTATCATAAAGGAATACCATTTATGAATAAGAACTTCATACCCTTTAAAATATCTTAAAAATGGAGATATAAAATTTGGAGTTTATTTTTTTCTTGGATTGTAATTTTACCCCTTTAAGATGCCACTCAGAGATACATGATTGGAAAGTTATGAAATTTGAAGAACAGCCAAGTTATGGGCATTTTCATAAATAAAGTGAAAAAAAGCTTGAACGGGTCATGTAGCATGTAGCTTTAAATAGATTTAGGACTTTCATGTAGTTTTCGTAATAGAGAATGTTTGCCCAATATTATTATGATATATTTTAAACACATATTTTAATGAAATAACAATATATTTAACAATACATTTTTTATAAATTCTTTATGTATGTCTTATTAGTATACTTTGATCCCAGTCCACTTCTCGCTCTCAGCCCACAAGAATTGTGAAGTTTTATCGTCCTTGGCAGCAGATGCCACATCCGTGGGCTTGCAGTCGCTGAAGTACTGACCAGTAACCAGCTCCAGATCAGGATCCAATGCAGCATAGAGGGAAGTTTGAGCTCCACTTTTAGGGGTCTTAAAAGCCCACATTACGGGGGTCATAGCAATCCTAAGAATTAGAAAACCAAAATATGAACCAATTCAGACAGAAGCTTAACTTGAACTCACTTTACTGCGGGGTGCCAAGTCCTTGCAAGTTCTGTGTTTACGGCGCCTGGATGTACGGCATTGACGGTAACTCCAGTTCCTCCTAGGCGTCTAGCCAACTCCCGAGTAAACAAAACATTGGCCAATTTGCTTTGGTTGTAGGCTCCGATGCGACTATAGGATTGTTCACTGTTCAAGTCATCAATATTGATGGAACCAAGCAAATGGGCAGCGCTTGATAAGTTTACGATGCGACTTGGAGCCGATTTCTAAACAAAAATTAAACATATCTAAATAGTTGCAAAGGTTTAGTAATAAATAATTACCTTCAATACATCCAGCAGTAAATGGGTAAGCAGAAAGTGGCCGATATGATTAACACCCAACTGCAACTCAAAACCATCCTTAGTTAAAGTTTTCGGGGTGTGCATCACCCCCGCATTGTTGATCAGGACATGTAGCTTATCCTGCTCTTTTTTGAAACTGTTGAATGTCACAAATGTAATAATTAACTTTTATTCTTACATTGTGACTTACCCCTCTGCAAATTGGCGAATTGAATCCAACGAACTTAAATCTAACTCTCTTACAAAAACATTTGAATTCCTTGAAAGGGTTTCTATTTCCACCCGGACCTCTTCAGATCTATTTAAATCCCGGCAGGCCATATAGACAGTTCCTCCTCTTTTGGCAATTTCTAGGGCAGTCTCCTTTCCGATTCCAGTATTGGCTCCCGTGACAATAAACACCTTACCGGTTTCAACTGTCTGTTTTGTAAACTTTGCGTCACACACCATTTTATAATATTCTTTTATCAATATTTAATGCATCAACCGTCTTTCCTGTTGCGCGAGCAAACAATAAATGGTTGGTAGAATTACTTGGCTGTACCTTAAATACTGTTGGCGATTGTGAGAGAATTGGATAGTATACAATAACATAACAGACGTATTGGTAAGTCATAATGACTTGGCTAAAAATCCGGAGAGAATTTTTAGGGAATGGAAGCTATCGATTTTTTACTTCAACTTTTAGCATATGCGTGGTTCTCAAAAAGGATATATATTTATGTTTATATATGTATGTAAGTATTATAGCCGGCATACATATTTGTAGGTATTTTGACCTTCACAGAACCCATAATCAGTGGGAATACTTGAAGTATTTCAATGGCTTGGGGTACTGACCCTTCTGGAAAGTTTGTCATACGAAATACTGTCATATATACTGTGAAATAACTTATGTCGAAAACCCTGCAATTTAAATATAGTTTCTTCATTTTACTATATTTCGACAATGTCATCCAATTTTCCCAACGCTTAAAAATATTTTTAGCTAAGATTAAAGGGTATTATCAACTGATGTATTATAAGACAATAAATACGATTTATTTTAAGTTTGTACAAAAAATATTATAGTTTAGTCCGACTTAGAACCATTCAAGCCAGTCCACCTTTCACTCTCCGCCCACAAGAACTTGGCGGTTTTATCGTCCTTGGCGGCAGGAGCCACATCCTTGGGCTTGCAGTCACTGAAGTACCATCCCGAAATCTTCTCCAAATCGGGGTCAAGGGCAGCATAAAGGGTAGTCTGGGCTCCATTCTTTGCTGTCTTTTCCAGCGTCCAAAATATGGGGCGGGTCAACAACCTGTCGGTTAAAAATAAAAATATATTAGCTATGCCTTAAAAGTTTGCTGATCACAATGCCTTCTAGTATGATAATATGAAAACATAACATATGTATATAATATGTATGACAACAAACCTAAGGAATCCCCAGTATCTTTGTAGCTCCGTGTTCACAACGCCAGGATGCAGGGAATTGACGGTGACTCCAGTTCCTTCCAATCGCTTGGACAATTCGCGGGTGAACAGAACGTTTGCCAATTTGCTCTGACTGTAGGCATTAATTCGGCTGTAGGATTTCTCGCTGTTTAGGTCGTTAACATTGATAGATCCTTGAGTGTGGGCCAAGCTCGAAACGTTGACAATACGACTAGGAGCTGTTTTCTATAATTTAGATCTTTTAGTAAAATTGAAAAAGGTATTGGTAAGTCAGAAAGTTACCTTGAGCACATCCAGGAGTAAATGCGTTAGCAGGAAGTGACCCATGTGGTTGACACCCAACTGCAATTCAAAGCCATCCTTGGTCAAGGTTTTTTCAATGTGCATAACTCCGGCATTGTTAATCAAGACATTAAGTTGTTTCTGCTCACGTTTAAATCTAGGTAAAGAAAGTTTGTTAGGAGTTTTTCAGGATATGTTGAATCACTCTGTTGGCTTACCCTGCAGCAAATTTTCGAATCGATTCCAGAGAACTGAGATCCAACTCCCGGGCAAAGACGTTTTGATTGTTGGACTCGAGGATGATTTCCTGGCGGGCCTTTTCACATCTGTTCATATTACGGCAGGCCAGGTAGACTGTGCCTCCTCGTTTGGCAATCTCCAGGGCTGTCTCCTTGCCGATTCCCGTGTTCGCTCCCGTGATAATAAAAACTTTGCCGGTTTCATTGGTGTGTTTTGTAAACTTGCCACCTTGCATGTACTGTCTGTGAAAAGTCGTTAGGTGTTATCAAAGAGTAGCCAGCAGTTATCAGGGGTTACGTTGCCCTAAGAGGAAATTGGATTTAATCAAGTCATGGCCAGCTTACCTCAGAAAATATACACCTACGCCAATAAGAGCTGGCCATAGTATTAGAGAGCACAAACAACCACAGAAAAACATTTTCAATCAGTTTATTTATCCAGCACTAGTGTTCTGTTGAGCGATCAGTCACGGAATGCGAAACCAGCTGAATGATCCGCATTATATACGAGTTCTGGCCTTATCTGGGAGTGTATTTTTAAATAACTCAAACTCATGGGGAACGAAATTAGAAGTTGCTAGAACATCAGACGCAAACTTTTTTCAATTTCAATTTATTATGTTATATTTTGTGACTTTTGCTTTGAAGCCGGAATCTTATTTTTAATTCTTTAAAAGTGGGTAATTGTACATACATATATAAAGAGTACTATCACTGGTCAACATTTGCTAGAAAACTGATGGCCAATTATTAAAAAATTCTCTTTTATAGGAACAATTCTCTTCGCTCAAAAAAGTGATATCTCATGATGATAAGATAGTACACATATGAAACTGGAAGAAAAACAAAAATAAACAATATTTGTTTATTAAGAGTACATTTATAAATTCAAACAAGAAGAGAACAACAAAAAAATGTTTGGATTGATAACAAGGAGAGAAAATAGACAAATCTATTCATAGTTCGGACATTAAAGCTTGACCCCGCATATCACTTATACGACATGTATGTCAGACTGCAAAATCAGGTTTTAAAACTTTGTACTCATTTAAGAAATTAGACTTTATTTTATTGAAGCTTACTCAGGTTTTATTATTATGTTAAAAATGTTAAACTATGTGGTTAGTCATACCAGTCCACTTTTCACTCTCTTCCCAAAGAAACTTAGCAACATTATCGTCTTTCGCGTTAGATCCTATACTTGTGGACTTGCAATCACTAAAGTATTGTCCTGAAACATTTTCCAATTTGGGATCCAAGGCCGCATACAAGGTGGTTTGAGCTCCACTCTTCGCAGTCTTGAAAAAAATCCAATAAACAGGCCTAGAGATGAATCTGCAACCGTAAAAACATAAAAATGCTGAGAGAGTCGAAAGCTATTCAGTAATGTTCTTACTTAATGATTTTCCATCCAAAGAATCTCATGGAACGAAAGAGTTCCGTATCTACCACCCCCGGATGAAGGGCATTAACTGTGACTCCTGATCCTCTGAGGCGCTTGGCCAACTCCCGGGTAAACAGTACATTAGCCAGTTTGCTTTGGGCGTAGGCGAATTTCCGGCTGTAGGACTTCTCACTGTTCAGATCGTTTACCTTTATTGTACCAAAACGATGTGCCAAACTGGATACGACCACGATTCTACTGGGGGCAGATGCTTTCAGGACATCAATGAGCAGAAGGGTCAGTAGAAAGTGGCCCATGTGATTTACGCCGATTTGCATTTCAAAACCATCCTTGGTCACCAGTCTGGGAATATCCATAACGCCGGCATTGTTTATAAGAATGTGAAGTTTTGTTTCTTTGCTTTTAAATCTGTTAGGAATTTTTTTTTTTAATTTGTAAGCTTTAACTCAGACAAAGGATACTACCTTGTGACAAAATTTCTTATTGATTCCATAGAAGATAAATCTAGTTGTAGCGAAAATATATTGTGGTTGTCGGTGGCCTCAATTATTTCTTTCCTAGCCTCCTCGCATTTGTTCATATCCCGACAGGCCATGTAAACGGTGGCTCCTCGATGGGCCAATTCCAGCACAGTTTCCTTGCCAATCCCCGTATTGCATCCTGTCACGATCACCACCTTTCCAGTTTCATCCGTTTTTTTGTTGAACTGCCGTCCCTGTACATAGCACCTAAAATTTGTTGCTTTATGTCCTATATTTTTATATCCCTATTTACCTTATGAGGTAAAGTCCGATAATGGTTCCTATTGGCAGGTAAACCTCCGGTCGAAGTAAGTAATCTCCAAACTTAGACATTTTATTCTGATCTTACTGCCTCCAACTCTAGATGTAGACTGTGGAATATAAGCTGCGTATTCGTATCTTTATAAAAATGAAAGGCCAGTTTTCACGAGACGCATTAACTTTTATGTCTCTTAGTCTAACAACAAGGTCGAAAATAAACTAGAAACGTTATAAAATCTAGAATTTGCACTAAGTTCTGCCTTAAAATGATTCAGTTAATGGTTTAATAATCGACTTGAAGTATGAGTATTAATAAATTTGTTCAATCTATGGAGTGATTGCATTATCATTTAATATTTTATATGCCTTACATTTCTAGACTCTACAACATTGTGTTATCGCTGAATAAAATTAATATTCCATCAGTGTTTGTGTGTTTGAGTCTATTAATATTTTATTTGATGATTGTTTACATATTGCTGATTTCATTTTGAGCTTTTACTAATTCCAATTTGTGTAGTATACTATTTTATCAACTAGTTTATTAAAATTACACATTCCATTAAAATTTACAGGCCAATGCCCGCCCACTTTTCCGTCTTGGCCCAAAGCCATTTGGCCATCTGATCGTCGAGAGCTGCAGGGGATACTGGCGCCAATTTGCAGTCACTGAAGTACTGTCCAGAAATATGTTCCAGTTCCGGATCTAGGGCGACATATAGTGTAGTTTGGGCTCCATTCTTTGGTGTTTTCATCATGGACCACAGCAGGGGCCTCAAAAGGGTTCTAAAAAAATATAGTTATTAAACCTAAATGCTTGGAGGAAAATCCATTGAAGAGAACACACTCTACTACATACTGAGCAAACTTGGTTTGGAAGAAGATCATGTTTCGGGCAATTTCTGTGTCTGCGATTCCGGGATTTAAAGAGTTCACAGTCACTCCAGAGCCCTCCAGTTGCTTGGCCAACTCGCGGGCGAATAGGATATTGGCCAGTTTACTTTGGCAGTAAGCAATGCCCTCATCGTAAAACTCCTCGCTGTTAATATCCTCCACATGGATTTGCCCACGTTCATGTGCCTTACTGGCCACTACAACAATCCGGCTGGGAGCTGATCTCTTCAGCACGTCGAGCAACAAGTGGGTGAGCAAAAAGTGCCCAATGTGGTTAACACCCAAATGGGTTTCGAAACCCTCTTTGGTGACCCTGCGTGGCTCCCAGAAGACTCCTGCGTTGTTAATTAAAATATGCAACTTGTTCTGCTCTTTTTTGAAGCTATCGAATCATTAGAATTAGAAATAATTTGCTTAGGATTTCGAATATGACTCACCCTTCTACGAATTCCCGAATAGATTCCATCGAAGACAAGTCACAGACGCGGGAAAAAACATTTGAGTTACCAGTGGCCTTGATGATGTCTAGCTGTGCCTTTTCCCCCTTTTCCTTGTTCCTGCAGGCTATGTAGACAGTGGCTCCTCTTCTTGCCAACTCCATAGCTGTCTCCTTGCCAAGACCAGTATTTCCGCCCGTAACAATGGCCACTTTTCCCGTCTCATCGGTTTGCTTTTTGAACTTTCCCCCCTGCATGTACAATCTGAAATAGGCAGTAGACATTTTTCGGTGCTATGGGTGGTAGAAAGTGTGTCGTCACTGGCACACACAATTGATAATGCTTTTCAGCGTTACGTTTCAAATAGGCGCCCCAACTTACCTCACACAAAAGGCGATAATACCGACAAAGCCATGAGCCAGCAAAAAGGGCGCAATTTTTTGCAGAAAACTAATAATGATTTCCATAGCTAAGCGATCTGGTCGTATTCGTGGTCTACTCGTAAATGGCTCGACAACCGAGTCTGCCAAATTTTATAGGTGATTTGCCGAAGCGATTACTGGACGACAACTGATAAAACTGATAGTGCAGCCTTTTGGCGTTCTCCGAGTAGCCGGTAATCTAACAAGTACTCCTGAACACATTTAGCATAGATATTTACGGCAAGAAACTTGAAGACTGAATATTCCCCGCAAGCCAATTGGTTGTGACACAGCTAAACTTTTGGACCGAAGGCTTAGGTTAAAATTGTAATGGATATATAGCTATTTTAAACAAATGATGTAGAGTTTGCCCACCAACCGGTTCCGCAGTACAAACATACACATTCAAGTCTTTGCCGGTTAACTGTTTTGTTTTTAACGCCAAGCAGTTAATGCCCCCCTGTAAGCCAAGTTGACAAATTTAGATAGATCTTTTTTTAAAAATAAAAATTTAACTTTAATTTTGGAGCGTCAGAAACATTCAGTGTCTATTTGATATTGATGGTTGCTGGTTTGGTCCATTTGTCACTAACTGCCCAGAGCCACTTTGCAGTTTGTACGTCAAAGGCAGCCGGAGCCATTTCCTTAATTTTACAGTCGCTGAAATATTGGCCGGACACCTTGTTCAGTTCAGGATCCAGAGCAACATACAAAGTGGTCTGCGCACCGTTCTTTGGAGTCTTAACAAATGGCCAGAACAAGGGTTTCACAAACAACCTGTAAAGTGGAAGTCGGTTAAAATGTCTTAGCAACATGTCCAGCAACGACTCACCCTGCAAAGAAGTTATTGAAGAAGGCCATGTGTCTTATAATCTCGGTATCCACAACGCCAGGATGGAGGGCATTTACTGTCACCCCAGTACCCTCAAGTCTTCTGGCAAGTTCCCTTGTAAATAGGACATTGGCTAGTTTACTTTGCGCATAGGCTTTGCCTTCATCATAGGATTTGTCACTATTGAGGTCGCCTGTGTTTATTTCACCACGTGTGTGCGCCAAGCTTGATACATTAACAACCCGACTGGGTGCCGATTTCTGGTGATAAAAAAGGTAATAAAAGTTATACAACTGTTTACAAACAATCATTGTGCCTACCTTTAGCATATCCAGCAATTGCGTGGTTAGCAGGAAGTGACCCATGTGATTTACGCCCAATTGAAGCTCGATACCATCGGTGGTCAAGGATCGAGGACAACGCATGACACCTGCATTGTTTATAAGGATATGCAGCTTAGTTTGTTCGCGCTTGTAGCTAAAAAAGTTTTCAATTAAACATCAGGGAATATTAAAAATAATTAAAAATCCTTACGCAGCCACGAAATTTCTAATGGATTCCTGCGAAGCAAGGTCACATTCTCTGCAGTATACGTGCGGATTCTTGGTTTCCAATACAATTTCTTGCCGAGCCTGAAAGTTAATACTTCATTTTGTTAGTTTTTGCACAAGATACTTTAAAATGATAACTTACCTCTTCACATTTCTTTAGGTTCCGACATGCCATGTACACCGTGGCGTTCCGCCTAGCAAGTTCTCGTACCGTTTCCTTACCAATCCCCGTGTTTGCACCTGTCACGATGATCACCTTGCCGGTTTCATCGGTCTCTTTGGTGAATCGGCCGCCTTGCATAAGGTCCCTGTAAAAAAAAAGGGATTAGAAAACTAGATTTCTGTATGGACTCAAGCTCACCTACTTTATACCGCATGCTGCACCCACCGTAGTGCCGGCGACACTCAGCCAGAAAACGGTTCGACTTCTTAAAAACGAAAATAATGACATTTTACGAAAAAAATACAAGATATAAACTAACAGAATAAACACAAACAGCTGAGCTCAACAGAGCTCTGTTATTCCGATACCGATAGGTTGCATCTCTGCCAAAGCTTCTCTCACACTGTTATTGTTGTTGGGCTGCTGAGAACAAACTTTACACGTAAATAATCCAAATTGCTTTAATTAATATTCCATCGCTTGGCCAGCACAAAGAGCAACAATTGCAGCGCCCACTGAGACGAAATCCGAGACTTGATCCAGGAAATCCCTTTTCCCCTTCGAGAACAGGCCCGAAATGCGACGCAATGCGTAAGTCAACGCCAACTCGACTGTTGCTTTTGTGTTCCTGCTGCTCTGTCGAGTGTCAAATTATTAGAATATGACCGACGCTGTTTCTTTCAGGCGCCAGCAACAAAACAACCTTGTCGAGGAGGATCTCGACGACGTGGAGGATATCTTTGCCCGCCCAGCCTATGATGACGATGAGTTTGCGGAGATGGTCCCGTTGGGCAGAAGACCCAATGGACACGCGCGCCTTGGTCGATTCGAAAACACCTTGGAGGTGAAGGTGCAGGAGGGCGATACTCTCCAAGCTCTGGCTCTGCGCTTCCATTGCTCCGTAGCGGACATCAAGCGTCTAAATAAGATTGACCGCGAGAATGAGATTCACGCGCACCGTGTCATCCGCATCCCGGTAACAGTGCACAACGTTCTACTGGGAAACAGCGGTGCCGATGCGCTACCCTCCGTCCATCGTAGTGGGAACAATAGTCCTCGGCACAATTTGGAACGCGAGCCAGCCCCAGAACGTAATCCTCTTGAGGATGCGCGCCAAATGCTGGACGAGCGACTTCTGGTGGCGTCCGTGAATGCATCCGGCACTGTCAGTGGCGACCAGCCATCCACAAGCAAAGCAGCTAGACAGTTTTATGAAGGAGCTCAAGGAGCACCCAGCGATGAAGGTGAGTCCTGGAATCTAGAGGGGATTAGCTATAAAATGGTCGCGGTTTAGATTGTATTTCAAGTGCTGTAAGGTTGGTAAAGTTGTGTTGAATCGTGTCAAGTAGTGTTGTAAAGTGTCTGAAAATTTATATCGATATACCCTTTTTTCGATAAACCGGCATCGATGATTTGCCCCATTGACAGAGCATTTTGCTCCCAAATTGTTTAGTCATTCTCGCCGTAAAACAAAAGAAAAACATTACTTTAGCATCATTTTCGCGCATAAAATAGTACAAAACTAAGTAAGAAAGATGCCGGACTACCTGGGAGATGATCAGCGCAAGGTGAAACACGATGAGAAGGAGGAGAAAGAAATTAAGTCTCTGGACGAGGGTGATATAGAGCTGCTGAAGACCTACGGTCAGAGCCAGTACCACAAGTCGATCAAAAGCATCGAGGAGGACATTCAAAAGGCGGTTAAGCAGGTCAACGAGCTGACTGGCATCAAGGAGAGCGACACCGGACTGGCGCCACCCGCGCTATGGGATCTGGCTGCCGACAAGCAGATCCTGCAGAATGAGCAACCCTTGCAAGTGGCCCGCTGCACCAAGATCATTAACGCCGACTCCGATGACCCCAAGTATATCATTAACGTGAAGCAGTTTGCCAAGTTCGTGGTGGACCTGGCTGACTCAGTCGCTCCCACCGACATTGAAGAGGGAATGCGTGTCGGCGTCGACCGCAACAAGTACCAGATCCATATCCCGCTTCCTCCAAAAATCGACCCCACGGTGACCATGATGCAGGTGGAGGACAAGCCCGATGTCACCTACAGCGATGTGGGAGGTTGCAAGGAGCAGATTGAGAAGCTGCGCGAAGTTGTAGAGACCCCGCTGCTGCATCCTGAGAAGTTCGTTAATCTGGGCATTGAACCACCCAAGGGAGTGTTGTTGTTCGGCCCTCCTGGCACTGGAAAAACTCTGTGTGCCCGGGCTGTGGCCAACCGCACAGACGCCTGCTTTATCCGTGTTATCGGTTCCGAGCTGGTGCAAAAGTACGTGGGTGAAGGTGCACGTATGGTGCGTGAGCTTTTCGAGATGGCGCGCTCCAAAAAGGCCTGCCTTATTTTCTTTGATGAAATCGATGCTATTGGTGGTGCTCGATTCGATGATGGCGCCGGTGGAGACAATGAAGTCCAGCGTACCATGTTGGAGCTGATTAACCAGCTGGATGGTTTCGATCCTCGTGGCAACATTAAGGTTCTCATGGCTACCAACAGACCCGACACTCTCGACCCGGCGTTGATGCGTCCTGGTCGTCTTGATCGTAAGGTCGAGTTTGGTCTGCCCGACCAGGATGGTCGCTCGCATATTTTCAAGATCCATGCCCGGTCCATGTCCGTAGAGCGTGACATTCGTTTCGACCTGCTGGCCCGTCTCTGCCCCAACTCGACTGGTGCCGAGATCCGGTCTGTGTGCACGGAGGCCGGTATGTTCGCCATTCGGGCGCGTCGTAAGGTGGCCACCGAGAAGGACTTCCTCGAAGCTGTCAACAAGGTTATCAAGAGCTACGCCAAGTTCAGCGCCACTCCCCGCTATATGACCTACAATTAAGTTTAATATTATCTGCATTACTTTGTAACGACTGCATCAAATTTGTAAAACATTCTGCAGCTGGCAAATCATGAAATAAAAAAAACCTATACCTCCATATATATTCTTTTGTAATATTTTCATTTATTTAATGATTGTGTCTGGCTAAACCTTCTGTATCTTATACTTCAGCTAACATGGAACATCCGTTTGAGGATAATGCCCCTCTTCTGAACCACATGTTGGTCGACAGACATGCTCCTTTGGTGCGTCCTATCCCAGGACCTTCTTTTCGCGCTATAGACTGGTCCGGATCGGACTGTGACTTGTCCTGGATTTGCCTGCTGATCTTTATACTCGCCCTGTGCGTCGTCATACCGCTGGTCTACGTAATCTACCTGGCGGAACACCCGCACCAGCACCACAGCGCCCAGTAGGAGGGGCTATAGTGCAATCTGTCACCGAAGTGATCGTCATTCCAAATGTACCGGCAACATACGACCTGTCTCTCAGCAACTCTCCTCAAATCAGCCAGGCGCATTCAAAATGCAGGTGCAGGCGGTGGAATTTATTTTTATACAAAACTATATGTAGATTTTATACGGACTCTTGTTGAATAATAAGGATTTAATGCACCGCAAGGCTTTTCAAGTTCTTCCACGTTGCAAGGCAATGGTTTTAAATGCGCTCCACCCAACTCCTGCTAACCCGAGCTAACGATAACCTATAATATACGATTGTGTTGTGAATTTTAGTAATCCCCCATCCCAAGTTCTTTGTCTCTTTAGGTTTTATTGAGTAAAATTATATAACATATTTAAACTAGAACGGGTGTAATGTAACATTATTTAGCTGAAATTGGAAATTGTTTTCGCTTAGGCCTAACAAGTACATAATACATATCTTAGAGCTAAATAAATAGTATCCATGGATATATTGTATAATAGTAAATACGAACTAGAAGTAACAATGGCACACTGCAGAGTGCCAATTGAAGTTAAGTACTTTGTTGTGTGTGTAATTTCGGTCTGGGAAATGCATGAAATGGCCATGGCACATGGTTTTTGGCGAAGATTTGGTTTCAATTATGGACTATGGTCTGGGTGCTGCGCCATTATCGTTCATTTTCCCATCCAAGGAAGATTAAACAATGGCTGCACGCCTGTAGATCCCCATTCTCGCACATTTACTTGAACTTTAAATTCTCAAAGAAAGCAATGTTGCTCCGGAGGAAGCCATGTCGCACTGGAACAGGACTAGCTGGCGAGGCGATTGGTGGCAGACCCTCCGAATGAATGGATGGATCGCTGAAAAAAGTCAGGTGTATAGATTACTTAGAACAATCAACGCATTGCAAAGCTTACGTTTCAAGGGATGATAGATCTGAGGCTATGGTGGACTCATCCGCTACCTCAGCCATGGAGACAGCATGCTCCAGTTTGTGACGTTTAGCCAGTGAAGAACCTGGCTTATCAGGGGTATCTGGTGGGGCAGCTATTCTGACCTAAGCACAAGGAAAAGTGGGTAAGTTTTTAGGGAAATCTTTTCAGTTATTCAACCAACCTTGGCCCGCCATCGTCGCTCTGGTTGCGTGTGCTTGCTGGTCAGGAGGAATGCCTGGGCCAGAGCTTTTACGGATGGCATGGCATGAGCCACTTCGTCTTCGATGACGGGTTTCTCCGCTGCTGGAGTTTTTGGCTGATCAGGCTGCAAAAAAGATGGGTTCAGCCGAGGATTTGGAAACTTATACGTGCCCAACTTACCTCATCATCTTCATCTAGAGACAAAACCTGACTGGGATCGATTAGCTTCCGCTTGGGTTGCAGAAATCTAAAGGCCGGCGGTGTAGATCCCCGTGTGGGAGTGCTCACGGGCGAGCCTATGGTGGGTGCAGAGTCGCCAGGTCCGAACTGCAGGACCACCGGTCGCTCCCGCTTTTTGGAGACGGACGAATCGATGGAGGAAACCGAAGCTGGAGCACTCTGGGCCGACTCCATCGAGGATGTTGTGGAGGTGCTCGGTTGCTGTTCCGCCGGAGTAGCTCGAATCACCGTAGTTTCCTGCTTATTAAAATCGTAGATGCGCACCGTATCGGACTCATCACTTGTAGTTGTATTCGTTGTCTGTACAGAGTACAGTGAAGGATTCGACTGGGTCTCCAAGGACTCGTCCTGGACCTGGACTGGCAAGGCTTTGTATACCGATTCCCCGGGCTGTTCCTGCTCTGTGACAGCCTCGTTTGCCTTTTGAGCCTTTGATGGAATATTTCAGGTTTGGTATTCGATATTCGGTAGTTGGTTTTGGGTGGGTGGTTGTGAGTGTGGAGTGTAGATTTGTTGGTGGGTTAGTACAGGTAGTTACAGTTTAATAAATAGAAAGAAGAAGTGTATAGTAAGTGTTTTAGTAAAAGTTATTCTGTAGAGTGTGATGTGTTGGAAAAGTATGATTTCGTGATGAATGGCAAGTCAGGCAGCAGCATGGAGGCAGTTAGTTTTCAATTATTTTCGAAACAAATGCTGTTAGTCGCATCCAAAAGCAATCCCATAAACATAAAAAAGTCATTGTACCATTGGCTCAGAGCTATCTCCTGGGAGTCTTGGAATCTTGGCCAATTTCCGACTTTGTACTCACCTATTCAATTGGCTTTAGGAAACTAAAAACATTTGTTTCAGTGGTTCAATGGTTGGATACTTTTTTGGTTGGTTTATCGTTTGGCTTTATTTGGAATTAATTAATGCATTATTGATATCGCTAGGCATATGTGTGTGGTTTGTTTTTTTATAAAAAAGAAACGTTAAAGGAGTGCATACAGATACGGTACAGGAATTATTATATTATTTCATAAAATTAACAGCAGGTATACTTGTATTGATTAAAAACAAACGTTGCATACTCTAGGGCATTAGCATTACGTAAGTATTGTAGTATTTACTAAATTACAATTAGAACACTAGCTCGACCCTCTCATTCAATATAGCATTTTGCTGTTGGTTGCTTGGTGGTGCAAGTGGTGGAGTGGGTGCAGTGGACGGTCATCAGATGGCCGGTCCAGTGCCGGAGATTCAAAAGTGCGCCATTGTGTGTGCTTTTTCAATTCTAGTTTTCATTCCTTAATTCCCGCCCCGGCCCACCTCGATAGTATGTACAGAGAAGTTGGCTTTTTCCTACGACTGACTAGTGTTTAAACTTTAAACTCTTGTTTTGACTAAGCTATGCGTAATTTGGCAAATATCCGTAAAGGCTAGAGACTAAGTCAACCCAACCCGACCCTGTACCTGACCCAACCCACTCATCATGAGTCTAGAAGAGCAGACTGTTGTTGCTGTACTTGGTGTCCGCACCACTGAAGCCGTTCAGGCAGCTGTCCACCCCGGAGTCGCCCTGCTCGTCCGTGTCGGGACGCAGAGCCAGCTTACCCGCCGGGAGCGGCTCGCTCTCGAACAGTGGATTCATTACGAAATCCTTTGAAGTGGTGGACACAGCCCGGAAACTGTTCCGCTTAAGGTCCTTGTGAAGCAGTTGCTTCTCGAACTGAGTGAGAACCCCGGCGGAGGGACCTCCGGCCGCCAATCGCCTCTTCGAGGCGGACGAACCAAAGGACACCCCGCTGCCGCTGCTGTGCAAGCTTAGGGTGGACTGGGTGTGCCGCTTGGGCAGGGAACTGTAGCTGCTGCGCCAGGAGCGGTGCGATCTCACATCAAAGTCATGATCGTCGTCTCCTATTCCTAAACTCGATTCCCGATAATGGGAAGCCGATGTGGAAGGACGTTCGAGAGGCGCTGCCCTATCGTAGGCTAATGAGGCACTGCCGTACGGTGTGGGGGACAGGGAGGGCGAGTGGGAGTGGGTGAGGGAGTGGGCGGGGCGGCTGTTAATGAACTTAAGCGAACTGCTACGGCGCACTGGCGTGGATAGTGTCCAATGAGAGAGGTCGGCAACGTTACTCTGAGCGCTACTTGAAATGCGTTGGCCATGCGTTGGTGGAAGTGGTTCTGGTTCTTGATTTACCTCGTTGATCACAATGTCCTCAGCATCCTCAGCGGAGATGGCAGCACTGGCAGTGGCATTAGTCCTTACACTTCCAGGAGTGCCATTGGGGGCATCGTTGATATAGTAATCGCGACTATAGCTATTGGTTAGGGATATTATAGAAAAAGAAAAGGACCAGTTAGAGGAGTTAGTTACCGCTTATAGTCCGTTTGTGGCGAGGCAGAATCAGTGCTTTCCGTTAGTGCCGATGCCAGAGCCTTCTGCTCGGCACTGGGACTGATGTTCGGCACATCCATGTACCGCTCCTGGGTGCCACTGATGCGCTGCTTCAGGGCCTCCGGTGCGTATGGGTTGTTTGGCATCTCGACGGCGTTATACCATTTTTTCACTTCGCGCTCCGCAATGGAACCTATAAATATTTTTCGGATATGATTTAATATCAAGGACTTGAAAAGGAGAGTGGGTCGAGTGAGTTGAAAAGCGAAAAGTAATCCCCCTCTTAACGAAACTGCTTGCATTTCAAAAACATATCCTTTATTTCAAATTTTTAAATACATTTATATTATTTTCTAATATTTTAACATTCATAATATATTTTAATATATTTTTGAAATAAAGGCATGTTCTTCTAATAGTTACTCTTCGCTTTTATTTTTGGTTAATACTTGAATCGACCCACTAGATTGTTGGGCGGGACACAAAACACACACACATAGACAGACAGTGACAGTGAAGCCAGGCTAGGGAATCAAGGGTAACAACAAACACCGAGTGATGACAGTTATGGCCTTAACCCTGGGTTACCTGGCACAAAGCGCCGCAACAGTACAACATCGTCATCGGAAACATCGTCCGGTTGGGCAACCTTCGGGCCACCGTTGGTTAGTTCACTGCCAATGTCATTGACCGACTTGTTTGACCATCTCAGGGAACCATTTGTTAGTTTTCCGTTAGTGCGTCTACTGGCCGAATGGGAGGTGTTAGTTTTGGTTAGAGTTAGATGTAAGTTGGCGTGCGAGGTGCGATTAGAGTTTGTGTTAGTACTCGGGGATCGATGCTCGTCCAGGACTAAGACCCTTTCGCTAACAAAGTCCTGCTCATAGTCGGCCTCGCCGTTGAACGTCTCACAGGCCGTGGACGGCTCACTCTCGTCGCTGTGATTCGACTCTGAACTCAATTGATCTGAGAAGAGAATGTCGTTGATAAAGTTATAGGTGATTTCACCGAGACTAACCGCAATGAATGACTCTGTGTCTATATCGAGCTCATCTGCCAGGTCGCGGGTTGTCTGACTGGCTCTATCCCATCGAAGGATGGTCGCTAAACTGTCGCTAACTGGAACCCTATCGTCTATAGTTTCTACAGGAGATTCTTGCTCGACCATCAAACTAGCAACTTCTGTACTAGCCTCGTCTAAAAAACTTGGTTCAGTCTTAACTATTTCAAAATTATCAAGTTGAGAAATTTCTAGTAAACTCTCTGGAGGATCTGAATCCTCTACACATTCAGTCTCACTTGGAGCTACTGTATCTTCTATTTCGACTTCAGGAGGTGGAGTTTCTACTCTTCCAGTTGGCGGAATCATCTCTACTTGAGGCTCTGAGCCATCTTCATTTAGTTCTTGGAACAAGCTCGGATATTCATCGCAGACAACATCCTCTATCGTATCATCCATGGAGTCGAAGGAACTCAGGTACTTGTGCATGATCAAAGCCCGGCGTCGTCTTCGTTCGATCGTTGCCAAAAGTCGTTTGTCTTTTATGTAAAACTTGCAAATGGTGCCCAGGAGGTTCACAGGGTCGGATTTCAAGGAAAAGTTTCCTTCGCTCTGTATTGTGTCGGTTATGTTCGGCTGTCTTCGCAGGCACTTTTGAGATGCTTTACCTATAATGGAAGCATCTCCTATGGACGCACTTTCGTGAGTTGAATCCACCAATTCCTGGTCTGCAATATCTTGGTCAGCTGCGGTTGATTTTAAAGCCTCTGTCGCTGGCTCTGCATGAGCTAAGATTGTTTTTGCAGTTGCTTCAGCTTTTTCTTCAGTAGGTTCTGGTGAAGGAGTATCCACTGGTGCTTCCACAAGAGTTCCTGCAGCGGGTTCTGAAGCAGGAGTATCCACTGGTGCTTCCACAGGAGCTGGGATTGTTTCCACAGGTGCTGCAGCTTCTACTGCTACGGGTTCCGGAGCAGGAGTATCAACTGGTGCATCCGCAGGAGCTGGGATTGTTTCCACAGGTGCTGCAGCTTCTGCTGCTACGGGTTCCGGAGCAGGAGTATCCATTGGTGCTTCAACAGGAGCTGGGATAGTTTTAGCTGGTGCTGTAGCTTCTACTGCTACAGGCTCCGGAGCAGGAGTATCCACTGTTGCTTCCACAGGAGCTGGGATTGTTTCCACAGGTGCTGCAGCTTCTACTGCTACGGGTTCTGGAGCAGGAGTATCCACTATTGCTTCCACAGGAGCTGGGATAGTTTCCACAGGTGCTGCAGCTTCTGCTGCTACGGGTTCCGGAGCAGGAGTATCCACTGGTGCTTCAACAGGAGCTGGGATAGTTTCAGCTGGTGCTGTAGCTTCTACTGCTACGGGCTCCGGAGCAGTAGTATCCACTGTTGCTTCCACAGGAGCTGGGATTGTTTCCACAGGTGCTGCAGCTTCTACTGCAACGGGTTCTGGAGCAGAAGTATCCTTTATTGCTACCACAAAAGCTGGCATTGTTTCCACAGGTCCTGCAGCTTCTACTGCTACGGGTTCTGGAGCAGGGGTATCCACTGGTGCTTCCACAGGAGCTGGGATTGTTTCCGCAGGTTCTGCAGCTTCTGCTGCTACGGGTTCTGGAGCAAGGGTATCCACTGGTGCTTCCACAGGAGCTGGGAGTGTTTCCACAGGAGCTACAGCTTCTACTGCAGCAGAATCTGGAGCAGGTGTATCCACTGGTGCTTCAACAGGAGCTGGGATAGTTTTAGCTGGTGCTGTAGCTTCTACTGCTACGGGCTCCGGAGCAGGAGTATCCACTGGTGCTTCCACAGGAGCTAGGATTGTTTCCGCAGGTACTGCAGCTTCTGCAGCAGCGGGTTCTGGAGCAGGAGTATCCACTATTGCTTCCACAGGAGCTGGGATTGTTTCTACAGGTGCTGCAGCTTCTGCTGCAGCTTCCACTGCTACGGGTTCCAAAGCAGGAGTATCCACTGGGGCTTCCACAGGAGCTGGGATTGTTTCCGCAGGTGGTGCAGCTTCTGCTACAGCGGGTTCCGGAGCAGGAGTGTCCACTGGTGTTTCCGCAGGAGCTGGGATAGTTTCAGCTGGTGCTGTAGCTTCTACTGCTACGGGCTCCGGAGCAGGAGTGTCCACTTTTGCTTCCACAGGAGCTGGGATTGTATCCGCAGGTGCTGCAGCTTCTGCTGCAGCGGGTTCCGGAGAAGGAGTGTCCACTGGTGCTTCCACAGGAGCTGGGATTGTTTCCGCAGGTGCTGCAGCTTCTACTGCTACAGGTTCCGGACCAGGAGTATCCACTGGTGCTTCAACAGGAGCTGGGATAGTTTCCACAGGTCCTGCAGCTTCTACTGCTATGGGTTCTGGAGCAGGAGTATCCACTGGTGCATCCGCAGGAGCTGGAATTGTTTCCACAGGTCCTGCAGCTTCTACTGCTATGGGTTCTGGAGCAGGAGTATCCACTGGTGCTTCTACAGGAGCTGGGATTGTGTCCGCAGGTGCTGCAGCTTCTGATGCTGCGGGTTCTGGAGCAGGAGTATCAACTGGTGTTTCAACAGGAGCTGGGATTGTTTCCGCAGGTGCTGCAGCTTCGGATGCTGCGGGTTCTGGAGCAGGAGTATCCGCTGGTGCTTCCGCAGGAGCTGGGATTGTTTCCGCAGGAGATGGAGCTTCTGGATTGGGATGATGGATTGTTTCCACGGGTGCATCCACAGGAGCTGGGACCGATTCCACAGGTGCTGCAGCTTCTGCTGCAGCCGGTTCTGGAGCAAGAGTATCCACTGGTGCTTCCAAAGGAGCGGGAATTGTTTCCGCAGGTGCTGCAGCTTCTACTGCAACGGGTTCTGGAGCAGGGGTATCCACTGGTGCTTCCACAGGAGCTAGGATTGTTTCCGCAGGTGCTGCAGCTTCTACTGCAACGGGTTCTGGAGCAGGAGTATCCACTGGTGCTTCCACAGGAGCTGGGATTGTTTCAGCTGGTGCTGCAGCTTCTACTGCTACGGGTTCTGGAGCAGGGGTATCCACTGGTGCTTCCACAGGAGCTAGGATTGTTTCCGCAGGTGCTGCAGCTTCTACTGCAACGGGTTCTGGAGCAGGAGTATCCACTGGTGCTTCCACAGGAGCTGGGATTGTTTCAGCTGGTGCTGCAGCTTCTACTGCTACGGGTTCCGGAGCAGGAGTATCCACTGGTGCTTCCACAGGAGCTGGGATTGTTTCAGCTGGTGCTGCAGCTTCTGCAGCAGTGGGTTCTGCAGCAGGAGTATCCACTGGTGCTTCCAAAGGAGCGGGGATTGTTTCCGCAGGTGCTGCAGCTTCTACTGCAACGGGTTCTGGAGCAGGAGTATCCACTGGTGCTTCCACAGGAGCTAGGATTGTTTCAGCTGGTGCTGCAGCTTCTATTGCTGCGGGTTCTGGAGAAGGAGTATCCACTGGTGCTTCAACAGGAGCGGGGATAGTTTCAGCTGGTGCTGTAGCTTCTACTGCTACGGGCTCCAGAGCAGGAGTACCCACTGGTGCTTCCACAGGAGCTGGGATTGTTTCCACAGGTGCTGCAGCTTCTACTGCTACGGGTTCTGGAGCAGGAGTATCCACTGGTGCATCCGCAGGAGCTGGAATTGTTTCCACAGGTCCTGCAGCTTCTACTGCTATGGGTTCTGGAGCAGGAGTATCCACTGGTGCTTCTACAGGAGCTGGGATTGTGTCCGCAGGTGCTGCAGCTTCTGATGCTGCGGGTTCTGGAGCAGGAGTATCAACTGGTGTTTCAACAGGAGCTGGGATAGTTTCAGCTGGTGCTGAAGCTTCTACTGCTACGGGCTCCAGAGCAGGAGTACCCACTGGTGCTTCCACAGGAGCTGGGATTGTTTCCACAGGTGCTGCAGCTTCTACTGCTACGGCTTCCGGAGCAGGAGTATCCACTGGTGCATCCGCAGGAGCTGAAATTCTTTCCACAGGTGCTGCAGCTTCTACTGCTACGGGTTCTGGAGCAGGAGTATCCACTGGTGCTTCTACAGGAGCTGGGATTGTTTCCGCAGGTGCTGCAGCTTCGGATGCTGCGGGTTCTGGAGCAGGAGTATCCGCTGGTGCTTCCGCAGGAGCTGGGATTGTTTCCGCAGGAGATGGAGCTTCTGGATTGGGATGATGGATTGTTTCCACGGGTGCATCCACAGGAGCTGGGACCGATTCCACAGGTGCTGCAGCTTCTGCTGCAGCCGGTTCTGGAGCAAGAGTATCCACTGGTGCTTCCAAAGGAGCGGGAATTGTTTCCGCAGGTGCTGCAGCTTCTACTGCAACGGGTTCTGGAGCAGGGGTATCCACTGGTGCTTCCACAGGAGCTAGGATTGTTTCCGCAGGTGCTGCAGCTTCTACTGCAACGGGTTCTGGAGCAGGAGTATCCACTGGTGCTTCCACAGGAGCTGGGATTGTTTCAGCTGGTGCTGCAGCTTCTACTGCTACGGGTTCTGGAGCAGGGGTATCCACTGGTGCTTCCACAGGAGCTAGGATTGTTTCCGCAGGTGCTGCAGCTTCTACTGCAACGGGTTCTGGAGCAAGAGTATCCACTACTGCTTCCATAGAAGCGGGGATTGTTTCCGTAGGTGCTGCAGCTTCTACTGCAACGGGTTCTGGAGCAGGAGTATCCACTGGTGCTTCCAAAGGAGCGGGAATTGTTTCCGCAGGTGCTGCAGCTTCTACTGCAACGGGTTCTGGAGCAGGAGTATCCACTGGTGCTTCCACAGGAGCTGGGATTGTTTCAGCTGGTGCTGCAGCTTCTACTGCTACGGGTTCTGGAGCAGGAGTATCCACTACTGCTTCCATAGAAGCGGGGATTGTTTCCGTAGGTGCTGCAGCTTCTACTGCTACGGGTTCTGGAGCAGGGGTATCCACTGGTGCTTCCACAGGAGCTAGGATTGTTTCCGCAGGTGCTGCAGCTTCTACTGCAACGGGTTCTGGAGCAGGAGTATCCACTGGTGCTTCCACAGGAGCTGGGATTGTTTCAGCTGGTGCTGCAGCTTCTACTGCAACGGGTTCTGGAGCAGGAGTATCCACTGGTGCTTCCACAGGAGCTGGGATTGTTTCAGCTGGTGCTGCAGCTTCTACTGCAACGGGTTCTGGAGCAGGGGTATCCACTGGTGCTTCCACAGGAGCTAGGATTGTTTCCGCAGGTGCTGCAGCTTCTACTGCAACGGGTTCTGGAGCAGGAGTATCCACTGGTGCTTCCACAGGAGCTGGGATTGTTTCAGATGGTGTTGAAGCTTCTACTGCAACGGGTTCTGGAGCAGGGGTATTCACTGGTGCTTCCACAGGAGCTGGGATTGTTTCCGTAGGTGCTGCAGATTCTACTGCAACGGGTTCTGGAGCAGGAGTATCCACTGGTGCATCCACAGGAGTTGGGATCGATTCCACAGGTGCTGCAGCTTCTGCTGCAGCCGGTTCTGGAGCAGGAGTATCCACTGGTGCATCCACAGGAGTTGGGATCGATTCCACAGGTGCTGCAGCTTCTGCTGCAGCCGGTTCTGGAGCAGGAGTATCCACTACTGCTTCCACAGGAGCTGGGATTGTTTCCGCAGGTGCTGAAGCTGCTACTGCTACGGGTTCTTGAGCAGGAGTATCCACTGGTGCTTCCACAGGAGCTGGGATTGTTTCAGCTGGTGCTGCAGCTTCTATTTCTGCGGGTTCTGGAGAAGGAGTATCCACTGGTGCTTCAACAGGAGCGGGGATAGTTTTAGCTGGTGCTGTAGCTTCTACTGCAACGGGTTCTGGAGCAGGAGTATCCACTGGTGCTTCCACAGGAGCTGGGATAGTTTCAGCTGGAGCTGCAGCTTCTGCAGCAGTGGGTTCTGGAGCAGGAGTATCCACTGGTGCTTCCACAGGAGCTGGGATTGTTTCAGATGGTGTTGAAGCTTCTACTGCAACGGGTTCTGGAGCAGGAGTATCCACTGCTGCTTCCACAGGAGCTGGGATTGTTTCAGATGGTGTTGAAGCTTCTACTGCAACGGGTTCTGGAGCAGGGGTATTCACTGGTGCTTCCACAGGAGCTGGGATTGTTTCCGTAGGTGCTGCAGATTCTACTGCAACGGGTTCTGGAGCAGGAGTATCCACTGGTGCATCCACAGGAGTTGGGATCGATTCCACAGGTGCTGCAGCTTCTGCTGCAGCCGGTTCTGGAGCAGGAGTATCCACTGGTGCATCCACAGGAGTTGGGATCGATTCCACAGGTGCTGCAGCTTCTGCTGCAGCCGGTTCTGGAGCAGGAGTATCCACTACTGCTTCCACAGGAGCTGGGATTGTTTCAGATGGTGTTGAAGCTTCTACTGCAACGGGTTCTGGAGCAGGAGTATCCACTGGTGCTTCCACAGGAGCTGGGATTGTTTCAGATGGTGTTGAAGCTTCTACTGCAACGGGTTCTGGAGCAGGGGTATTCACTGGTGCTTCCACAGGAGCTGGGATTGTTTCCGTAGGTGCTGCAGATTCTACTGCAACGGGTTCTGGAGCAGGAGTATCCACTGGTGCATCCACAGGAGTTGGGATCGATTCCACAGGTGCTGCAGCTTCTGCTGCAGCCGGTTCTGGAGCAGGAGTATCCACTGGTGCATCCACAGGAGTTGGGATCGATTCCACAGGTGCTGCAGCTTCTGCTGCAGCCGGTTCTGGAGCAGGAGTATCCACTACTGCTTCCACAGGAGCTGGGATTGTTTCCGCAGGTGCTGAAGCTGCTACTGCTACGGGTTCTTGAGCAGGAGTATCCACTGGTGCTTCCACAGGAGCTGGGATTGTTTCAGCTGGTGCTGCAGCTTCTACTGCAACGGGTTCTGGAGCAGGGGTATCCACTGGTGCTTCCACAGGAGCTAGGATTGTTTCCGCAGGTGCTGCAGCTTCTACTGCAACGGGTTCTGGAGCAGGAGTATCCACTGGTGCTTCCACAGGAGCTGGGATTGTTTCAGCTGGTGCTGCAGCTTCTACTGCTACGGGTTCCGGAGCAGGAGTATCCACTGGTGCTTCCACAGGAGCTGGGATTGTTTCAGCTGGTGCTGCAGCTTCTGCAGCAGTGGGTTCTGCAGCAGGAGTATCCACTGGTGCTTCCAAAGGAGCGGGGATTGTTTCCGCAGGTGCTGCAGCTTCTACTGCAACGGGTTCTGGAGCAGGAGTATCCACTGGTGCTTCCACAGGAGCTAGGATTGTTTCAGCTGGTGCTGCAGCTTCTATTGCTGCGGGTTCTGGAGAAGGAGTATCCACTGGTGCTTCAACAGGAGCGGGGATAGTTTCAGCTGGTGCTGTAGCTTCTACTGCTACGGGTTCTGGAGCAGGAGTATCCACTGGTGCTTCCACAGGAGCTGGGATTGTTTCAGCTGGAGCTGCAGCTTCTGCAGCAGTGGGTTCTGCAGCAGGAGTATCCACTGGTGCTTCCAAAGGAGCGGGGATTGTTTCCGCAGGTGCTGCAGCTTCTACTGCAACGGGTTCTGGAGCAGGGGTATCCACTGGTGCTTCCACAGGAGCTAGGATTGTTTCCGCAGGTGCTGCAGCTTCTACTGCAACGGGTTCTGGAGCAGGAGTATCCACTGGTGCATCCACAGGAGCTGGGATTGGTTCCACAGGTCCTGCAGCTTCTACTGCAGCGGGTTCTGGAGCAAGAGTATCCACTGATGCTTCCACAGGAGCTGGAATTGTTTCCGCAGGGGCTGCAGCTTCTACTCCTACGGGTTCCGGAGCAGGAGTATCCACTGGTGCATCCACAGGAGCTGGGATTGTTTCCACAGGTGCGGCAGCATCTACTGCTACGGGTTCTGGAGCAGGAGTATCCACTGGTGCATCCATAGAAGCCGGGATTGTTTCCACAGGTGCTGCAGCTTCTACTGCTACGGGTTCCGGAGCAGGAGTATCCACTGGTGCATCCACAGGAGCTGGGATTGTTTCCGCAGGTGCTGCAGATTCTACTGCTACGGGTTCCGGAGCAGGAGTATCCACTGGTGCTTCCACAGGAGCTGGGATCGTTTCCGTAGGTGCTGCAGCTTCTACTGCAACGGGTTCTGGAGCAGGAGTATCCACTATTGCTTCCACAGGAGCTGGGATTGTTTCCACAGGTGCGGCAGCTTCTACTGCTACGGGTTCTGGAGCAGGAATATCCACTGGTGCATCCATAGGAGCCGGGATTGTTTCCACAGGTCCTGCAGCTTCTGCTGCAACCTGTTCTGGAGCAGGAGTATCCACTATTGCTTCCACAGGAGCTGAGATTGTTTCCGCAGGGGCTCCAGCTTCTACTACAACGGTTTCTGGAGCAGGAGTATTTACTGGTCCTTCCACAGGAGCTGGAATTGTTTCTAATTCAGCGGTTTCGGGAGGAAAAGGGTTTTCCGTTGGCGCTGGAAGAGCCAGGATTGTGTCCGCGGATGCTGCTGCTTGTACTGTGGTGGTTTCTGTAGCAGGACAATCGACTGGAGGATGCACAGGTGTTTTCACTGCATTTGAAATGGTTGCCGTGGGAGATACAGATTCTACTGCTGTTGATTCTGGTGCAGTGGAATCCACAGGAAGTTTTGCAGCAACTTCTGGGGCAATTTGTTCATGTACGTTCGAAGAACTTTGTGCAGAAATCTCTATTATATGATGCGAGACTCCTGTTGCGGGGGGCTCGGGGCTCTCCTCCTCGATGATATCCAGGGAGTGGTGTGCCAGCTCCATTGTGCGAGCGTTAATCTCGGCGAGGGCCAAGTCACTGAGCTCCTTGAGCGTATGCATTTCGCTGGGAGTCATGGCGCCGGGCTGTTCCGAGGCCGGAACCGCCAGCATAGGTCCCAGGGCCATGGCGGCCAGAATCTCGATCACCGAGGGCACAGACTCTCGCATCTGTTCATCGTCTAAGTACTCGACCGTGCTGAAGCCGGTGCAACCGTCGAGGCTGGCTAGCTCCTCGGAGTCGACATGGGCTGTAACACAAACGACTGCTAAATGCCGGAGCTTCAAGATCATGCACAGGTGGACTGGGCTACTTATCAGGGGACTCCGGGCTCTAAACACTTGGGACTGAGTCAACGATCTAAAGGGCTAATGGTCTAGTTCTAAAGGCTAACCTAGGTAAGTCATAGCAGTATGAGTTAGGTACAATTGTTGGAGGTGAGATGAGACTTTAAATGGCACTAACCTGCGATGGGAGCTGGAACAGGCTGCTCTGTCACAGAATCATCTTGGAATACCATGGGAGGTGGAGGTGGGGGCGACACTGGCGGCGCCACGCCCGTGTTTTCCACCAGAAGAACATTCGTGGTCTCCGTAAATGCGGGTTCGTGCTCCTCCGGCAATGTGTGGGAGATGAGACTGGTGCGATCGACAAGTTCGTCCAGAACGAGCTTCGTATTCTGGCCACCGATGAGGTGTTTGCTCAGAAGACGATCGTTTAGCTCGTTGCAGCGCATCAAGTCCAGCGAACTGTCCTCGGCATCCGAGCCCATCTCCGACAGATCACTGACCTCGTCGGCTGTCTTGTCGCCAATCTGAGCCCGGACATTCTCCTTGGGCGCGGGCACCAGCATGCCAATGCTGCTGGGAGTGGCTGAGCTGCGTTTCTTTTTAAATAACCAATTGTCCTCCCAGGTGCCATCAGCAATCATGCTCGAGGAGATGGAGCCTACATCTGTAAAAGGAGAAAGTCCTTTTATGATCTTGATAGACTTGAAAGATTTTTAAAACAATTACCATCCTCGGATTCCGTTACAGAGGCTGAGAAATCAGGAAGTGGCACCATGTGGGCGGCTATATAATCACTAAGTACCGATTCCCTCTTCAATTCCGCCTGCAGGGATTGGGATTTGCCATTCTATGGATAAGAGACTATAGGTTAAGAAATGTATTAAATTTCATCATAAAAATGTTCTTACATCCAAGACAATCTCATGGTCGGTTAGGCTGCAATCACTTCGTGGCTCTATGGAACTACCGGACGTGGTGCTCAAAGCTTCGGCATTGAAATTCTCGTCAATGTGATGACCACTCAAGTCCGGCGTGCTTTCCGCCAGTAGCCTTGTATTCCCTTCCTTATCCGCAATCTGTGAAAGAGACAAGACATGTTATCCCATAGGCCTTGGCATTGTGCAATTGAAATGTTGTTGAACTCGAAGAAACCGATTTGTTGTGGGTCAACCGAGTGGGTGACACGAAAAGCCCTTAAGTAGATTAAGTCCAGTAGCTTCCTAAAGTGGTCACTTGGCGACAGGTATTTCATCGATTCATTAAACAGAACCCACAACGTCATCGATTACCAAAAAATTGATAGAAAACGATGAGGAGGTTTAATTTTGTTGGGTGATTGAGTTGTTAAGTGCTGACTGGATCAGTGACTCGATAAGATTTGAATTCCCGACTAGAGATGACTCATTGCATCATTATTTGTACTTGATTAATGGCTCTGTACTTCTGGTATGTGATTACTTTATCGCCGGGATCTGCCATTGTCTTGTAAGTAACTAGGAGTTCTGTTGCTCCAAAAGTGTTCCTCCAAAATCAGTTTATCCAATTAGTGCGGCGATTGATTTATGTAGTTTTCTGCTGTTTTCGAGACGTCTGCACGGCTGAGACGATGGACTGCAACTAATTAGCCCGCCCTGGTCTGGTCTAACAATATACCAGCCATTCGATTGAAGCCGCCAAAGTGCAGGCCAAATAAAAACGAAAAATGGCGGAAATGGGCAGAAAATGGCTTACAAAATGCTCAACAGCGCCAGTGGGGGTACTACAGGTGGTGACTGGGTCATTGATTGTGATTTTCTTACCTTATTCAGCACCGCCGTGGCCAACAGATCCTGGTAGATCTTTGGCTCAAAGTAGTGCTCGGTGCGGTGGCGACGCTTTAGGCCATTTCCATTGGCCAGCTCAGAGACATGGGACCTGGTGTCCAAGCTGATCTCCGAGACAGCTCCACTGGCACTCAGGGACGTACTCCGCAGGGTCTCCGCTATAATCGTCTCGATGAGACTTCTTAGCCGGGTCTGCGTGATGTCGGCCAGCTCGTTGTTATTGTTATTGTTGTTGTTGTTGGCGGTGTTGGTATTGCCATTAGTGTTGTTATAGCCATTCACTATGGCCGGGAGATCTGAAAGCAAGTGCAGAGCTTTGTCAGACGAGAAACAAGACCCAGAATTTGGCCAACAATAATGCTGGGTTAGCAAAGATCGATACAATAAAAAGTGAAAACTTGGTTACTTCTAGGCGGGTGAGTGTATGTGTATGTGAAAGGCAAAGAAAGTGAGCGAGTGTGAGTATTTTAGCCATACCTAATTTCACCTCAATGACGTAAACGACGTAAAATACAATTACGGCCACAACGGCATACATGCCCGTGACAAGGCCCAAAGTAAAATCCATGCTGCATGCACATATATTATTTATATCTTCGGTCTGGATGATATTCCCGATACTCCGCCTGATATCGCCGGCTCTTTATTGTTTATTTACGTATTTGTACTTTTGTTTGGGTTTTGTCTAAAGCTTTCATTGATATAACGGCTGGGCGGCGAAGCTGTTAATTATATTGAGTAAATATTTGAGTTCGTTTTGTTTCCCTAATTGAGCTCGAAGCATAAACCTGTCACCGCCTCCCCGGAACGCTCTCTAAACCCTTTAATGAACTCCACTCATGCTGAAAATCGCGAGTATCGTTCGCATATTTATCATTTTCCTTTGACATGCCAAGTCTATTAACATATTGCGGTTAATACCACGCCGCATAATGAATAACCCCGAGTTATCTATTTTGCGTTACAATACCGCCCATATATCTTTATCTGACGGGCTACCTGGCTGAATGCTTTTGAGCCTCTGTCCCCCGTTACTCATTCAGGTGTGCAAAAATAACAAATACGAAAAAATATCACAAGCAGATACTTTTGTATCTGCTATCCAGAACCAGCATTTGTGGTCGAGTCATCAATGGGAATAGCAAACGGAATCTTAGAAACTGGCCCCCTAGGACAGAACCAGCCGGATCACTTTTCAACAATCGTTCTCAGCCACTCCAAAGTTCAGGGTTCAATGGAAATCACTCAAGCAATTATCAGCGGGCAGAGTAGTTCGGTTTATTTCACTTTTAATACTTAAAACTCCTGCCCCTGAAAAAGGGTTCAAGTGGCCTGATAACTCGCCATCAGATAGCTTCGACTTTGGTACGATCAATTAGGGCTTTTGCGATAAGTTGGGTGCACAGCAAGGTTTTATAGACATCTTAGTTAGGGTTTCGTTGACTTAAGGTCAGATATAAACTGTCAAGGGGGAGCAGGCACACTAGCAGACTCATAGACTCGTGTCGAAAGTCCACGTTCATCAATGAAAGATCATAATTTGTTGTTAATCTCGGGATTGCCAACACACATAGGAGTAAGCATTGAGGGCTCTAAGCGGGACTGGGGGATCATTAATATTTATTAGCGTTGATTAAGGTCTCTTCCTCGTCTGTCAGGTTGTTTTACCTCACGATTATTGATTTCTAATTTTGTTCATTTCATTTTTTGCCAACTTGCTGCCGGGTCAAGGTTGGCGATAAGTCATAACTAACTCTGCGATCTTTTTACGTGTTCATATGTTTTACTGTCTTATCTCTCTGCCCTGTCACCTGAAGATGGAAAAGTTCTTGCTTTTGTTTTTGGCCAAATTCTTGTGTTATTTATGTTGTTTTATATGCCATGTTATCACTCGCGGATTCGGTTGGTCCGGAGCCCGTTTTGGCGTTACGATCTCGGCGCGACGCTTCTGACAACTGAAGCGGTACCGTGCGATTCCCGAGCAGCTAGCAGCTGGCGGTAGACGGCAAACGGCGAGCGGTGAGCAGCTAGCGGCTAGCGGTGAGCGTATACCGTCTAAACGCTCACTCACACTCCCAAGTTGGACTAAGTGATTCCCTACAGTGGGCCCAAACGCGGAGTTTGGCTTTGTAATTCACAAGCCGGTGATTACATGGCTAGGAATTACCAAAATCAACTCAGAGCGTGACCATGTCAATCGCCCAAGCCCCTGAGTGGTCGTGTAAGTAAGCCATTTACTTCAATTTACAAAACTCGGAACCAGTTGGTGAGCAAGGCGCCCACAGTGCGTATGATTAATATCTGAGCTAAGGCCAACTGTCTGTGCCAGCGAAATGCAAGTGTGTGTTTTATTCCGTATCATATTCCTCCGACTGTTTTCTAGCAGTCGGCACTTCAATGGCAGGAGGGTACCTTATCACCGCTGTAAGCCCTTATCAGCCAGGCTGACTCTGTGCGCTTCTTATCAAAAAGTACTGACCGCGATTTTAGATTGCCTGTCGTTAGCTTTTTCGAGGGAGAAGTATTTATAGGCAAGGTTTGTTAGTGAGAGGAACTAGTGAGAATAATAGCGCCTGATAAGAGGGGCAATCATTGATTCATAGATTTCTTTTATGGTTATAGGGATTTTCTTCAAATCAGTTATAAAGAAATGCATGCCAAGGCTAGATGGTTATCACACAACAAAATTACACTCAGAACAACTCTAGTTTGTTTAATTTTCATTCAAAAAGTAGTCTAGTTATCGGAATAATCGAAATGGAAATACATTCTTTTTTATTAATACGATTACTTTCCATTACAGTCTAAAAGAATACTACACATCGATAGCTTCTAGATTAGCATACACAAACTAAGGATTATGGGCGTCCATGCTCGATCGATAAGTGACTATCGGATATCGATTACTTACCACCTTTGAGCGCGCGCGCACACAAACCGTTCTCCAAATTGATAAGCAGGTTACTCAGCTTCGCATGGAATTTATCGAAGAGTTGCAAGTCTAATTGCAGATGTGTGTGTGTAGTTTTGGGTGTGTGTAAAGGTGTGCATATATTTGTTAATGAGCGAACAACACAAAATGGCAACAGATAGACTTTCGAGCAAGCTCCTGAACGAAAGCTCGCCTAAAAGTATGCTTTTTTTAAAGCCTAGCAACAAATGTTGCCAAGCAGCGCTAGGCACATTGTTGCCAAGCCAATTGAAATTTATTTGCGCAAATTACGCGAGTGCACCCAAAGTGCAGAAAATTGCATTTGCCCTAATCAAATCTAAGGCAATCAGTGTACTTACAGGTCTCGCTCTTAGACAGCTGCCCCACTTTGATCTGATCCAGGTTGCCGCCCAGCATTTCGGCCACGATCTGCTCCACATATTCGCGTATCTTGGCCCTTTCATCCAAATTGTTAGCCTGTCCTATCTGGCTAACACTCTCAAATTCTGCAATTCAAATTGTTTCGTTCATAGCTTGGTGTAATTTATAAGAATACTTACGCATACTACTATCATTGCCATCGCCAGCAATCGGTATATAAACCTCACTGCGGGCCCTCATGGGATAGACAAACTTGTGCTGGTTAAAGGACATCTGTTCCGCCACCCAGGAGGAGGTGTGGTCCAGGGACTCCTTGGAGTTCTGGCACAGTTGGCACTCCCATTTGGCGTCCTTGGGCCGCCAGTCGGCGCACTTGAGGCCGCGACAAACCGACTTGCCGCAGGTGCAACATGTGACATAGCTGGAAAAGACGAAAATAAATTGTTCTAGATGTTCTGAAGATTCTTTAAAGATCTTTATACCCCAATTATCATTTAGAATTTATATTTTGTTTATTTCATTGGGTTTTTCTATGAAACCTCAACCATTAACTGAATATCAAATATTTTTGAATCTAAAACATCTTCTATTTGAATATTCTAATGAATGCGAAATCATTCGACAAATGACTAACGGTTGTGACGCATTTGAAACTTTCACTTTGGGTTCTTTTGAGACTAAGCCTTTACCTCTTGACCCCAATATTTATACTCACTTTTTGGCACTGCTCAGATCCAAGTCTGCACAGCAGACATTGCAGTTGTGATCCTCGCGGGTCTCCTCCTTCGTCCACTTCTTATTGGCTAGTTTACTGGAAAAAAAGGCGGAAAGAATTCTATGGTTAGTCCAAAATAAGGAAAACAAACATCACGATTAGTCAGGTCAGTTCTAGCGTAGCTCTGGGGTTATTCAACGGCCAGAAGGTCAAGATAAGCAAAGTGTTGGACAAAAAAATCAGCTAATTAGTCGTTGTTGGCCAGACTCGCCAAATCAAGCCAAAAGATCGCGTTGCCAAAGCATGAAGCTGGACTTCCAAAGACTTCCCTGTTGCAGCTGGTATTTGCAATTGACTTTCTCCAGCGCCCCATTCCAGAAAATTGCATAAGTAACATGCAAAACCCGTTGGACCAGGCAAACAAAAATAACGTTTGTTTTCTAGCCAAGTTTATTCAACTCCCTCAGGCCTGCCAGCCGGGAGTACATCAGATGCCTTAAAATATACCAATTTGCAGCTTAGAGCTAATCACACGTCTTAAAAGCTAAGAGACATTTTGTCGCCACTCGGATTATGTCAGTCACTTACAGTTCTTACACAAGACCCGATTAAAAAGAAGGGAATTCCTAGGTGTCTTGTACGTGCTCGCAATCGTTAATCACAAAAATCATTCCGCTGTTAAACCTATTCAAATGGCAAATTTCGCAATTGCTTACAAACAAACAAATACAATTTAATGATGAACGGAAAGCGAAAATATTACACATTCGGTAGCTGGCAAACTAAATAATTTTTAAAAGCAATACATTATAGGAAAAATATATATATAGATTCAGTCCACAGTATACCCGATCTAACCAAGTTTCTAATTAAATCTAATTAAAATCAATGTCCATTATGTGTGCAACTGTTGCTGCTGCTGCTGTTGTTGCTGTTGCATGTACTGTTGCTGTCGCTGATTAAATCGCATTCTGCGGCGTGCCCACTGGTCGTAGTTGTTCTCCAGATTCTCGTAGTAGATCTGTTCCTCGCGATCGTCGCCGTTGTCCTCCTCCCAGTCGTCGGCGGGTCGTCCAAAGACCGGGTTGCTTGTGGTTAGCTTGAGGAGGACCACCTCCATGGTGCAGGCCATGAAGAGGAAGCCCAGCACGGCAAAACTAATGGGCATGCACATGAGCCTTTCCACCTGGCACAGCAGCGTCGAGGAGAAAATCATTCTCCTTTTTTTGGGTGGCCGGTTGTTTGAACTGGTATGGGGATTGGTCTTTCAGGTATTCAAATTGTTTTTTGTCGAATGATTAAAGCCGAATTGTTTGCTGTGATTTGGCATGGCACTCGCGTTGAACTGTTTTCGCCAATGGAAGCACATAAATGCCAATTCGCTATCAAATCGCGATCCGCGTCCCCTCGACACTGACAACTTTCTCGCACAAGGTTTGCCTTTGTTATGCGCAGTTGGCTTTGAGCGTCGGCGGTCAACAGCTGAGATACAGATACATCGGGTCTCTCCATAACTCTACTATATACCTCGATATATCTCTGGCGTTCGGTGGCGTTGCTCATGCGCCGCGTGCCCCAATGCCGGTTTGTTAGACACTCGCGAGAGGATAGCCCCCCAGAGAAACGTAACGCTCTCTTCCTAGACCTCTCACAAACTCGTTAATGACGTAAGACGTAGCCCCCCCGAAATCGGAGGAGGAACAGGTCCATATAGCGGAGTGACTCCGCATATTTTCATGCAGATTTATGGCCTTTCTTCAATGATCTCTCTACAAGCCCGACTGGTCGACTGGTCCGTCTGGGGGGATATGGCTGCTGACAACCCGGTCAAGCAGGAACCGTTTTGGCGAGGGGAGGCTTCTCCACTCCAAAATCAGAACCAGCATCATCAGTTGTCCGGGCCTGTATACTATGCATATGCATTCATTTGTCTACTAATTTATTTTTTGGCTATACTTTATACATATATATTTTTCCCGCTCGGTGTCTCGGCCTGAACTTCATTAATTTCCAAATGCTAATTGTGAGAAACATTCCGCAAACGAGTTTGCCAAAATTCTTGTCTAGTACAGTAATTTATGCATGCTTTAAGCGCTTTATTAACTAATCAATCGAACTTCTGACTAGATTATTAGAATTACTAATATTTTAGGAATAAACGGCGCCAAGAATTCGCAACACCTTCAGCGAACGTTGTCTGGAAATCTTAAAAAGTCAAATAATTCAAGAAAGAGGAGAGTCAAAGATTTCCTCGAAATCTGAATGGAGAATCTGGGTTAATATATGTGTAAGTCTCATGTAGCCCATTAGCATATTCTCCAGCCTGAGAAACCATCAAGCCCTAGGGTTCTACGGTTCTGAATTAATATCTCAAAACGGGGCAAAAAAAAAGAAGCTTTCACAAACGTGTCGGTGATAACATAATCTTCAGGTTCTTCAAAGCTGAAGTTGTGTTTTGCGAAATCACCATAACTGTTTTATAATCACTCTAAAGATAAAGATAACACACTAGAATGTGTCATTTTTTATCATTTCTGTGAGATCATCAAAGGTTAAAAAAAAGGAGTTTTTTTAACTGAAATTGCACGTTTAAAGTAAGCGCCTAAAAGCATGCTTTGGATAATAAATTTGACCACAAAGCAGTCTAACTCATTCCGCCTTTTTATTGAGTTTCATGTTATTGTTCTCACAAACAGTTTTTAGAAGCAACTTTCGACGGTTGAAATTGTTTGGCCATAAGTTTTTGTGGATTTCACTTGCCACATGGATAACACAACCAGTTTGGTTCTCACTTTAACAGCAAATAAAGACCGAGAATATCTTTGCATATCTGTACTGCGGCATCGTAAGAAGTTAATTGCACTTGTCAGACTTTCCACAGCTCCGCAACTTGTTTTTTGCTTTACGAGCCAACAGAAACAGAATTAAATTTGATGTTTTTTGGCATTTAATTAACATAACACCTTAGGATGTAAGATATGGCACACATGGCACACTTTTGATGAAGTTAGCATTTAAAAAACAACATTAAACCAACACTTTTCAAACTTCAGATCAGTTTTGAAAAACACAATACTGCCACTTACCCAATAAATAATGTGTAACCGTAGCTGTTATTAATAATACTAATTACGTTGTCAACAAAACGCCTAATTAAGCCGCCATTGAGTAGTGACGAAAGGCAAACAATCGAGGGTGTTGTTGGCTTCGGCTAATTGTTATTGGCAATTCGTGACGCTTTTTAACTGGGCTTGTGGGTGGAGAGCAGACACCGGGCCTTGTAGAAAAGCTCAAGACAGCCCTTTGTTGGCCAACGACTTCCGCTTGCCATTCTGAAAGCGGGTTCTTGCCACCAAATTGGCATTACAGAAGTCAACGACTGAGAAGTGTCTGCAATTGTTATGAAACGGTCTAACGGTCTACAAACGACAAGCCATTGATAAGCCATTACACCTGCAGCATAAATAAGTTCGAAACAGGTGGCGCGGATTGCGCAATCCTTAATTAAGGCAGAGCTATGTACTGGATGCCCAAAGAAAGCAATTGCAACGCTGAAAAATGGCAACTGGCAAGTGGCAACTGGCAAGTAGCAGCTGGGGGGCCAAAGGAAAAAAAGTGGCAGCAATTATGTCAAATCTCATTTTATGCGAAACGCTCTTTCTCTTGGCAGCGGAGTCGTTTCCCACACGCAAACGCAATCAAGTCATGCGAAACGATGGACACGTAATCGGGACTGGAAGCTGCAAGCCCAGTTAAGTTAAGTTTTAGTTTCTATTTTTTTTTTTTTCGGGTTTATCTGAATCTGTTTTAGCCGCTTCTGCTGCACTGGCAGTGAGCACATGCACGTGCGGATGCGCCGGGGCTTACCTCACGTAGCCACGGATATGTGCCCTCGCTTATCGCTCCCCATTCGATTAACTCACCCCAGAACTCGCTGGGCGCCACACTGCAGCAGGTAAGCGCCTCCGATGAGGCCCACCAATGAGGTAAGTCCGAGCAGCAGGTTGCCGCTTCCCGGGCGGTTGATCGGCAGCTCCATGATGCAAATATACGGACGCATCCACCGCTTCACACACTGCGGAGTTGGCATTAAATTCAATTACTTTTCTGATTGAAATCAGCATCCGAAGCACAAAAACACCACACACACTACTGAAGAGCCCTTTGAAGTTACTTCCTATGCATTGGAAATCTTTGAATCGACTAAATCAAAGAAATTAAACTATTTCCTATACTACGTTTCGGGCCAATTCATACTTTGGCCTCAGTCTTATCAAAAAGTTTTGTTTGTTTGGTTTAATTTTCGACATCTTTATCGGGGTTTGGTCGAAAAGTTGTACCCTTTGCCGGGCATTTAAGTTGCTAAAAGTTAGCTTGGCCAATAATAGCATTTTATTAGTATTTTTTAACATAAAATTATTGAGCTTTTTTCTCAATAATCACGTTTATAAATATTTTCAAGTACACATTATTTGAAGAAATACTTAAAGGCAACTTCGTGACTTTAGATAATTTACTCTTTTATAAAAATTCCAGTAAATTGAGATTTAATATTGCCAACTAAACCCTAATAAAATAAACTTAAATTGATTAATTTTATGAACCTCGTCTCAAGTTTATTTTTAGGTTTAAGAACTTTTGTTCAGTCACATCCGTTTGAAGCACGTACGACGTTTGGTTATTTATTCGTTTAGTTATTTTCTTGAGTGTTTCTTTGTGTTTAATTTTGCACACTGCGATTAGCACTAATTAAAGTTGATAAATGAGAATATATGTCTGCTATACTGCAGGTTCTTATCGACAGCTTACGGCCTTCTCCTGTGAGATCTCTGATGAGAGTTGCGTAACTTCTTTGGCCTTTGGCTAATTAATTTTATAAAATTATGATCTTTTCTTGGTGATTTTGTGCTTCTAGACTTTGGCTGATTATCGTGTTATTCACTTCAGTTGGCATTAAATTTTTTTTTTATTTTCTATAGTTTATTCCACTATAAACTTCCAAGTGAACCGAAGTGAACTTCACTGGGGAATATCTGAATAAATAATTACCAAAAACTTTATGAATTTTGCTTGATTTTTTTTTTTTTTAATTATGTACAACGTTGATTATCAATCACTTTTCGGGGAATATCTTTTGGAAGTGTCTGCCACACGAATTGAACCTGCTAATTGCCATCGCCCCCGCTATCCGCCGCCCGATCACCGCCCCAACTCCTCAAAAATCAAGCCGACGACGACGACAACAATCCCGAACGCATGACGCAGAAATTGAAACAATTCGCGGCTGTTCACTCGTAACAAAACTGATTAAGATCACGAGGCTATATAGCCAAGTATAGCGGCTATAGCGGCTAAGGGCTGTGTAGCCTCCACTGTGGGCCAAGTTAACGATTGGAGCAGTTGACTCCGACTGGAGCGGCGACAGGTTTGTTTTAGGCAAGTTATATTTTGGTTTGTTTATTTTCTCGTACAATTAATATATAGCTCTGGGGTTTTGTTTGTCCACTTCGTTATTGCAGCGATCCGAATATATAAGGCTCTGCTGATTTGATAAGAGTTCCGCTGGCGCTGGCGTCCGGCGATAAATATATATCTCAGCTCCTATATACAGGTAACAATTCAGCGCCGACCGAAAAATTCACAGATAAGTGTCAAGACAATTCCGGAGGTTAAGTCACTCCGACGTATCTCTACTGCTCTATATACATCCAACTGGGTTAATACCAAAGCAAAATATTATTTTTGGGTGTATTTTGGAATTTTTCCGATTTGTTTTGTTGTAAATTTTGTTAAATTTTTGTAGGGTTTTGTGTGCGTTGCGTGCGAGTAACCAAAATGGAACTGGCCAATATTCGCGGACTGGGTCAGTCCAGCTTTTGCTGGACATGCACCAGAAAGGGGAAGGAAAGCAAATCCCCGTTGATCCGGCAAAGATGTGACAGTTATGGGCATACCACCTAGTGCTACCCCACCCACTGGTATTGGCACTGGCATTTCATATTGTCCAACGGGCCTTATGCAAATTCGTTGGCAGCTGCCAGTCACATGTCAGCGGCTTGGTGGCTTTTGTGGCAAGTGTTTGAGGCCCAAAAGAAATATGTTTGTGCATACCTTTGAAATCGATTGGCCCTGCCATTGGCCATGCAAAGCTTGCGGCAATTAATTGGTATTAATCAACTTAATTATGAAATGTTCGATAAGATTGCGGTTACACTCCCCAGGCGAGCCGACTCGTGTAGCGAAAATAAATATTTGTGGAATGGGGAACGGGTTCAGGAATCTTCAAAGACCTCTTCGGGTACACTATGCTAATTTTTATTCCAGAGCCAAAAATCCAAAGCCAAACAATGTGTGGAAAATGAGTTGGGCTTTTTATTATATAACATGAAAAGCTGGTTTTATTTAAAAGACATCATGCCTAATAACTAATAACTATAAATCATGACTCGTTTATATTTTCCAGAAATAAAAAGTATATTATCGAATTTTTATAGATTTCTTTGAATTTTTAAGACTATAACACTATTGCCCCTTAATAAAGTTAACAACTTCAAGCCGAAAGACAGACATTGTAGTTTAAAGAGGGCTCTTCTATGACAGACAGCTCATATACGAGTTCTTCAAAGAGGTCTCTTCAATTATGATCGTCAAACTGGGTAGGTCAACCATTATCGTTCTAATGGAACTTTTCCAAAACAAATTGCCAACTCATTTGAAAGTTCAGCAGCACTTCTAGGTTTCTCTTGGACAATTGTCATTCAAACATGTAGGATTTCCAGAAGAACCGACTGCTTACGGAATGACTTTGGGTTGCATGAACGAGCCAACGAATAAATTGACTAAATGAATGAATGAATGAGTGGATGACTGACTGACTGCGCCCGAGATTTTGTCATTTACATTTTGAGGTCGGCAAATTTTCATAAATTGATATCCGCCCGCAGTCTTGCAACTGGAGAAGCATGCAACCAATGCAGAGAAAAAAATTGTTTACAAAAAAAAGAGTATCAGAAGATCTTTGCGAAAAAAGTATAGATATGAGGGAGGTACTTATGTATAACGTACACTCTGATATAATGATAAACAAATATTATCTTTCTACAAGAATTTTGAAAAGTTAATCTTGGTAATCCACAAGTGAGACACAAAGTGCGCCTTTATCGCTTCCGAGTGCAAAAGTAAGAAGTTTCGGTTGCGATTGTGGGCATTCTGCATTCGAATCACTCAAGAACGCACCCAACTTGGCCCAAGCCAATCCCAGCTGACAGTTGCTTCCGTTTTGGCCACGCACTCACCTTAATCTATCGCGCAGCTGCTGATGGGTGAGGCGGTCCCGCTGCAACACCTGGAGGATGCGTTGGCACTGTTGCAGCCGTTGCCGCCTCCTCAAGGTCGGGGTCTCCGCCTCCAGCACCGCTATCCCGCTGTCCACACTACTGTTGAGCTGTTGCTGGACAGGACTACTCTCCTTGCTGCTACTGTCGTTGTTGTTGTTGTTGTTGTGTGCCACTGGCGATGCTGGTGTTGGTGCTGCGGGTACTTCACCTGCCATGTTGCTGCTGTCACCGGTGATTGTGCGCGGTTTGTTTGCAAATTTCGAACGAACGGCCCTAAGCCATTTCCGCCTCACTCACGCATTTAGTTCGCCGAGTACGAGTATCTCACGGGTTGAAACTGCGGGCTCTGCAGACTGCTGCCTCTCGAAAATGTCGCGCACATGAAAACACTTTTGCCAAACAAATTCGCTTCGCTTCACTTTGAATTTTTTCTTAACTTTTTACCACTTGTATTCAGTGCTTTTTGTGTGTTAATTACGCGCCAGTTACGACCATTGTTTTGCCACTGGAATCGGGCCGGCACTGCCTTAGACTTGCCAAGTGAGCTGCCCCCCCCCCCCAAAAAAAAAGTCGCTTACGGAGCAGCTTATCAGGCAGCGCGATACACAAATTCAAGACTTCCCATCACGGGTAGGCGTGCGTGTGTATGGGTTTGTTTGTGCCTGGGAGCGTTCGGTTTCGTACTGCAATCAAAGGAATTTTTGGTTTATTTTTATGGCTGGAACCCCATAAACAAATGCGCCTCCAGATAACGAGCTTCTCTTTGCCAGGTTCCCCCACCCGCCCAGCTCATTTCCAGATAACCAGAATCTTGCGATGCCTCATCCCGTGCCACTGACGTCAGAGTACTCTGTAACTGCCGTGTCTGTCACCTTCTCTGGTTGAGATTCATGAGATACAGATACATCCGAGTAATGCTGCTGCACCCATGAATGAAATATGCATCTACAGCTGCGGTTCGCACGCCCAAATATGTAAATTTTCGGGGGGGCACGTAATTACGTTGAGTGCTTCGATTTGGGCCAGTTAACCCATTTGGCCATTCGGCTAGTGCCCGGGGAGGGCGCATGGCTTAAGTGGCTCAACGGTTCATCTTTGGCAGCATCCAGCAAAAAACCCTAGGCCCCTCGGGGTACACCAGCATCCACCATCATCCAGCATCAGTATTTTGCAAGCCGAAACCGATGTCGGGCCAAACCGAACCGAAAAAGGCCAAAAACAGAAATCCCAGCAAATTGGAAAAGAGAAATTCTTGGAATGACGGGCCAACTCGGATTTTTTTGTTGGCCAGTTAAATTGTTGACTTGAAATGCTGACAGTGTGTCTGCTGGGGCATCTATGGATGGATAGATGGATGGATGCTGGATGGATGGCCCGGACCAGATGATTACGACTTTTGAACAACATTTCAGATGACAGCCGACGCACTTGTTGTTCAGGCTTTGCTTTTTGGCCATTGTAGATGGCTTTGGACAATGCTTTCTTTTCGTGAAAAGCAGTGTATGTGTTGAAATTCTCTGAATGGGATTTGGAAGATAATTTGGGCTGTGCAACACCGTGATATGCAGTTCACAAACAATGCAGCAATTAAAAATGCATTTGGCAATGCATTTCAGGCCCAAATCCGTTTGTCGGCGGGAACACCAAACGTTTTGCATATCATTTCAGTGGAGGTTGGTCAACTGAAATTGATTTCGAATCCAAGTGCATTGCCCAATGCATTATAGCTGCCACTACAACTATATGTATCTATGCGCTTGGTGCTGCTGCTGCTGCAGCTACTGCTGCTACGTTTATGTATCTACGAGATAGATTTGTGCAATTTTCACACAATTGTTCGCGGCATTCGCATGGCATGTCGAATTAAGTTGTTACAGAAACTAATCTGATGATTAATTAGACAACAATTTTAAATGCAATTGGGTCGCCGTCGTCAAATGGGTCAACTCCATCCGGAGAAGTGGCTAAAACGTGATACTGGAGCTACCTAATGGCTATATTAATTAAGACGGCGTTTTCATACACACTGAGAAAAGCTTGTTCAAGTTTTTAGTTTTAAACAAGGCCCTAATATTATATATTTGTGATCCATTTTCTCGGTGTATCTTTTGCCAATATTTGAAGGGAAACTATTTATCTGCCAGCGGGTGCTATCAGTGTGGGCCTTCCTAACGGTTTCACACTCTCCCTGGCCAGCTTTAATTGCCGCACCACACACATAGACACACACATACAGTGATAGTTGCACTAAAAAATGGTAAAAAAAAATGGTAAGCCGCAGGGCGCAGCCGCAACTGCCGATTCATTGGGAAATTAGTCAAAGCAATTCCACGCCAATGATGCGTTGCTCAGAGTTTCTTTTTGTGGTTAACAGAGCTGCTGCCTTTGCCCCTCCGACTTGCCACTATATGCTGCAGCAACAACAATCTGCTTAAATGAACGGAAGTCGACAGTGGAGACGCCAGTCGCTGGTTAATACTGTTAACCGATGCTGTCCGATTGGTTTTGGTTATCTCAGTTTTCTTATTTTCTTATTTTTTACTTGCTGGCTTTTGTTCGTTTTCAATTTACGGGTGAAATGTCTGTTATTTTTTCGTTTGTAAAAGTTGTTTTCGCAGCCATGGCTAACAAGAAAATAATGGACCGAAAAAAAAGAGGAAAATAAAAAATAAAACAAACAAAAAATCAATTGGATGCCAGCGGAAGTGCAACTTGTTGCCATTCCTCACAGTCGGGGGTTGTTTCAGGGTTCGATTTCAAATCCATACTAACTACAGTAGTCCCTCGAGAGAGACAAACAAAAGCTCAGAGGTAAACATTCAACCTTGCTCTCTGTTTTCGGATGACATTGACACCTGTCCACCTGTCCACCCGGTCACCTGGTCACCCTTAACCCCCAGCCCCCACCTGACATTTGTTCTTTCCGTTTTTTTGTCGCTTGTCGTTTTATTTTTCGTCATTTGGCTTTGCGCATGAGTCGCATGTTTATCCGACTGCTTGGCATATCGCACGCTCCAGTGACCCACTAGCCACCACTCGACACAGGACGGTCTCACAGACACAGGCACAGACACACACACACACAGAGACACAGACACTGGCGGCTAGAGCACTAAAATGTTTCGGGTTTTCGGGACAAGGCTCAAAGGGCTGCCCTTCGCCGTCGAGGTTGCGCTTCAACGGTTAGAGGTTCACTTATCGCACATGAAACTTATGCAACATAAACAACACACACTCTCCGTTCCTGAGCGCCACTCCGTGTGGTAGAGCTTGCGACGCAGCGGCTGAAACGCGAATGAGAGGTGAACGCCAAGTCTGGCTTGAAGTTTCTGCTTTACCGTTTGTTGTCACAGTCGTTCTCCCCATTGGAGACTCTGGTAGTGCTCTCGGCTCTCCCCCAATCTCTCTATTGTTGCTGCTCAACAGCTGTCACAAAAATTTAGCGGCAAAACTTTTGTTCTGCACTCTTTGCTTTTCTTTTGGGGGATAGAACTCGTTCCGAGGACGGGGTAGGACTGGACCTAGCTAAGCAAAAACGGGTTCCGATTTCAAGTTCGGCGCGGGTCTAGGGCATGGAAAGTGCGATTGCAGATTTAACCCTGGAATTTTTTCCAAAATAACAAAGGTAAAAGCTTGAGGTTCAGAAAAAGGAGTCGATCCATAAGTCCTCTTAGTAGTGATGATAGAGTATACTTAGAAAGTCCTTACTCTCATCCAATTTCTTGAAGAAAACATATGAGTATAATCCACATTAAATAGATATAAACTAGATACCACACCTCAAGATTCAGCGGGTTAAGCCTCTAATTCTTGTCGCCAGTACTTAGCTGCTTTCTTCTTCTTGGCTCTTTCTTTCTCGGCTCTCTCCCCAAGCTCTCTTCCTGTCCGTCTTCCACTTAGCGCGACGTGTGCTAAAACGTTAATTTGCATACATAAGGAAGCAATTGTAGTTGGAGATTGCGGGAGAAAGAGATACAGAGGGAAGACTGACCAGTGGAGATTCGGTTACACAAGTTCAGCTAGAAGGAAGCCTCGTAGCCAAAGTAGTGACAGACAGGTGGATAGACGGACCAAGACATCGGGCTAAAAATAGTTTATGGGACGTCCAGCCGATGCGAGAAATACCCTACACTAAAACCCGCGACAGGGCTATAACGACCTGGACCAGGCCTGGGTTTATGGCCAGCGCTGACCCAACTGCTAGGCACTCGGGTACTTGGCTTGTGGTGGAGTAGGAAGCGTTTAACTGCTTTTGAAAGACATTTGATACATGGGCAAGACGAGCTTGCGGAGTTTATTTTTGTCTGCGTTTTCTTTTGGTTTTATGTACCTTTTGCCGGCACTCCCTCTCTCTACCTCTTCCCAAAAAACACAAAAAACAAAGCTATGTGGCTGTTGGCCAGCAGCACATTGCACCTGACACACTCACCTGAGATGGTGGAACAACACAAAATACACCGAGAGAAATGGAATCTACTAAAAGGTAAGATGAGGAGGTATAAGTTTTTACTAAAACATGTTTTTTAGTGTATTTATGGTAAACACTTTAGTTTAACCAAACAATTTCGCGCTCTTATTCGTTCTGCTATCGATACGCTGCTAAAAAAATACTGGAAAAATGCGAATAATAATCCCCACCCGATGACTTTTCTTTTTACATTAAAATTCCTCGTCATCATCCCGCCAGATGGAATGCGAAGAACCTATGTTAACCGTTAAGATAATCATCAATGAAATGCGCGAATGGGTGAATGAGTGAATGAAAACATCCACAGGTTTGTTGGCCACCTCGCATGCCATTGTTTATATCCCATAAGTTTGCTGGGTTTATGGCCAAAACGTGGACCCCATATCCCACATCCCAAATCAAAGAAGTTTATTCAGTGGCCAATTAAATCTGCTGGCGCCCCGATCGGTGAAAGCCTTTCATCAACAAACACTTTCGTTGGCCAGAGCGCCACGAAGTGATCTTTCGGCATCAATCATACGACAGAGATTAATTTTATGGAAATTGCCAAAAACTTTGAGGCTGTGAGACCAGAAAATAGAAAATTTCAAAGTCGATTTGGGTAGTTAATATTAATTTATTCGATTGGCATAAGAAATGAATCAAAAAACCTAACGAATAATTCAGTATAATGAAGTACTATTATATGGTAATTAGTCCTTAGGTCTTTAGTCCTAAAATGATATTTAAATAAGGTGAGCTTAATAAACTTAAGTGTGGTAGAATAGCTTCATAATCATGGTGGTAGAAGCAACAAGTGGTTCCATCACTCGTAACACGAATCACCCTGCAGCCCAAATAGTCATCACATTAAAGTGTGGCCTACTTCCGGGCTGGCCCAATTAATTGCTTTCGTAGTCGCGGATTTGTTTCTGTGAATTTAATTTCAGTGCTAACCACTAAATATTAATTATAAAAGGGGGCACGGTGCAACCAGGTCCTTGTTTGTACCTGCGCGATGGCGCCAGCCCCCAAAGAGAGAGCGTCCCAGCATCCACAGCATCCTGCCAGCTGTTAGCCATGTATGTGGAACGCAAGCGCC